ATCAGCTGGAGGATGGCCCTGCAGTCCACTAGCAAGCTTTACATCTCTTTACATCGGATTGTTATTGTGGGGCTTCATATATTGAAGTAAAGTGAATTTAAATCGTTCCGAGTGGTGAAATGTGCAAAAACGAACAGGAAACGGCGCCATATTGCAGATTTATGTTGCGGGTTGCATGGACTAAATTTGTTGAAATGCCCCCCAGCAGCGAGCCCGAAATAAAGAGACAATCCAGGACAGGAGAGGAAAGAATGTACCCTGTTGAGGTGCGCCAAGGGTGTTACGTTAAGGTGACATTGAGAAACAGGCGGTCATCAATAACGACAACAACTTTCCATTCTGATCAAGCCAAATAGCCATCTATTAGAGAACTGTAAAATCACTCCAACTACAGTAGTAGTACATCAGGCTGTGTCCTGTGTGTGTGTGTGTGTGTGTGTGTGTCTGGTATAGGCTGGTATAGCACGGTATACCGGTTCCGGTATAAGATTTCCGTTCAGTGTGAATTTCTCACGTACCATACCGCCGTAACAACTGATGTTGCTCTTCGGCGGGCAGCAGAATTTATTTTAACACGTCCATCACGTGGCGCCCAGCGGCCGGAGTTACTTGTCCTACGTGTGTTGAGATTGAGTCATGGTTATGACTTTATAACAACAATGAATAACCCACAACAAACACTCTTTAACAGGGTAAAACAACCCGACACAACAGCTTGTGACACATAAACACAGGGCTCTCAAGTGTCTGTCACGCATTTCGGTCTGTAGTCACGCACTCCCGCCACACATCCAATTGCTCACGCTAAAAAACAAACGAGAAAATTTGAGAGCTCTGTAAACAATTTGTTACACTAATAATTGTACATTTATAAAAATGACCAGCCAACACAACTTGTCCCCAAGAGAGGAGCTGCGTCTGTTTGGAGGGTTTTTGGTTTTGAAAAATCCAACGTAAGTTACGTTAGATCCCACAGCGATTTATTGCAAAGTCTGTCGAGCCTCTGGTGGCAACACTAGCAGCCACAACAAGCTAACATGCTAACTAGCTAACCAGCTAACTCGAGGCGACAGCTGTCCGGGTAGCCGCGGGGTTGATGAATTAATGTGTTTACTTGAAAAAGCAATACCGTGATATACCGGGATACCATCAGAATCTTTCTTAATACCGTGATATGGATTTTTGTCCATACCTGCAGCCCTAATGCACACGGTAAAACCCATCCATCTCTGGACAAACCAGTCGTCCTTCAGCTGTGCTCAGGTCATAATGGTGCTACCTGTGACATTACTTCATCATGCAGACATGCCCTTTGTGTGTGTGTGTGTGTGTGTGTGTGTGTTGATACCTACTGGAATAACAGCTGACTAATTGTGGAAACACAGCTGAACACGTGTGTGTGCACATGCTGACTCACAAGTCTCTCTCACACACACACACCAAAGACATGGTCATGAGCATGCTCGCTCGTTACACTCCAAGCGGCCATTTGTGTCTCGACGTCAGTGGTTCCGAACAAACGGCACATGCTATTATGGGAACACAATCTCGGCGCTTTACCGCATCTCTCCTCATGCCAAAACATTATTTTAGGTCAAGGAAGCACCCGCTGTGTGAGTTGGTGTTAGACCCCCTTATCGGATATCACACAGTTTGAGGACATGTGAGTCATAGTAGCGAGCTGAGGATCATGGAAAATTCAATATGAACAAGGGCTTAAGTGGGCTCTGCACATGGGCACCACAAGTGCTTTGTTGTAATTCTCAAGCTAATTGCAAATAAGCCTAAATCCGAGGAATTTGCATGCAAACAATGGCTGGTTGAGTGCTCTAACATGATAGTAGGAGGCAGATCTATTTGTTGATTATTTACCCCAAATCCTAAAAACTGTAATCAATGTTTTTGTATTTGCACGGATATAACTCTATGCAGCCGTTTAGCATTTTTAACTAACATAGCCCACATCCGTTTTTGTCGTCTGATTCGCTTCACAGTCACAGTTCTACTCAACATATTCCCACATTTGTGATGGGGCTGTTTTCTGGGGTTCTTTGCAATGCACCTTGTACAGCAAACTAGAAACTTGACTAAAAATGGTATAACGGAGGCAAGTCGGCTCTGAAGTCCAACCAGATGCGCTTAAACAGGGAGAAGTACTGGAAATAAAACATGAGGGAAAGCGGCAACGATTATGAGTAGAGTATTGTGCTTATTCTTGAAATGAGAGTTGTTTCACCACAGTGTCGACACAGTATTACTGTGTTTCACAGCTTGCCGTCATTGACAACTCTGCATGCGTCAGACAGGTTGAGATGTGATTTCTCAGCAGAAATGCAGAAGACTCGATGTACTGTGAAGTGTATTCTCGTAATAACTGCTTAAAAGTAGTTTAATAGATGTAAATCGAGGACCGGAAAGTAGTGATACTTAAATTATATATCTTTAGAAATGTATTATATATAATATTGTCAGTTTATATAGTTTCTTGATAACAAAATACAAAAAGCATTATGTCTGTTGGGATATTTTCGTGTAGTAAAGTAATTGTATTTGTATGTGTCATCAGAAATTAGGAAACATTTATTGCCAAAATATGTCATACATACAAGGAATTTGACTTGCCGGTTGGTGCGTGACAGTAGACAGTATATATAATATACAATAGACAACAAGACAGCAGTGCACGAGTAATAAAATAAAATAAAATGCTAATGCAATGGGTTAGTAGAATAAAGCTATGGGTTAGTTTAAAATAAAAGAATAAAGTTGAAGTTAAAAATATTAAAAAATTAAAAAATAAAGTGCACTAGCGAACAGGTGACAAAAGTGACAAGTGAAAATTGACAGGTGAAAGTGACGTGTGCGGAATGAAAGAAAGTGACTGGTAGAATGTCAGTCAGTGGGGGACCGGGCTCTGTTGATGAGCCCGACTGCCGACGGGAAGAAACTGTTGGTGTGGCGGGAGGTCTTAGTCCTGATGGACCTCAGCCTCCTGCCAGATGGAAGGGGCACAAACAGGTTTTGTCCGGGGTGAGAGGGGTTGGCCACGATCTTTTTAGCTCGCTTCAGGGTCCTAGAAGCGAACAAGTCCTGCAGGGACGGCAGATTGCAGCCGATCACCCTCTCTGCAGAGCGGATGACCCGCTGAAGCCTGCCCTTGTCCTTGGCTGTGGCTGCAGCGTACCAGACGGTGATGGAGGAGCAGAGGATGGACTCGATGATGGCCGTGTAAAAGTGGATCATCATCGTCTTTGGCAGGTTGAATTTCTTCAGCTGCCTCAGGAAGAACAACCTCTGCTGAGCCCTCTTGGTGATGGAGCTGATGTTCAGCTCCCACTTGAGGTCCTGGGTGATGATGGAGCCCAGGAAACGGAAGGAATCCACAATAGTGACGGGGGAGTCACACAGGGTGATGGGGGAGGGTGGGGCTCTGTTCCACCGGAAATCCACAACCATCTCCACTGTCTTCAGAGCGTTGAGCTTGTTGTGGCTGCACCACGACACCAGATGGTCAGACTCCCACCTGTAGGCGGAATCATCCCCACCAGAGATCAGTCCAATGAGGGTGGTGTCATCCGCAAACTTCAGGAGCTTGATGGACTGGTGACTGGAGGTGCAGCTGTTGGTGTACAGGGAGAAGAGCAGAGGGGAGAGAACGCAGCCTTGGGGGGAACCGGTGCTGATGGTCCGGGAGGCTGAGACATGTTTCCCAGCTTCACGTGCAGTATATGTACGATGTCATTGGGCGTTAACATACAGTATATGATAACATATTGATACGTTCTTACATTCCATTTTTGTTTTTTACATTTAGTTCCTGCCTTACTTTCCTGTTCTGAAGTTACATATTACAATATAGTGTTTAATCATTAAAGTCCAAGCAAATATTTAATGGTTACAGATTCTCAGATCAAAGTTCTTGTCTCACAATGTTCTGAAATTGAAACTTTAATGACATGACGATTTTGAGGTGGTTTGTCCGTAACCCCAAAGCAGTGCAAAGCTGCCGACAAGAATCTTTGCGGCGGATTTAGAAATGACTTGATGGCATTGTTAACACCAAATGTACAGTACGTGCGCTCCCATTTTCAAGTGTGTTCATGCAGAGGAGACACACCGACTGAACAGAACACTCCCTTCAGTGTGCTGAGCTTACATATACCTGGTGTCGGCCATCATTAAGCCATCGCTAATTTGCTTTGGCCGAACGGCCCTGCGTGTTCCTCCGGGCGACACGCACCCTTTCCATCCGGGTGAGAGGTGCCGTGTCAGCGAAACAAGGTGGAGAGGGGGGGGTGATATGGGAATATTTCAGTATTTTTTTCCCAGTGAATATAGTGGCTCCCTCGCGGCTTAGGGGGCCACTTTTATGTCCATGGACAGCACGAATTGACATAATAGATGTTGGTAAATATGATTTGAATATAAAGAAAGAAAGAATGTGTTGCTTAAGGAAGAAGGAGAGAGTTGCATTGAGAGACCAGGCGATAGAGGAGTGCAGGAAAAATGATAGGAAGTTGGAAATTTTAACCTCCTGTATAATACCTCCTGTATAATACTGCGGGGATGTCGTTGTGTTTGTATTTAGGCAAAATACGCTTATCAGAGAGTATTTGATAACATTTTGTTGTGGAATTTGAAAGATTGCATGATATTGAGTGTGTTGCTCCAGTGGGACATTTGACCAGAAAGCAGCTACTCCGCTTTATTGCTAACATCAAGACAATTAATCACCGTTAATCAATGAGATGATCAACGGAAAGATAATCAAGACATGTTTGTGAATTGTTTATGAAGCAAAAGTATGTTAGACAAAAAATATTTGCCGCCTCTAGCTCTTCAAGTGTTAAAGTTTAAAGTTCAATGTTCAAATCTGAAAAACACAGATGTGTCAATATTGAATTTATTAACAAATGCCTGCTATTGATACCCGTGTTTCTGCTGTGTGTGTTTTATCCCAAATAAGAAACTCATGATGGGGTTTTTTTCTGCTTTTGCAGGAGAGGTTCGAGGCAGTGTTTAGGATCTACGATGAACAGACGACTTTCCAGATGTTTAAAAGCTTCCGGAGAATCAGGATCAACTTCAGCACCCCAGAGGTCGCTGCCCGCGCTCGCATCGAGCTGCACGAGTCCGAGTTCAACGGCAACAAGCTCAAACTCTACTTCGCCCAAGTGAGTGTCAGTCCAAACCTCTCTGGAAGAGGATCAAACCCAATAGTTCCAAAAAATACCAGCTACTGAAATAGCACCTTCACATTCCAATCATCATTTTTCCCCTGTGTAAATAATGTGTTTTTACAGAAACCTCGCCTGAACTCTCTGTACTAAAGCCTCTCTAGATGTGTTCTGCTTCACTCCAATAAAGTAAAACCTTCCACAGATACTGTCCACAACCTGGGCTTTTGACTCGCTCGGTTTCTCCATGTTTTATAATGACGGATACCCTGCAAGTTTTTTTTTTTTCAGGCAGATTCTGGAAATGTCATGGCACTCACAAGGGTTCCCCTTTATCCTACAGAAAATAAATTGTCAAAATAGTCAAAGTAGTTATTATACTTTGTTGTTCTCACACTTCCTCTATTTAATTCTCTTCTCTGGCCCCACCTGTCAGAGCTCATCATTCACACGACTGAACACATGGATGGATACATTTCGGATTCGTCTTCCGTTCTCGCTGTGTGTTTTCATGTGCCTGTCTGTTGCCTTTGCAGAAGAGAGGGAATTTAGTACAAACGCAAAACAAGAACACATACATATACAGTACTGTGATGTAATTGTTACATATAAAAGATCATGGCAACAAAAACAAGATCCACATAAACTGTGGGTGATTCAATGTTTGGTTGCTTTGGTTTAAAGACGTTTTGACATCTAACTGGTTGAACACAACCATTTTAATCACGTTATGCTGCTAATCCCTTTGATGTGCTATGCGGAGCTCTACAGCCTTCATCGGTTGTCACCCTCTCTCCGACAGGTCCAGAATGGCGACGAGGACATCGACAAGTCGTACCTGGCCCCTCCCGCGCCCGTCAAACAGTTTCTGATCTCGCCGCCTGCTTCGCCACCTGTGGGCTGGAGCCAGAGTGAAGACGCCACACCGGTCATCAACTACGACCTGCTGTGCGCAGTAGCCAAGCTTGGACCGGGTCAGTGGGCTAAATGTTGTCAACAAGCTTGTGCAGTATGCTCCTACGCACGATTCAAATAACCGGGCATACACATAAACAACGCACAGGAGGTGTTTAATAAATCCAATTTGAGCCAGATGCAAACTCACAAGATATTTCCATGCTCCTCGTCAGGCTGATGTAGAAAGGGTTTTTGTCTAGGAGGGAATTTGACCAAAGGGTTGTGTGGCCTTTGTTAAATCTCAACCATTTTATTCTTGACTTTTCGTGCATTAATTTTGTCTGTATGCAAAGCAGCGTTAGGATCTAATTCACCAGATCACAATTTTGTGTGTATAAAGCTGCCATCACAAGCCAATATAATGACATTATGAGTTGAGTGTCGGTTTAAAAATGTTTCTTTCTTTGCAAAGTGTTACCATGCACATGTTCGCTCAGTCAGGCGGCAACATAAAGAATAAATAAATCCGCTTGAAGCCCATAACTTGCACAAACAGTGCCGGCCACCATCCGTCATTGTCAAGGCTGCTTAACCTTCACTGGCTGCTTCCTGACATCTCTAAGGAAATATGCACCAGCATCAATATTTGTGTCTCCCTGTGCGTGTTTGCTTGTGGATTAGCATGGTCTCTTACAAATAGGCTTTTAAGAAACACAAACAGAAGTCAAAGACATTTTCTGAAATGCAAACTAAAATGAGTTAGCATGTTTAGTGTGCTAAGTCAACAGCTCCTTTGTAGTGCTTTTTATTCAATTTGGGGAGGTTTATACTCAAGCAACCAACATGATTTGAAATAATGTTACAAAACAAGAACAATGCTTCTTCTTTTATTTCTGTATACTTTGTATGAGGCTTTTGCTTTTCAGGTAGCTAGCTAGCCTTAGCACAGCTACAGTCGGAAGGTTTGGAGGTTTTGCCAGCTTGCTCGTTGCTCGGCCAGCTTCTCCGCTCAGAAATAATCACTCCTCTGCCTGCTTTGTCAACGAGCTTTTAGATTGCCGCAACCTTTTATTAAATGCCACCGAACACACAAAAAAACGTGTGTGACATCTACAATGCCTGGCCGTGGTTCTGTATGTTGTGTTGATTCTCAACCAAAAGGTTTTGCACTGAACATGCAAAACAGTATTACAGTTTTAAACACACTGACTAAATGAAGGAATGCAAAGGTGGTCAAAAATGACAAATATGGTATTAACTAGGGTGACTTGATTTGAGTTTGTGAAAAAGAGGACACTTCGTCGCGGGGGGCCGTGGCGGAGGGGGGGGTAGTGTATAGCATGCCAAATGCATACAAATGTCACAAATGAAATGACAGAAATGTGCCTGCTCTGCATGTCATGCACTCAGCTGCCGAAGCATCACGGCCGAGGCGAAAACATGGGTATTTTTTTTTTAGTTCGTCCGTAAACATTTACGTTTCGGCATGGCTGCAGATGTCATGTGCTGTAAACAATGCAACTAGTGGAGGCGGCAAGGTGCAAGGTGTTGCCAGAGTGGAAAGGGTGAAGTATCGTGCCAAAGGCTCAAAATGGTCGTATTTGGAGGATAGTTATCGTGTATCTGGCAACAATGAGATTGGTCGACCAATGACTGTTCTCTCTACAGTCAGAGCTCGTGCAAGAAGGTGGAACGTAAGGGAGACACCATTTACAACACTTAAGGGCGGAATAACTAGTTTGTGAAAGACCCAGAGGAACACAAATATCCGATCAGCAAAATGCCGGACGTTTTTGGAATCCCTGCTGGACGCATTTTTTAGGTCTCAAAAAGAGGACGTGTACGGGGAAAAGTGGACGTCTGGTCACCTTATATTAACAATAGTTACGTGTGAAATAGTAGGGAATTAATATAAAATAAGGTATTTCCGGAAAGGGCCTCCAAAGTATTTCAAATTTGTTACCAGATCCACGACCACGTGGCACATTTCTCAAGTTTCAGGTAGGACACGCTGATCTTGAGCCATGAGAATGTTCAGATCCAGTAGTTTCCTTCCATCACAGCAAAACTGGAAAACATTCTGAATCTGTATTCAATTGACCACTTTTACCTTATCCTTTGTCATCCACTAAAACATGAAAATACTAACAAACTCACAGACAGTGTCCAGACTAGAGACACATTCTGCCGTTACCGTAGCAACACGCCGAATCCGGAACTTAGTCTTTTGTCCTTTGCTCCAGCATCCTGGCATCAGATTAGCGGGGAGCTGCAGCGCGGCGCGCTGACTCCCTCTGTCAACTCCCGGCGGTAACAGCAGGACTCTATTCACCGTCCGTCCCTCCGTCTGGCACCACAATGAAAAAGATACTAGACCAATTTCCTCCTGTCTGCCGGTTGTCTGATATAATCTCCCTGGCAACTGCAATCTCACACAGTGTATGTTTGCAATCTGAGTCTGCCGAGCTTTGGCATTTGGACAAACAACTATTCAAAGGAAAGTCTCTTTCTTTTTAGTTAGAAGCCATGTTCTGACATTCACAGACAAACATTTTGTGCTGTAAAAAGACCCCCAATGTACAATAAATACATAATGTAAAGCATTATTTCAACCAGACCTGCTACACTTCTTATCAGAAAGTGTTTTGGTCAATAGTGATAGTATAAATATTCACATATTTTCCTTTTGATTCTATTGATCCTTATTTACAAGTAAAATGATTGCATACTTAAACTTAATACATGATCATTCTGAATACCACTAATCAGCTGAAGGTGCTTGTTTATTAATTAGGAGAAGGCACATGTTATTCAGAATCTCAGATGATTATATATATTATGGGAATATTATAATCGATGCCTTGACAAATATTACATTGATAGTTTAAACATTCCCAGTGAATATGAAGATGGAAAGTCGCATAAAACGTAAAAAGCTTGTTTTATGGAATAATTTGTTACGATTTTTTTCCCTGCTTGTTAGAAATAACCAGTACTAAAGTACTAAAAGCAACATGCCTGCCCTGTATATTGCCCGAGGTATAAATCTAAAAAGGGGTATTTTTATTTATTAAAATGGCTAAACACCTGAAGGCCATATTCAAAGGGGAGTTAACTACGCATTTGTACTGTACTATTTTAAGTCAACCCTTTATACATATTTTGCTGTCTTGCGAGTACTTCACCTAAATTAAACGGCTAAAAATAAACTGCTGTCTTTTGGAGAACGGTGGAGATCGCTGGCACAGAGGAACACATTGTATCAGGCCTCATATCAGGCCTTAGCTTCGATAGGATCACTTCACTGCTGCTTTTAATCTTTTCATGAGATTTATTGACAATGAGAAGTCTTACGTGAATACATGTCTGACTGAGAGTATATTTCATGCAAAATGTTCTTTAGTAACTCCTGTTCTTACCCCCCAGGTGAACAGTATGAGCTCCACGCGGGGACAGAGTCCACCCCCAGCGTGGTCGTCCACGTGTGCGAGAGTGAGACGGAGGAGGACGCGGCGGCGCGGCCAAAGGGGCAGATCGTCCAGACCAGACGTCCGGAGGGACCCCCCAAAGTCCTCAACTAAAGAGGCCTCACCCCCCCGACACCGGCGCGGCCTCCGACCGCCCCTTAGACCCGCAACACCCCAGCCCTCTCTCTCTCTCGTCTCTGCATTCACAGAGAGCGTCGCCGCCCCTCATTTCAGTTCAACTACAGGCAAAAACAAACCAACGAACATTGCTGAAGGACGGTGTTTGTGTGGAGCGTGGCGATGGAATGAGGCGGCTTGAAGGGGATGGATGAGAATCACACACACACTCATCGCATTCTGCGGACGGCGTGGGGAGCGGCGGGCGCGCACGCGCCTCGACCCCCACCATCACACCTCGTTTTTCCTCAAATGGGGTGGAGATGCCAGTCCCAACGCAGGCACCTGTCACTTATCACACACACTCAGCTCTCATTGCTAGTCCCGTTCAGTGGCTTGCTAACTAGTTAGCTCGTTAGCTTGTTAGCTCCTTAGCTCGTTAGCTCTTACCTCTCCCTTCGTCTCACGGCCGTGTGTTCAATGATCTTTGGTTAAACAAAGACATTCATATTCTTTGCTTTTTTACAATAAATGTGTGTTGTCTGATACATAAATATATTTATGTATATCTTTTTCATCCATTTTCATAACTGATGGTTTGTGGCTTCAGCTTGTATCAAGATTGAGTGTGTGATGTTCCTGCTCTTGTCTGCATGTATATACTGTATTAAAAAAGATACGTACAGAAACACAAATACTAACAAAATATATCAAGAAAAAGGAACCTATTTAACATCACACACAGCACGAAGCGTCATGTGTGACTAACAAAGTTGTGGTGAATGTTTTGCTTTTTTTCTGCTTGTTTTGTCTTGTCTTTTTATTTTTATTTGGAGAGGTGTTGTTTTCTGCCTAACTGCTAGAAGTGTATTCTTACAATGTATTTGATACCCCCACACTTTTTGCATGCTTACTTACTTCTGTAGATGATGAGCTGAGGTGTTTTTTAATTGTTGTTTGTGATGACAGGGCAACAATATGAGGATTTTGACGCGAGCGGAGCTTAAAGTGACGTTTTAGGTGTGTGAGGAGCCCAAAGGTTTTCTCACGAGATCGACAGTTCAGCCTTCAACTCGATGGCAAATTTTCTTCTGTCACTGTTGTTGAGATCCAATGAATCAGAGACAGTTTGTCCCCCTCGTTTTCTTCAAGGGGCTTGGGATGTGGATTTTTTTTTTTTTTTTCTGACTCCGTTTGTTGTTCACGTCTCTAATGTTTGGGTTATGTTGTTTGATCAAACTCACTTTGTATGTGTCGGGCTTTCTTCTGAAACCTACTACTGCTTGTTTTGCACTATCTTTTGATATCTCCGAGCAGTTGCGGATGCTCTCGACCGCCACCTGCTGCGCACCATAATACGGCAACTTTTCTCGCTGTAAATAGCTGAGCGGTCTGAAGAAGTAGTCCTTTTAGATTTTGTAGTTTATCTGAAAGCATTTTGCTGAGAAATGGCAAAATTGGGAAGCCCCACGAGATATCAACCAAAGCATTCACTTTGCCCATATTGTCAAGACAACATTTAATGATTGTTGTTATTCACGTTTATTGTTGAAGTGAGGAGGAGATCCCATTTTCCCGACAACCTTTTATTGCATTATTTGTATTTTATATTAGCAGATATAATTTGCAGTATCTAGTTCAGTGGAAATATGAACAAATGTTAACTAATGTCTAATAATAAACCTTAAATATTCCCTATTTTGGGGGGGAATATTCTCCTCTCCGTTCCGTGTCATATCAGTGTTTCACCTTCTCATGTTTGGTGAAATATTTCAGTGCTTTAGAAGCAACATGAACAAATGTTCCTTACAGGGCTTTTGGTTGTCAGTGGTGAGTCCAGACCTGATTTTTCATTGGCAGCATGAAATCTAAACTACTTATTTTACTATGTAACAATACTGGTGAGCAAAAGACTGTCTGCATGTTAGCACTTTACTGTGTTTGGTTTCCTTCACATAAAATAGTCCTTCTTGAGACAAAAGTAGGAAGCACATTGCATTTCTTCTGTTTCTTGATTGTGTTTTTTTGTCATTTATCTCAAGCTGAACACCTGGTTAGCCTTTTCACCAGCATATTGCAGTGAGTGAAACGCTCCACTTCCTTTTTGCTAGTGTGAACCTTTGAGAATTTCAGGCCTTTTTGGTCTATGGAGGGTGTGGAGTACAGTTACAGCTTTTGAAGGACGCAGGATGACACTGCAAAATAAGTAAGTGAAATTAACGCTATTTTCGTGTTCGTCTGCAAGAAGCGTTCATCTTATCTGCTGAGAAAGTTAAACTTTCTTTTCTTTTTAATGCAGGCAGAGTGCCGTTTTATTGGCACTACAGCAAAGCTGTTGCAGTAATCTTAGTAGGCAGAATATTGAGGGAACTACTGAGGTGTGTTTTGATAAAGAGGAAGCAGCGGAGCAGAAGGATGACACTCGTGAAGTTCTTTCTTTTTTTTTTTACTCTCTGTGGTCATGGTGTTTAAAACCGGGCGCATTTTGGTCACAGTTGAAATGAAAATGTATATTTATGTACATATGCCAAGTGTTTTTGTCTTTTTTTGTTGTTGTTGTTGCTGAGGCCAGTCCCAGTATGCAGTTTGTTACAGCTTATCTTGGCAATGTTGTAATGGGGGAAAAAATACAAAAATATGTAACTCAGTCCTAAAGATGCTCGATCAAAAACCAATTGTCTTTGTGTTGTGCTCAACATGGACTCTGTTTGAATGTTTCTTTCATTTCATGGGAACGTCTACTAAAAAGGTCAATGATACCGATTGTCACTGTTGTACCGTTTCTGTTGGAATATGAATAGTGTGTCTTGTGTTGTAGGAATCCAGAAAACAAAGTAGCAAAACAAGCAATAATTTACAGTTCTATAATACCGGTATGCGTATTTTCATGTTCTGTACTCTCAGAGATGGTCTCTGTCTCTTACAGTATCCGCTTCTATTTGTGCAGTATAATAGCCATTTGTTTCACATAGAGAAATACATAAACGTATTCTTAAAAGCAATGTGTTTTAGGTTTTTTTTTTTACTTGAGGCGTCTCGCCTGAGATGCAAATATAGGAACGGAAAACGAATCTCACGCAAATTTTCAAATGCCATGAAAATGCATCACGTTTTTGTTTTTTTATTACACGTCCGGTTCTTCCGGCAGGAGATATGTTTAACTACAAGTAACTCACTTTTTGAAGATCTGACAGTACTGAACGGTAATGCATACGTCCAACAAAGATGGCAAACATGGTTCACATCAGGCACGTGCACAGACATTTCGGGGGGCAGGGGCTCAAACCAAAGCAAAAGGGCATCGCCAAAATAGTCAGAAAACTAAAAATATTACTACTAAAATAAATAAATAAAAAAACACAGTAGGATATATTCCCTGTCCATCTGCTGGATGGAGTCTCTCTTTATGCAGCAAAATGAGATAAATCAATGTTGTGCATAATAATCAAGAGTGACTTACATAATCTCTATAAAGCTGACACACATTTTATTTTACTGTTTTCTGACATAGTTGAAACATAAGCAGCATTACACTAATAATAACTACAATATACCTCACTAGACTGGCATGTAGCTCAATTTAAGACCTACCTTTCATTTCAGTAATTGATTAAATTAAACAAAATTAGTAAACTTGTCTAATCTGTAGAACAGTAAAACTGCCTTTAAATGATCGGCCTGTCTGTCTACATCTCTCTCTCTCTCTCTCTCGCTCTTCATTAAACATGACAAAGTCAGTAGACAGCTTGACACGGGCTTTTGTTTGTTCATTTTTTTGGAGGAGGAGGGAGGGCGGGGCTTATGAGTGGCGTGGAGCATGTCGGGGCAAAATTCTCACAAGAACTCAAATAAATGCCCCGTCAGATATCTAAACGCATTGGGGGGAACTGATTACGGAAACAGTCATTTTTACTCTTCAATATTGATGAATGAAGAAAATGCAGAAGGGGCACTTTTCTCATCTGGGGCAAAAGGACAGGTGCTTGACCACCCTCCACATTGTACCTGAAAAAAATCCTTGGCTCTGACTCAGATGTGATGAGAAATTAAATTATTAAAGACTTAAAGTGTCATGTAATTGTATAATTATATAATTACTCTCATTGCCGCACATTCCCGCACGGACACAAGGAATGTTGTTTCTGTGATACTAGACGCTGGTGTGTCGCAGCACTTTACCACCAGTGGGACGTACTTACAGTGAATCCTACTTTGAAATGCTGACATGGTACAACAGTGGCACTGCCACTTGCACTCATATTTCCCTCAGGGTCCTAACAATATTTAATATTCTGTATGAGTCAGAGGCCCGTGTTAAATGCTAAAGTCACAGCAAGGTTGTGTTAATGATTATTTTACTGACCAAAACTGGGCGTGAAATTTATTAGATAAAAAGTGTGGCAATATAGCCGTGACTTCCTGTTCAGCAGAATGTCATGTTTCCTTCTGTCATCCATGAATCCTCGAACGAAAGATTTCTCTCATCCATTTCCTTCTGACTGACTTCAGTACATTACGATGGGAGGTGAGAAAAGCACAAAGCCAAAGAGGTTGCACAGTTCTACTCGTGATTGAGCAAAAACAGGACATTTACAACAACAGGTTGGAGAAAATTCATCTACATTAAGGAAGTCTTTGTTTGCTCTCTCTCCTAGAGGATCTAAGGTCTCCCTGCTGAACTAATTAAGGATCTAAAGGTTCAGAAGTTGACGGCTGTCAGTACATTACAGGTAGAGAGGGCTGATGTACAGCTGTGACAGGAGGCCCACGTTGTCGCCCCGTATCCTCCTCACTATGACACAAGAAGACGCCTCTTCCCGGTGGAGGGGGTGGGGAAGTCCTTTTTACAATGACCCCAGAACATGAAGATGCACTGTAAAAAAAGATTTGTGAAATACACGGTAAATTACTGGCAGCTTTACCGTAAAAAATAAAGTGACACCGTATAAGACATTACAGTATGTTTTTTTGCACCCGTAAAATTCCCAGTTGAGAACCGTTTTGTTTACAGTAAATGATTATTAAAAAAACGGACATGCGCACCCGGGCACCCGGGTGGAACGTGTGCCTCCAGATTCCTTTGGAGACCCCACAGAACTTTGGTCTCAGTTGCTCAAATGTGGATCTTTAAAAAATGAGTTGATGAGATTGTATACAATGGATTTGAAGTAAAGTGCACATGGCGAAGTCAACAGATACTATAATGGGTTTATTCCCTCAAATCAAACATTTACTTCGGATTTTAAATCAAAGTCACTTAATGCATCACTTAATAAACAGATAAGGACGGTGAGTGCAAACAATTTTATCTCAATAAGGAAATGTGAGAAAAGATTGGCTGCCACAGTAAAAGCAGCTCAAATCTCAGATGTATCATCTTGTCTTTTTGATCAGAGGCAATAAAAAATGGCAATTTCCTTTTTCTGGTTTCGAGGAAATTATGACATTCCTTCCTCAAAGACAGGTCAGAGGTCGGTCTTTCCAAGTTCCGACACGCAAAGATAAAGACTACTCTATGGAGGCCATCAGGGGAAGAGAAACAATAACTGTATGAAGATCAGCCACACTTTCCAACAAATGTGCAGCACTGACTTGTTCTATAGTCATGGGCACCACCAACCCCCTCGAGGGTAACGTGAGGCCCGATCCTGATGTCTAGTTTCCATTGTTTCGGGAGAGACCACCACACCGGGTGTGTTACAATGACAGTGAGACAAATAGGGCAGGTCAGGAAGATTACTGCCAGTAAAAATAGTTATTCTTGCTCAGACATATTTTCACATACAGTGTTTTCATAGTCTTATTAGACAATAGCAGACATGGCTGCAAACACACCCTGCTCACATTGTTCGTGATTCACTTCATTCTTAACTACATACAGAAAACGTCCAAATGACTTTGTGATACGTTTCAAATCCAAATACTTCACTCAAAACATGCAGTTATGCGGCCTCATTCTCCAGAGAAGAAACGATTGGATTGATTGAGAGACACAAAAGACACATTCAGCGTACGCGTCTTCTTAGCATTTTAGATGTTTATCTGAGTTACTCTTCATCTTCTTCTTCGACCAAAACGCGAAACGCGGCGCTCCGCGTGCCAGACGCCGCCGGCGCGTGACCCGCGAGAGGCGGGAACACGGCGTCTGCGGAGCGGCTTCTCCGTGTGATCAGCGACCGCGGCGGAAGGACCTGAAAAACCAGTAGTGTGTAATGTCCCAGCGAGGGAGTCTCCTCACGCTGCTGCTCCCTCCTCCCCCTTGTTCCTCCTGTCCACTCTCTGCTCCGCTTCGCGTTAACGCACACAGCGGCCCCCTTCGCTTGTTGTTTAAAACGGTTTTTGCGGGTTTGTGTCCGTGCCGCGTGTGGGATTGTCACCTGGGACCTATTTTCTCTCCCGGTGTGGCCCCGACGCTTCTGCTCCTGCTTCCACGTCCCCTCTCGCGCCCAGCACAGCTGCGAGCCGCCAGCGCCTCCACCTTCTGGACTATGCCCCCACCCGCCAGCTGAGGGAGGGGGGCTCTGCGCTGCTCGCGCTCCCACCTGGACGAAAGGCTCAAATCAGACAGGAGACGGTTCGGTAAGTCTTTGTGTGTGTGTGTTTTCTCCCTATAAACTGTAGTGTGTTGTGGTTGGGAGTAATCTTTCAATGTGTGTGTGTGTGTGAGAACAAATGTTCTCCCAGGCACCGCCAAGGTGAGTCTACAGGTGAGTGTAGCTCACATTCCAGAGCGCTGTGCTTCTCGAGGGAATATTGCGTTTCAGCACCCGTGTGTCTCCTATTGGTACGTGTTTGTTGTTGTTGGTCCACTTGTAGCTTTATTTACAAGTTGTAGTTATATTTAACAATATAACTCATGTGGCTGTAGTGTGTTTTTATTTAAATGCATGTAATTGCATAGAAGCTGCATTTAAAAGGCTGAGATTGCAGCTTGGATCCCTCTGAAATGTCAGTGGGACGGCTGAGTTAGTTATGAGACAAAGGGATCAAGGTAACTTTTATAAGATAATAAAAGCACATAAGAACATGAATGGGATTTAAAATTACAATCAGCCGGCTATTGCCTTCTTCCATTCATGATCCACGATATAATATCCACTGATTTACATTATGGAATAATAAATATATGAATGCGGTTATTATGAGACTGTAACCACTAGAAGTAGAACTGATTTTCACATGTAAATGATGCTCTGTCTGTCTGTCTGATGATAATCACAGAGCTATTGTTTGTACTTTCTTTTGTTGTCATTTTCTTCTTGGAACAGCCCTGTTTCAAAGGAAAGCTTTATTATCTCGCCATAGAAAGCCTCCTGAACAGAGTCTCCACCATCACCTCTAACTGGTTACGCAGTTATTAACAGTCATTCAGCACACTGAACCTTTCACAGAAAGTGCTCCTTTCAGCAGCAGACATCTTCACTATCAAATGCTGATTGTGAAATGGAGTTTCGGTGGGTGAAAAGTACTACAAAGGACAGCTCTAAAGAAAAACCCGGCTCTACCACATTACTGTATTCTGACTAATATGATCTCCGTATTATTCCTTTGGTGAGCTGTTTAGGGTACTGCTGTTATCATTGGATTAAAACACCATTGGGAAACCGGAATATCCTGACTGGAAAATCGAAACCTCAGACTTTGAGCAGGTTCTTTGTCCTGGTAATATCAATATTAAGGAGATGAATCAGATTTCATCAGGTCGCATGCTTTCAAAATTCATATTTACATTCTGGTGTTCTGACGCGCGTAGACGGCCCTGAAGACATTTCACTCCAGGGCTTCAAGTGGTACAGTTTCGTTCGGCTTGACACCCCCCGGGCGTTGTGGCTACAGGAAGGGGTTGCTGGTCCAAGTCTGGAGTCTTCCATGCTTTTAATGAATATGTCATATGTCATCCAGACGCTATATTTAAGGAATTAAAATCATCTACCAAATACTGACTGCTTTAGCCACTAGCATACAGTATCTTTGCTTTTAGGATAAACAACGTATTTGCCCCGTAAAAATGGATACAGACTACAGTTACTTGGGGTAACAGGAAAAATATTGCTGGCATTATTATTTAGCATGAAATAATAAAGGTAACCAGTTTTCCGATTCCAGAGTACAACCATTTATTGCATATTTTCAAACTAATGACAGTTCATAACCTACTGTAACTTAATCCTCTGGCGTCTTAGACCTGGAAATGCTCATGTATCACAAGTTAAAGTCCCAACTCTGCCACTGTATCACTGTCAAAACAACAATGAAACATGTTTGATAGCCAGAAATATCACTTCCACCGTATCCCAGCCACCAGTTTTGACAATGATTGGATCAATCGAAGGCCTTTTTGAGAGAAAAACGTGTTGTTTTCTTGCCCTCACACCACAGCGCTTTCGCTTCAGCTCCTGTTTTCTGAATGTCCATTTGTCTTCCCTTTTTCTCTCGCAAACAATAGATTGTAAGCGAGAAGCTGTGGCGCAAACCTGCCGAACCCTCAATGACAAAGTAGCTTCCACCTGAACCCTGTTGTGTGGTTCTTGATATTCATCTTTTTAGAATAGGATATCTATACTAGATCTAAACCATAGATCTTTCAGCGATGTCCCCGGTCTGTACTTTTCACCGCTACACGTCGAGTCAAATGTCTTAACAATACTTCCTCTGTACCACACGCTTTTGTGTTTCATTACATCTCTGATATCACATTCTATCTTATTCCAATTTCAGCTGTAAGCTGCGCCGGCGACATGTGAGGGAGGTTGCAAAGTCCTAATTAAAACCCTCTCTTGGAAATCTTGAAAACAAATTTGACGTGAAAGGTGCATCCGACGGCGACCAGACTGTGTTGCGCTCGCTGAACTAACAGCTGCACCTGTGTTGTGTTAACCAGCTTCTTAATGCCTCCTCAAATATTGATCCCGACTGTCGCCTGATGAAGGTCCCGCTTTGAACGTGTTTCATGAATACGCGACCAGGAGCCTGCGTTAAACACGGAACGGGGAAGAGCGCTGTGCCGAGGGGGCAAAGAGGGCAGATCAAAAGCTTTGTCTGGTTTTTCCTCGTATGAAAAAGAGGAAACTAAATAGTTCCTGTTTGGTGTCTGCTCTCTAAAAAGCAATAAACGATGTGTTTACTGAGGGCGGAAGAAAGGATATTGAATCTGCCATGTTAACGAATTGCTGCAGTTTGTGGAACAACAAACAGAACTGTTACTGCAGCAATGAGAAGGCAGCCATTATGATGTCAAAGTCATCGCATTTGTCTCAGTTGTAAATTCCTTCGCTTATGAACATAAAATCTATGTATCCATCTATCTGAAGCAGGCCAATGGTCAGCAACGTCAAATGAAAAGAAGGAGATCCGTAGTTCGTATCAGTTTGTTTTGTGCTTTTTGGAAAATGTTGTTCTCACAATGTGACCCGTTTCCTGTCACGATCCTTTACTGGCATTTAAATTTCCCTTTTGTTATGGTGAGAATACAGGATGTAGGTTTGTTGTTTATGGCTCGATTATCCATTAATAACTCAGTTGACCGGTGGATCATGCTGTTTGTGGTTAGCAAACCGGCTACAGTATGGACACCTGCCGAAGGGGTTCTGAGCTTTGAGCTTTGAGCTTCAAGGAATAGTTCTAATTTGGATAAGAAGATAAATGTGAAGAGTGAGAGTTGAATGATTTTCCCTTCAACCCTTTTTTTTGTCACCTCTCGCATAGTTTTCAACTAAATTTGGGGAGGAGTAAAATATATTGCATTGTTAAATAAATGAACATACGGTAGATTGCACACTTCTCCGCACGTACTCTCCAGAAGAGGTTGAATGCATCTGTCCTATGTGTACTTTGCCAATGACGTGAGCAAGTCTCCTTCTACTGCGTGCTTGAAAGGGAACGTCCTGTTAAACACGATGTTTATGCGTAACGCTGCTCGGGGTAATTATGCTATTTGCTATTCAGGCTTGTGGTTTTCCAGGAGGTCCGGTTGGAGTCACCAGGATTGCGAAGTGTGAACACCTAAGGTGTTTCCTCAGCTGACGGGCTCTCCCCACCCCAACGTCACCTCCGCCATTGAAACCCTCCCGGAGTCGACACACCCACCCATTACTGATGAAATGGTGTCATGCGGCTGCTCGCGATTCAATACAGTAGCGATTTCAGAAATTCTTGTTCTCGTTAGTCACTTGGAAACGAAATACTGTATTGTTAAGCTTTGACGTTACAAATTCAACACCCGCCTGTTTTTTATTCCTGGTTCTAATCCCTGGTTCTAATCCCTGTTTTTTATCCCGGGTTCTTATCCCGGGTTCTTGTCCCTGGTTCGTGTCCCTGTTTCTAATATCTGTTTCTTATCCATGGTTCTTATCCATGGTTCTTATCCATGGTTCTTATCCCTGGTTCTTGTCCCTGGTTCTAATCCCTGGTTCTTATCCCTGGTTCTTATCCCGGGTTCTTATCCATGGTTCTTGTCCCTGGTTCTTGTCCCTGGTTCTTATCCCTGGTTCGTGTCCCTGTTTCTAATATCTGGTTCTTATCCATTGTTTTTATCCCTGGTTCTAATCCCTGGTTCTTATCCATGGTTCTTATCCCTGGTTATTGGCCATGGTTCTTATCTCTGGTTCTTGTCCCTGGTTCTAATCCATGGTTCTTATCCCTGGTTCTAATATCTGATTCTTATCCCTGTTCTTGTCCCTGGTTCTAATATCTGGTTCTTATCCCTGGTTCTTGTCCCTGGTTCTAATATCTGGTTCTTATCCCTGGTTCTTGTCCCTGGTTCTTATCCCCGGTTCTTGTCCCTGCCCTCTTCCATGTCCAGGTATATTTAATCGCACAAAGTCCCTCTTGTCTGTACATTAAGGAATATGGGCCCATTGATGTAGGTCGTCTCTGTGTTCATTTGGGTTTTATGTCAAAACGTTACTTTAGGCGTGTTTAAATGTCTCTATACGTATATAGTGAAAGGCTAATAGCTCTTCTGTAAATATATACACAGGACTAAACGTCATACCGTCTGTACTGTGCAAAGCTATCTTCTGGAGATTAGTGGTGTTAGATGGCTCCGGCGTATTACAAAGCAGCGGCGTTACCAACTTTACGCTGTATATGATTAGTCATTTATCAGAAACTGTCACCTCTGCAAACAGAAAACATGATATATGTCTTTACTAATCTTTACGCCTAATAGTGTGTGTCAACACCGGGGGAGTTGGTTGAGCAATGTTTGCCGTTGAGCAGGACGCTGGTTGAAACGCACAGTACACAAGTAATAGCTCCGAGTGAGGTTATGATTCATGACCCATCAAACGAAGGAGTCAAAATGCCGCGGAGTATTTTTTTTACCGAACCTTCGGCGTATTACAGGAATGCGTCGTGTTCCTCGTCTCTTCCGATGGCCACAGCCGCGCGGTTGTAAACGGTCCTTTTGCAAAGCTGCCGGGACGTGCGTTGCTCGCAGAGGAAACGTAACCTTTTCTGCTCCATTAATACCGAGGGGCTGTGTACACAAGCTGCCGCTGTATGTTCCCATACATCATTAAGAAGAAACGCAGTATATACTATGCAATAAACTAATATTATTTGCGAACAAAAGCGCATATTATGTGTAGAAGGTGTTTTTGTCATTTATTAAGGTGACAAAAACCGACACAGAACTATGTCATTTATCTTTGTTAGTTGGTTCTGAGAATGACCGATCGAAGGAGCAGTTCATCTATCGTAACTGCTCTTTCTTGTTCCTGTGTTTTTAGGCCCATTCAGCGTCAATGTCGATCGTAAAGCCTGACATTCCTCTGACACTTTGACTAAGTAATAATATTTCAACACACTGGGTGATTTTTAAATTAGTCACTGAGGCTGGAGACAAGCGACAGTGAATCGGACAAAATGACAAACTCCCACACATTTCCCAAGGTTTAACTGAACCGCCTGCAAATAAAGAAGGAAAGATACTTTGACGAATCAGGCGGCACAATGGCAGCTGATCCTTTTACATAAGAATGATCCGCATCTCTGGATCACGCTTCAGTGACGCAGTGTCCCTGTCCTCGGTGCAATTAGAGGATGAGGAACTCACTTGTTGACACTCGTTCTTTTCTGGTGTGGTGGAAGCAGAAGAAGAAAGGACTAAAACAAAGGCTTATAATTATAATGAGGCTGAATGTAATCATAATGTACTTTTGTATGGTGTTTGTTATTTGATAGGAACTTTGCTGGAGTTTTGATCTCTGAGCACGCAAAGGAGTCCCCACTGGGCTGAGGGGGAAGTATCAGTTACTGGGACAGCCCTGACCTACAGCTGTGTGGGGATTGTGTCCTAAACGGGACCTCCTAAATGAAAGAGAATCTCTGCACGAACCAACACAATACACAGATAGATACGATAAAAATGACACTGTTAAGATGAACACCAACACAATAAAACTGCCCTGAAGCAATATAACATCCCTTGGGAAAGGCATTGTTGATGGTGTAGGATTAAACGAGGCGTGACTGAGAGGACACGTTTCACATTGGTGCATCTTTACATTACGACATATTTATTGTGATGGTTATGGGAATCCTTTTGTGTTTGCCAACGGTGCGTCTGTTTGTATCGCATTCCGCAGCATTCAGCACCAAGTGTATCGTTTTTTCTCCATCAAAAAGAAAAGGCTCATTCATTTTTTTTGCACAATCACTGCAACACTACAGGTTTAAACATGGTTTCCTGGTTTGTTCTGGCTTGCAGCATTGTGGGCGTGCACATCTACAACCAGGAAGGTTTTCCTAATACCTCCTGCAAATGTAATGCTGTGCACTTATGTGAGAATAGTCAGTTGACCAAAGAGGTTTTTGTTTTTTAATGTGTGCGTTTGTCTTTCTGTGCAGGTTGTTGCTGAAGATGCAAGCGTCAACTGTCTCACCTGTGACCAACCCTTCAAACACAAGCATCACGAAGACCAAAGAACAAATACTCATCCAGAGTAAGGATGTGTGTGTGTCTGTGTGTGAGTGTGTGTGTGTGTGTGTGTTTTCACATGTCTGCTTCATCTCCTTGGCATCTTGAATTGGATATTGTTTAAACACACCCTCGTTGAATTTGTTGTTTTTTGTCGAGGATCAGGTTTTGAATCTGAACAGTGATAACAGAACAAAACATAAGATAAGATAAGACAAGCCTCATTAATACCAAACTATTCTATGCGTCATGGAGTCTAACCTCGAGGGTGTGTGCTGGAGTGTCACCCGCGCATTTTATAGGACATATTTACCATGTTGTGTTTGTCTGTGAGTGATGGTGTTGCTAGGCTACGACAAACTACTTCATGAGAATACACAGAATCTGCAGGCGAATCGCACGGCACAAAGCAGATTTGGCTGACTTGAAGACAACCTCTTAACACGTTAATTTATCATGCCACGTGTCTCAGGTTCGGGGGCAATGATCGCTGTCATCGTCTTGGGAATCATCATTATTCTTGCCATTCTCCTGATAATCCTGAAGACGTACAACAGGTAGGGCCCCATTCCTGTGTGACAGGACAATTACTGCAAATAAAAGGTCACTGTTCCTGAAGCAAGCAATGCTATTTTTAGGCTGTTCAAGGAGGCGCTTGCTGCTGCTTCTAGTTTTTTAAAGCTGATACAAATAATTGTCCATATCGACATATTCCTTTAGTTCTCAAACACATTTAACTTATTTTTTCAATGCTGTTCTGCTCCTAGATTGTAGTTTCAGTGATTTGGCCTGAGCAAGTAAAACTTATTACCTAATTTGGACATAATTTCTCTAAAGTAGAAGTATAAAATAGATCAACATGGGAATACTTTGTCCCTTCTTGCCAAATAAGTCTGATTTCCATCAGATTGAATATCTGACACGTTTCTATGAAACTACTAAGGAAATCTCACGAGCAAACAATTACTGAACACCACATGGAACGTTTCTGATTAGTAGTGTGAGTGAAGGGACATCTGGCTTTTTATTGTGTTGCCAGGTGGACACATGAATCCCGGGTCCTGGGAGCCAGAGCCAGCTCCAAACCTCGTCCCAAGACTTCACAATCCACAGTTCACAGCAGCATCCCGCTGAGCCCCGTGGACATCCACTCTGTGTCGGGAAGCATCTTCAGCTCAAACCCCATCTCGGAGAACTCCTTGCCGCTGCACCAGGCGGAGCTGAGCAGCGTGGAGGGAAACCACATGGGGCAGTTGAGCACCATCAGTGAATCCAGTGGAATCGCCACGAGCGATTCTACATCAGCCGCAAACACATAGCGACCAGACTGTGGTTTAGTCTCACGAAATGCACCCAGCGGCGTCTCCTCTCTGTCCCACGACCATATATATTGTATGCCGACTGAATCCTGTGGATACTCCCAACGGGACGTTGGGGTTGTCACCGCCAATCTCCACCAGCTGAGCCTCACTGCCACCGTCCCTACGATGACACCGAGATGTACTTGTGGTGTGCAAAAATAGACGCTGTGAGCAAAATGGTAACTTAAACAGACACGATGGACTGCATGAAGGATGTTGCATGATGGGAGGCTAGAGACTTTATTGAGAAGAATTGCTTTTTGGCTACTGTCAGTGTTCAGAGTAATGACGGCTAAGGTTTCTCCCCAATGGTCCACGCAGATCAATAGTAAAATAATGAAGTAAATGTGGATTAAACACAGTTATGGCTTGACTAGATTGCTCTTAGTGTGTACATTTCTGTATTAAAGTTGACCACATATGGTGATGAGTAAATGTAGGATTAATATAAAGTCAGAGAAGACAAAAACAGGGAGAAATACACCATCTAAGTGTGTGATGGATACCATTATGTTTTTTTTAAAATGTGTTGATATTACAGCATTCATTCTAAATCTGCTTTACATGGCATTATACTGTCTTTATCTTCTGCTCACAGATTAGAAAGATTAGTTTTCATTAAAGAAATCTTTAAATTGTTTTTTACTTGTATAACAAAGAGACCATAGAAATATTTTTAGATATATGGGTGTCAGCTTAACAATGTAATGTAAATCCTTTTTAGTTTGAAACAAAGGATTTTGCACTTTATTTCCATTTCTCTCTGTATTTGTATTGTTTGTTGTTCTTTAAATTAAATAAGCTTAAAATAAATGATATTGCAAACTTTTGTCAAAATGAAATGCCATGTGTATGACACGAGGACGCAAGATATAAATTATTTTAAACCTCAGAATAAAAAATAAAACGGCAATGAGGTAATGTTGCACATCAGCGTTCAGTTGTTGGTGTCAGTTATATCGCCCTCAACTGGTACTTTCTGGTACCATAACAAACTGAAGCTGTATTCAAGATTTCAAGAAACGTTGCAAAAATATTGCGGTTAACGAATGAGTCATCAGTCAAGTTGTCTTTTGCTTTATTTAATACATTTTAATATTCTGATACAACGTCATCTCTATCAATACATGGTTACGGGAGCGTTACGAGAATAGACAAACAAATAGGTTTGAAACAGTTCAAAAATATTCCCCGTTGCGTGATTTTTTACTTCAAACTGAGTTGTCTTGAATGCACCCTGAATCACTAACGAACGATGGTGACCGCAGGTGAGTGGCCAACAAGCTCACTTACTTTCTAAAATATATATTTGCCAAGTATTTTTAGCCCGAATATATAAGTAGTCCTATGCGTTCCGCTCAAGCTTGACTAAATATTAAGAGGACTAAAAGAATCACGGCTAGCGCTACGGAAGCAGGCTAGCGTTAGCCTAGCCTAAGAGGCTATTCCGCTGTCGTCATAGACCACTAGTTGGTCATTATTCCACACATGCAGGTGTGATGGTGTGTGACGGTTGTGCTTCGCAGTGGAGCTGCTGAGTCTCCTGCTGGTGTCGGCGCTGTGGGGCTGCACTAACCCCTTCCTCAAGAGGGGCACGGAGGGAATCGAGCATGTGCGACACAGCAGCAGAGTGTCCCAGCTCCTGGCGGAGGGCAAGTTCCTCCTCCTGAACCTCAAGGTGAATCCTGGCATCAAAGATTTCCTCTGCCAGGGTGCCATGTTTTCATTTATAATCACTTGAATTGAACTTCTTTCTCCACAGTACCTGATCCCATTTCTCCTGAACCAGAGTGGCTCTTTGGTGTACTATTATACACTTTCCACCACAGGTGAGACACACACACACACACACACACACACACACACACACACACACACACACACAATATTCACAATAAGACGGTATCATGCACAATACCAGCCTATATGCAGAAAGCACACACATTTTGAGGATTTGTAAAAGATTAAAAGTGTTGTTGTTAAACTAATGCCCCATTGTTTCAGCTCTAAACTGACCACACACCATATTGTAAGAAGTGACGTGTACAGATTTTATTAGAAAGACCCTATACTTATTTGTTTCATAAAAATACAAAAAAGGATACTATTTGACAAAGAAGTATCCATTTACAAACATGGGTCTCATTGTACTAATACTTGTGTAACATTTTGACTCAACTCTGAGTAGTTTTTCACTGCTATCATGCTGGAGGTGTAGGTTTGCATATTGCATTTTGGTAACAAAATATTATATCTTTATATTTTACAATAATATTGTATTCTGTTATGCAGAGTTATCTCTTGCTGTTCCCGTGGCCAATTCGCTCACCTTCCTTTGCACTCTGTTCACTGGCAAGCTGCTGGGTGAAGAGTTTGGAGGCAAACGTAAGTGACTCATTTTCTTACACTAGTTTGCTTTTTTTCTGTCCCGCACTTACTGACACACACGAGGACACATCTGGGATGCTACAAGCTTCAGACATTGGCTTCTGGAACATGTTCGGAGAGCTCACATACGCAATAATCAAGTAATATCAGCTTAACGTTACTTGACTGGCACACCAAGACATAAATGAGCAGTTGATTCCCTCATCTTCCCTTTTCCTCTCATTGAAACATGACTGATGACAACCTACTGGTTGTGTGATTTTTAAGATGTCATTCTTCTAATATTCTTTCGCCTTCATGTCCTTTACTCCTGACTCTCTGCAGAGGCCGTTGCAGGAATGTTCCTCACCATGGCCGGCATCGGCCTTTGTGTTCTAAGCTCCATCGAAGACACAAAAACTGAGATGCAGGCCGACATGAGGATTTAAACAAATTCTCCTGTACCTTCAAGAGACTCCTCAGGCAAGGAGGAAAGATTCCCAAAGCGTAGCTGGACCAGGACTCCTTACGAACAGGAGAAATCCAACGCAGACACGGGGAGAATACACACAGAGAGACGAGTAGAGGTGTGTCTCTGTGAGGCTGCTCACAGGCTGCCAATCACCGAGCTGAGGTGGGGGGGGGGGTCATTTAAGCTGATGTTTCAGATGCGAGGGAAAGTTAAGGGATTTGTAGGAGAGAAACAAGGAGACGGAGAGTTGGCAGAAATGCATTTATAGACCAACCACATGTATGAATACTTCTACGGAAAAGCCTCAAATTAAGGTGTTCTAACCCAAAATCTTGCATTACTGTAGCGGTAAACTGTTTTTTTTAAATGGTATGTTCAGATATTGTTTTCTCCATTGAACTTAAGCCTATCCCTTTCCTTATGTTATGCAATAACATATGAAATGATGTGTCTTAAATACATTTATAAATTACTAAAAATATTTTAAACATGAATCTGAAAGTGCTCATTTTGAGGTACTAACCTTTAAAAAAAAAAAACTGCGGAGCAGACTGTGAAAAGGTCCCGTCAACAAAGTCTTGACTCAGCGTCAGCTTTAAAACCTTTGTGCAGAAACGCTCACGCCGAGCTGAAGGGGACGTGGGTTCATGCAGGGTTCACCTCAGCACCAGACTAGATTTATGGCGCTTGCCTCCAAGTTGCCAGCTGTTAACTTTTAATTTTAAGCCCTCGGCTGTCTTACCATGGGACCGCTGTTGGCATAAATGCCAGAGGCCTCAGACAAATACCGCTGGGGTTTGAAATGGAGCCATTTGATCAAACTCTCTGGTCGGCACACTTCTACAGCGTGAAGAGGCTTTGGGGAAGAAGGGACGCAGGAGAGTAGAATAAAGCTGCTCTTCATTTACTGTACTTAGTTTTTCCTGCTGACTTGTAAACATTTATTGCAGAAAATCATAAACCGCTGTTTTTATTTCTTTGTAAGATAAACATGGTTCTTTTTAACTTTGACGTGTAGTGTTCAGATTTTTTGAATAACGAAATTGGACATAGTAATGTATATTTTTATTGTCCCAGTCTTTAATGGACCCATAACGCTGTACAGACAACTTTATTATGGTTTTACCTATTCAGCTTGAGATGTGGCTGATATTTTATTATTAAATTGTTGGCAAAACATGATGGTCTCCATCACTGATTTCTGCAGATTGGAAATACATTTAGGAATAAAATGTCCCCAAAAAAAATAATGTTCCTTTTCCACAAATATAAGTGTATCTATATATAGATGCACAATATCTGCATTAGAATGATCCCTGTCTTTTAGGAGCTAAAAATGTCAGAAAAGTCCAGTTTTGACTGACTGTATTAAACATAGTGTGTCCATCATTTGTTATTTCTGTTCTTATATTATCCGGACACTTTTGACTCGTAATTTATTTCGTAAAAGAAAACAGCATAAATGAATGATTTCACATTTTCATCACCACAGTCGAAATATCTCCAATGTAATCAAAGACTCATTTAGCCGCACATCTTCTGCTTGTTACGATGACGTCTCGGAGGCGTCGTTTGTGCTTATTGTTTTAACAGTCCTCCTGATTACGTAGGCCCTCCTGTTTAATCAAATTATTACAGTTTAAAAGAAAAGGCAATCAGGCGCACATGGACACGTCAAAGGCAACAAGCTGTGAGGAAGTAAACTTGCCTTTTCTTCCCCGTTCTGTGGCGCGGTGGCTGATGACGGAGGCCGTGACTCTGGAGACGTTTGCTTCAACTCATGCACCTTTTAAAATGAGACACGCATCTCGTGTGACTACTTTGTGTGTCTGTTTACTTCTGAGTGGAACCCGACAGTAGCGTGTGTATTGGTACCGGTGTTTCCGCAGCAGAGTTTTCCGTCTGTTTCACACCATCTTGTTCAGGTAACGGCGCCTGTCACAGGAAAAAAGTTTCACCCAATTAAAAAATGAACTTTTCTATACCAAGACACACATGTAAACACCCTCTCATATGTTACGGACATTTTCCATTGTGTTAGTTCGCTCCCATTGTGCTGCTGTTTTTTTCCCACATATAGAATCAAATTGATCAAATATTCGTGTTTTAACTGCATTGACTTTAATTTATGAAAGACAGCATAATGCATGAACCATCAATTTATCATCGGGGATCCATGTTGTTTCCGATATATACCCTCTTAAATGTTTGGGTTAGGGTTCCTGAACGTGACAATATGAATTTCTCCATTTTGTGAAGAATGTAACAAATTCACAAAAAAACAAATAATTTGTTTTACCTGCTGTGTGTGTCTGCTGTTGAAATCCTCGTCCTCCACTATTTCTGCAGCTTTCTTTAGACAAACACGAGAGTCGGGTTTACAGACGTCCTCGGCTCTGAACATGAACATTGAACCTTTGACATTTCATTCTTTCATTGTGCAACGCGGTGACAAAGACCCCGATGGTGAAGCGCACCTGGTCAACGGGGAGCTCCGTGGCTGTGTTTTCATCCTCGTGCACCTCCTCGGCCCCTCGCGCCTCCTCTCTTCTCTTCCTCGCGGCTCTTCCGAACACGCTCGGCTGGACTGGAACGCGCAGAAATGAAAACGCCACAAAAGAATGCATCAAACCCCGTTGTGAACGTTGCAAAAGCTCGACGTAGAGTCAGAACGGGTGATCCTCACCGGGCCCGCTGCTGGCCGGGGGTCTCGGCTGTTCCCCGTGGCTGCGGATCTTGACCGGCCTTGCGAAGAACGCGGAGGCCTCGTCGGCTGCCTCCCTCCTGCTCCTCTGCTGCGCGGCGGCTGGAGCTGCCGCTTCGTCCCCGGTCGACTTCACCCGCCGACTGTCTGACTGAAATTGGCAGGGATGGAACTGCCTTAATGTGACAGGCACCAAGCGGCCTCAGCACAGTGTGTCTGGTGGCGCTCTATTAGCGGGGAACAAAAGAAAAGCGAGCGGGTTGTTATTACCTCTGGGGAGTCGAGGAGGGCCGAGTCGCTGTGCTGGTCTTCCGGACCGCTCCTCGCCTTCCTGTACTAATAGAAACACGAGACACGAGATCCAAATGTACTCAAGAACAGCAACACTAAGACTATTTCAGGACACACAAATATTAACTCTACACTCACAACTAAAGGTACCTCATTTCTCCTTAACAGCCTTCTCTTTCCTGGATTATATCTACAAAATAAAGAGAGAAACAATATTGTGCAGAGCAGCCAGCAAAGAGGCACATGAACACACAAAGAGTCTTTGCAAAACAATACCTCTCTGTGGCTTTTGAAACCAAAAGCTCCACATATGGAAGTTTCTTGAACCTCTCGGTTCCCACGGCAACGTAGCAGTGTCCTGTCTCCAGCTCCACAGCCGAGGACACAGTTACCCCCTCCAAGGTGCACAACCTGATAAAGCACAGGACTCAGGGTTGATCTATTTGTATCCTACAGCGGGCGCATGTGCACGTGAGTGTGTGCAGGCGTCACTGACCTGCGCACCGCTCCGGTTCGTAGGCTGACCTTCTCCGTGACCAGACTCAGGATCTTCTCCAGGTCCTGCTGCATGCTCCGAGGAATGATGAACCGGAATGGTGGACACAGGAGATCTCCATTGCGGAAAACGCTGAACAGAAAGAATGTAAAAAATGTAAAAAACGATCCTGTTTGAAACAATACAGTACAAGCTCATATGTACTCCTGTCTATAGTGGCCATGACAAAACGTTCAGGCAAAGCAGGAAGCCTTCAGCAGGATATCTTCCTCAGATACAATCCTTTTATTGTCAAATTTCCCTTGACAAATAAAAAGTTTGATCTGATGTTGTGGCACTGAATAAATAAATATTCAGAGTTACTACAGTTACAGAGTTATTTTCAAAGTCATTACAGTTCATCCTGAGGGGAACTTTAAGGGAAGGATTAATTCGGGGAGGGGGGGGGGGGCTACCTTGTCTAAACCAAAATGTTGGACAGATAGAACAAATGACGGGCCTACGGTCATGGAGCTGGTCATGGTCATGGATTCTTGTAAAGAGAAAATCAGTAATTCATTGTGTGTGTTATCAAAGTTTGTCCAACTCACTGTAAAATGCAAGGTATGGGTATAAACTTCCTCCATTTGGCTGAAACATTTGGCCTCTGGGTTACTTTTGCCTGCAGAAGATAGTCAGAAAATCACATGCATGGCACTGAAAAACATTATAACGTTGACATTTTCTAAGAGAAACTAGAAAATCGTTTTTTACCTCATTCATGTCGTGCACTTCAATTACCCTGCACATCCGTCTCAGAAAAATCCGCCATCCTAAATGTGTCATGACTGACTAACTATTCTGCTCATGTCGGATTGAGTGCGGAAACAGAGAACCGGCACATTCCCAGTCTGACCTGAAGGCTCCTGTCAAAGTGTCAAATCAGTGACATCTGAAGCCGTCATCAGTCTGCCTCTAAAATAAGCTCGGAACAACCATCATTTTTTTTAAAAATCTGGAGCGGCAGTAGTTTACTGCGCTTCCAGTGTCCCCTGAGCAAAGAAGGAGGCGTGCGTTGGTGAATGTGGTCACTGGGCCGGTCCAGACAAGCACGGAGCTCAGATGACTCCGCGTGGAAGCATCACTCTTTGTTCCAGCGGCGGGATTAAAACACCACTCTCTCACGGACACACTTCCCGCGTTGCTCCAAAGCAACCACAACACCGGCATGCAGAAGCAAAATGGCAGACCCCCCGAGGCACACACAACCGCTCTGCGCCACTTTTGTGTCTTTCAGGAAATGTGAGACGCCAAGCCGTCACTCGTCAGCGCGAGTGGATGCTCGTGTGCTCGTGTGACATCTATTCAGTGTGAATCGATGATGTGTGCACGGTGCAGCCTGGGCGGTGCATTCCTCCTGCTCAGACCGGGATTAATCAGTGACGGGCCGTGCCGTGGGGCTGAAAAAGCAAGTCACGTGACAAAACGAGAGCCTACCTGGGTTTCTTCACGTGCAGCGGGCGGATTTTTGCCTCTGGCGTTCAAGTAACTAAACATCAAAACAACAGAGAAATACATCTTCACACCTCTTATTCAAATACAAGCATTCATTCTAAATTCATTTAGAAAATTGTCCTATTGGAGGTCAAATGATTTCTTATATGAGCACAGCAAGCGGCGCTTGTACTCACTCCAGTTTCTTGAACCTTTCGAAGCCAGCGGCGACATACTGGGCTCCCGTCTGAAGCTCCTGGAGGTCTATGACCTTGTGGCCCTTTCTGGGGGTGTACAGAGTCCTGACGGCGAGCGGAGCCCCGATGCTCTGGGTCACCTCAGTCAGAAAGGCCTCCATGGTGGCCACCTGTCTCTGGTTGACCACGAACCTCCGTCCACTGTAGAAGGGGTCTCCATTCTTGTACACCACCACGCTCTTCACCGGGGGCCGCGGCGTCGTGCCCGCGGTGGCGGCGGCGGCCGCCGCCATCGGCAAACCGGGTATCACTGTCGCGGAGACATTTTCCAGAAAAGGGCCGTGTTTGAGTCCACGTACGTCAGCGTCGCGTCCACATCGCTCGCTACAAGCCTGCAGTGGCATTTACCGAGTACCTTCACACACCAGACACACTCACACAGCACATGACCTCAGGTCACACATTAATAAAGATGTTCAGGGACTCACGCTCCAGGCGGACGAGGAAGCGAGGAAATCCTAGAATTGAAGGCAAAAGGTGAAAATGGGCCCGTCTGGACTCCGGCTTACTGCGTTCTGTACTATCTACCCCCTGAACGCACACATACACACACACACACACACGCACACACTCTCCACTGACGGCGGTAAGTATTTTCTGGTCGCCATGGCAGCGTGGCCAGCAATGACTGGCTTTGTGGGCCAAACCCTCGGCAGCAACCACAACAAAAGAGACGGACAGAAGGGAAGAGAACGGGTCGTGAGCTGAATCAATGAGATAACCTCTTCACCCTGTTGTCTGTATTTTATGTAAATGTATCATTATTATTAGCGGTAGTATTTGTCTTATATGAGCTAATAAAATGAATACTTTTAGAACTAGGGCCCTGCAACTTTATCTCCAATGTTCGTCTTGTTCAGCCTCCTCCTGTTGGTGCTCTTTAAAAGATAATGATACCAAAATACAACAGCAGTTTCACAGAGTTGAGAATATTTTGTAGGATAATCCGCTTATGTGATGAGAGAAAGACTCATTCACTGTGATAGAAATGGGAAATTTGAGCTTCTTTGAGTCTCAACAGAGCCAAGAATGTCTCCTGTGAAAGAGCGGTCCTCCCACACAACATTAGCTACCTTTGGATGCAATACCAGCGAAGCCACTGCTGCGGCAAAAAAAAAAAAAGAGCAGAAAGGAGAAAAAACAATTTATTCACATTTTAAATTAGCAACAAATATATACAACGTACAGCTTTCGTCAAACACATCGTAAATACCACTCTATTTATGTTGCGTTTTTTAATGCATAAAATTTCAGTTAGTCCAACATTATCGAGTCCATTTCACGTGGCTTCTGTTGTCACGCTCAGCCGGTCCTTCAGTGACAAGTACTGTAGAGGAGGAGACAGAAGAGTCATTAAAAAAGGTTCACCTGGGGTGAGCAAAGTCCCCTGCATCAGTAAGTCCTGCTTTCTCTGATGCCAGCTGAGGTTTACATCATGTCTTCTTTGCGCACACACGGATCCACACCGTGGCACCTTCACATCCCCGGGGCCCCCGGAGCTGCAGGGGACCAGTGACGGAGGATACGTGACAGCATTCCTTTTGTTGTAAGATAAATGAAGGGATTTAATCGGTACAAACGCTTTGCGCAAAGGGTGCAGCTAGCAGAATATGCTAAGAAACTAAGAATTTAATAACGAGTCTAGATGGTAGAAAAAAAGCAGAATCTAGCACATGGCCTCGGTATACTGGTGCTGCTTCACCGCCTCCAGAACATGTCGGCCGTTACTGGGAGCTACTGATGCTGCTGATACACAATGGTTATTATTTAGGCGCAGATACGTAATGCAGGCATTTTCTATTTTATTTTAAAAGAAGTTATCTTTTGAAGCAGATGCAATCTTCTCCCAGCAGGTCACCGCGACTGCTGAATGAATGGAGGGAACAAACCACTTCCTTCTTACCTTTTTTCTGCTGTCAATGGCCTGTTGGAGCCAGACCAGCTCCATGGTGAGGGTGTTTCTATGGAGACGGAGGCCCTCTGGGGTGCAAGGCACCTCCTTAGCCAAGCACAACAGCCGGGGAGCTGGAGGAAGGATGGCAATTTAAAAATGAGCGATAAGACATCTGCCCTGCCCGAGATGAATCTGTTTTGCAATGATACAAGTATACCATGTGTTTGATACAAAAAGGTCCAATTTGCCTCGATATTCTTTACACTATTTCTTTCATTTATTTGTCTCTTTTTAGTTATTCTAAAGTGAAAACTATTCAAATGTGGGGAGATTAATGAGCTTCAATACTATGAAATTGCTCCCTTTTCAGGTTGATTTGAAGGTTCTGAAGCATATCAATATTTTAAATAATTAAAACAAACCAAATCACAGCTAATAATGTATTCCATCCTCAACTGAGAATTTTTTCACACAACAAGACTGGTGCTCAAAAAATTAAGTTTCATCAATCGTTTAATTTGATTTCTTTAAATCAACTTTTTTTGTGATCAATTACCAATTGATGTCCCTTATTAAGGCAAATGAGTCAACATTTGCTGTTTCAAGTCTGTGCAGATCTCCTTTTCACTATAATATAACTGTGAATGACAGTGAAAGCATCTCATTGAGGGCTTGGAAGTTGTGATTGGCAATTTTCTTAGTTTATAAAATGTCATTGCATGAAACGATTGGGAACCGAATTATGAGTTGAAGCCTCACACGACACGCAACATTTCACCTTTTACGACGGTGATGTTCATAGCTCTCACCTTTTTGAGACCGGTCCAGCTGCAATCGGCTCTGGACCGTGATGGAGTCTCCACCATCCTTCTCCACCTCTGCGCCGTCTTTCTGTGACCCTCCACCGACTGTCACACTACTGCTCTGGATACAGCGCCGAGGAACGAAAGCCTGTCCTGGCCTGGTTTGTGAATCGTCTCTCTCTGCTTCCACGCGACGACCTCCCCTCTCCTCTGACAGCGGTGCTGGTGATGGTGGCAATGGTGATGGTGTTGCTGGTGGTGATGATGGGGGGGGACCGGCACAGGGAGCTAGTCGTGGATTTGAAAACTTGCCGGCCGAGTTGCTGGGTCGTAGAAAGGGTCTGTCCTGGAAATACATGGGCACGAGCATGAGAGAGAGCGATAGAGATGCTGTTAAGTTTCACTTAACGCTAACCTACGGTGTCTGTGAAGTGGGGAATGGGGATGACCATCTCCTTCCACACCAGGTGGGCCAAGCCTCCATCAATCTCTTTCACGATGTCCTCAAAGTCTTCTCGCCCACGACGCACTTGGTTTCTCACCAAGAATCCCCGAGCAGATGCCTGTCGATGAGCGGAGAGTTGACGTACACAGCAACGTTGAACTAACGAGACGCAGCACGTCTCTAGTGTAGTTTTTGGTAGCGTGAATGCTAACAGCTGTAGCACAGTCCAACGTTAGCAGCCATTTTTTACAGTTTAGTTAAACTAAAAAAAACCCGACTTTGAACACCATCATGAGGCTTTTCGGCTTGAGAGGAGGACAAACGGCGTTTGAGAAATAGTTACCTGAAAGCAGGTGAGTAACTTCTCCCATTCACGTCTGTCCATTGCTATGGTAACGTGACAGCGTTACTCGGGGAGCGCGGGAGACGAGCTCAAACTTTGCCTTTTCTTCCGGTGTCACGCACACAAAAATAAAAGCCTCATTGTTTACGATGACAACGTACGGGTGATGATTTAGCGCCTAGCTTGATTTGTCACCGTCAATATAGTACACAGCTTCCCCCCGAATCTAAACTGTATGTAAAATGTATCGAAATTGCTCTGGAGTAAAACCATCGTTACGTATGTGGTGTTGTAATTTGACAAAACGCGGGCGGAAGTGACCCCGTGTTGTTGTACCCGGTAGTCACTTCGCAATGCTGCCACCGCTCGTGCCATGGCCCTTCTTCTCAAGTTTTTCCGCCACAACAATAGAAAATGAGTAGTGGCTCAAACCAGAGGACGTTGTTCCAGACATGGGGCGGACCCGTCTCTCAAAACAAAGCTTTTCCACCCAAGAAAGAGGTCAAGAAAGCCGCTGGGCGGCGCAGAGCTAACGTCGCCCCGAGCAACGGCGCCCAGGTAGCTAACGTGACAACACGCCTCCCCTCTCTTCCCCCCAACCCTCTCTGGCCTCAAATAGGTCACGGGGCGAGGACAGAGGACCCCCCGCCTCTGTATGAATATGACGATGACGACGACGACCTTATGGTGGTCGCCGTGTCCGAGGCGGAAAAGTGCCTACAGCTTAATGATGCGAACTATTTTCGAAATGACGCCCGTGTATCAACCGAGAGCGCTGCCCTCGGTCCCTCCGCGTCACCCGGGCGAACCTACCCGGACCTCCCTGGCTTCGACGGCTCCTCGGCCAAGGTATGGATCTACCCCACCAACTACCCCATCCGGGAGTACCAGGTGAAGATATCGGAGGCCGCCCTCTTTCGGAACACGCTGGTGTGTCTGCCCACGGGCCTGGGGAAGACGTTTATAGCCGCCGTGGTTATGTACAACTTCTACCGCTGGTATCCATCGGGGAAGATCGTGTTCATGGCGCCCACCAAGCCTCTGGTGGCGCAGCAGATCGAGGCTTGCTACAAGGTGATGGGGATCCCTCAGGCTCACATGGCTGAGCTGACAGGTGACGACCACGCTTCTAAAACCAACAACACACACACGCTTTATTTTTTTTTGCCTTTTGTTAACCTGTATTAGTTGTCTGTCTCCAGGCACCACTGCGGCGAACCGCAGAGAGGACGTGTGGAGGACCAAGCGCGTCTTCTTCCTCACCCCTCAGGTGATGGCGAACGACCTGTCCAGAGACACCTGTCCCGCCCAGCAGGTCAAGTGCGTGGTGATCGACGAAGCCCACAAGGCGCTGGGCAACCACGCCTACTGCCAGGTGAACGCAACCTGCGAGCGACGGTGGCCGCTCGTCATTCCGTACAGCTTCTGCGTTAATGCTGACCGTATTTTCAGGTTAGATTGCACTTGCCACGTCAGATTCTGCTTAGGATCCTGCAACAAAGTGACTTTAAAGTTACATTCATCCCCAATGAGGTTCTCACCCAGAAAGGTTCACTTGTGAAACATTGTCATGTTCGCCTCGACAGCAGTTTGCAACTCTATTCCCTTGTTATTAATTTAGTTATGTGACCAAATAGCACAGCCGAGGAGTCTTTCCCTGTCGTACATCTGTTTTTTACTGCAAGACCACTTTGTTCATTAAGAAGTACAATCATTTCTTCCAAAGTGTAGGAGTATGAAGTCGCATTGAATGGAGGACTCATGTGACGTAAAATGACCAGGAAACTGTACAATCACTGAAGCGCTGAGAGTTTTGATTCGACTCCCACTTCTATTTACTTGTAGGGGATCTGTTGATTTACATTCTTGCACTTTTACTTCCCAAACTGTTTAAACGATTGCCGTGAAGTTCTAACAATGTTGTGTACTTGCCCTTCTCCCCGTTACTCAGGTGATCAGACAACTCTGCAGCCAGACTTTGCAATTCCGCATCCTGGCCCTTAGTGCGACTCCAGGGGGGGATACAAAGGTCAGACCGAATAATTAAATCCCTCCATTTAACTACTCTACAATGAACGTGATTCATCCTCCTCTTCCTCTCTCGCCCCGCATCTGCAGTCGGTGCAATCGGTGATCTCTAACCTGCTCGTCTCCCACATCGAGCTGCGTTCAGAGGAGAGCCCCGACATCCAGGCCCATTCCCACGAGCGCAGTGTGGACAAAATGGTGGTTCCTCTGGGAGAGAGCCTCTCCGCGCACCAGGCGCGCTACCTGCAGGTAGGCACAAGCCACTTAAAGTCACATGTAACAAAAACTCCTCCCTGTCCTTTAAAGCTCAACAAGAATGTCTTAGAATGGTTAGCAAAACGGCTGAACCGCAGAGTCGATCCACGGCCCACGATGGGTTTACTGTGTGATGCATGTCGGTGATAAATGCAACACATCAGTGGACAAACTGACGCAAACTTAGACAGACGTTGGTTTACCTCATGCCATCGGTCCAGTTTATGTACAGAATGTGACTTTCTTTGTTTGCTTTTGCGCCTGGCTGCCACCTTGTGGTCCCCGTTTTCCTCCCAGCTGCTGTCCTTTTTCTCGGCCTCCTCTGGCCTTGTGCTTCGTACCGGGTCAGTTAATACTAAACGGATTGATTGGTCTTGAAAGCACCTGGTGGTCCGGCCTTGCATGTTCTCTCTGTCCTCGCCACAGGGTCAGTTAACTGTGTGTGCGTGTGTGTGTGCTTTGCTGTAAATGTGCAGCAACACTCAATGTGCAGTCCGTCTCAGCTGGCTGGACAGCCGAAATGTGACCCCTGCGTCTGAGGGTTTGGACCAGTTGAACACGAGCTCTGTGGGGTCTTCCTCGTCTCGTTTTCTCCCCTATGTTCTTTTGGGATCTTTTGTAATCCTTAATAATTTTGCTATTCTTGCCTTGTCCTGGAATTTTTTTCCCTTTCTCATTCCACCTCATTATAGGAACCCCCCCCCCCCCCCCCCCGCCCCCCGGCCAGATGTCGCCTGCAACCTGCTCATTAACTTCCATTTCACTCCGCGCTTTGTATAATTTGACCGGACGCTACACCAAATAGAGATAACGCTGCCCTCGGGTGTAAAAGGACCATCGCTGCGGCCCGTCTGGTGCAATTTAATGATTTTTGAGCACATGTGAAAAATGAACCAGTCATGCGGAGAGCTTTTCGGGGCTCGGTTAAATCCTTTTCCCGAGCTTTTGTCTCATTTTTCTAATCACAAGCACCAAATAGAGCGACTGTTGGTCTTAATCACTCAAGTAGCTCCACTCCGTGTCAACACCTGACCACCGCTTGCCAAGCCGCCGCTGAGATACTCGCCATTGCACTGCTGTTGGGTTGAAATGTGCTGAAATTCACGAAGAGCAATCTGTACTCAATTATATATTTATATTTTTTCGTATTTATAAGACCATTATCTGAAAGCAATGCCTCGGTTGCAAACTAAAAGCCGTAGTGAATGTTTGTTCCTCTATCAGAAACTATATACAGACTGATGTGTTGGGCAAGATGCTGCACTCTGATACACAGAGTGTGTGTGAACCTTGTGTGAACTCATCACGTTACTTCAATAGCGGAGCCCCGGTCGTTGTTGTGAAATGGGTTTTACTATATGTTTTAAGGACAAAGTAGGATGTGACCACTTTTCCACATTTGAGTTGATGAAGCCTTCAGCGATGTTCTTCAGTACACTGTGTACAGTACTTGTTGTTTGGTATGTATTTATCAGTATGAAGGCAGAAATGTTTTTTTAAAAGGAGCACAGTTGTAGCTTAAGTAAAGATCTAAATTGTTAACTACTTATTAAATATATGTCATTATAAATAGTTAGTAATTATGTAATAGTAATAGTGTGTGTGTGTGTATATATATATATATATATATATATATATACACACACACACAAACTTTGTCTTGTCTCAAAAATTCAGAATGTTCAGGTATTTTGATGCAAACTGTATGTGCGAGCCCAATAAAACTCAGCAATGCTGTACACGTCAAAAGACGGGAGACAAGCAGGTTTTTATTGAACAGAGAAAAACCACAATAGCTCTTGCTGCTGCACTTGAATTTTCACAGAACACTTTCGCAAAACACTAAAACAATAAGCAAAAAGAAAGGAAAAAAACTCACTTTTGATGTTCCCATATAACCAAAAGGGAAAACCAACCCACGCACATCATGGCTTTGCAAGTGTTTACTTTATACTACAGTTGTCAGAGTATCTTATCAACTATACAATCATATAATGCAAAATAAATTCTTTGGATTTTAATGTCTTGACTTTAACACTGGGCGGACTTTCCAACCCAACATTAATTTATTTACTGATAATGTCTATGTTTAACAATTTAATTTCAGATTCAGTAAGATGAAACCAAGCTCCTCACCCATTTCTTTACAATTCTAAACCCATTTAAGATTTCACTAACAGAATGCCAGAGCATTTTGAAGGATGCCTCTGTTAAATCACACAGTGACAATTTCCAAAGCATCGACATCCCCCATCAAAGTGAACTCTAGATGTAGCTGGTTTAATGTGTATCATTTAGTTTTATATTAGTATTGTTTTAAAGAAAAATATAGTGAAGATAAACATATATCTTTAATTCTGACTCTCCTTAGATCAGGTCCATTAAAAACAGTTTGAGTTTAGCTTACATTTAACAAAAAGATCACAATCACAGGAACGATATTCTCTGCGCTCTCTTTTCTTGTTTGCAGCATCGGTGTTTGCAATTCAACTGTGAATTAATAAAAGGCCAATTCCGTTCTCTTTCCCCCCCCGAGGGGTAAACGTGTCCGCACAAGGTCACCGCTCCGCGCTACCTGAGCGCGCCGCACCTTCCTTCCAAAATCCAGTAGTTTTCTCTACCCGAGAAAAATTAATTTTCTCGAGGAGATCTCCTGATCTACTTTATTTTCTTTTTTTATCATTCGTCTTTATAGGAATACAAAGAAAGCCGAACGAAGGCAAACTCCTGGCCGACGACGCGTTGGCCGCTACCAAGTGGTGCGGAGAGAGCGCGTGTGAGGCTTAATCACAAACACTTACACAGGGTAGCAAGCAGACATGGCATGAGAAAGAGGTACATACGTCGATATTTCCTTCCTATGTGTGAGTAGATTTGCACTGAGGAATGCATTCACTTTTTCTGAGGCGTAAATTACACGTGTAGTAACCGTTTGATTGTCATTCAGCTGTAATAGCGTTTTTTCAGCGTTTGGTTTGTAGTTTGTTTGTGTCCTTTTTTTGTGTTTTCCTCCCTGCAGCTTTACATTCATGGAAAAACACGTGAGCATTTCTATGTTCATATGGGTCTGTTTTTTTTTTTTTTTTTCAAATGAGTGTTTGCTTGTTACATTGAGCTTATCGACTGTTGAAGCCACTTGTTCGGGCCTGGATGTTGTGTATTGGTTGTTGCTTGCCGTGGCTCCCCCCCTTCCCGGGCCCAGCTGAACCAACCTGGGGATTGCGGTTTGGGTTCGTGGCCCAGCGATTCTGACACTGAATATTGCACTTGCTAGTAAAACATGACTGTTTTTGCAGTGCAACCGGAACCACGCTGTACCGTGTAGTCAAACATTTAGTCCACAGATTAAGAAAAACACTGAGCTGGAATCACCACAGCGAGCTGGAGAATTGAAAAAACTGTTGACTTGTGCCTTGACCTTTACCCCACATGACGAGACGGAGTAGCAGTGCAACAAACGGAAAGGGGGGCACGATAAGGCGGCTGCATTCTCCTCACAGCGATCAGTGGTAAAACTATTTTAACTTTTAACTAGAGAGCACTGCGTTTTGGGAAAGGTTCTTTTTTTTCTTTTTTCGGCATCTCAATGTAAGAGCAGGAGTTCAATACCATGTTTCACCACAAAGGCACAACGAGTAGGATTTAAAAAAAGACTTATTATTAAAAATATTTCCTATCTTTAATCATTTGTGAGCCTCTAGAAGTGCGTGGCGGTGTCCCCCCCACCCCCCCACTGACGCAAATATAGCAAGATGAAAAGTGGCGAATGCTCGGTCCAAAACGAGAGTGGAACCGGGCTCTGCTTTCACCCCTGATGAGCTGAGGAGGAGAGGGGGCGCACTCTGAACGTTGTGTTCACTAACTCTACCCGGCAAATCCTACTCATTGTGTCTTTAACAGCAGGTGGGGGGTGGGGGGTACAGCAGTGTTTTGGTTTGGTTCTTTTGGGTGAAACAAGGTTCCGACTAAGCGAACGAGAATGAAGGTTCACTGAGGGCGGAGTCGGGGGCGAGTGTATTTCTGGCCCCGACAGTTCCGGAGTGTGCTGGGGGGCGGGTGGGTGGGGGTGTCTGGTGGTGTTTTTAGGTAGAGGAGGTGTACATAGATCAGGTTGCACCTGAGAATGCGTCTGAGCTGCGGCGGTGTTGCGGGAGTCTTGGTGAGGCTTGAGATGATGATGCGCGGCCTTCTCGGGCCTCAGGGCCGCTCGAGGAACCAGATCTCATTCTGCCGGTTGACGTGAGCTGGGTTGGTGTAGCCGGCCACGATGAACGAGTTGTTGGCGCCGGGGGAGTCGAGCTGCTCGGCCATGGCGTTGATTTGGTTAACGATGGTCACTTCGTTGGTGGGACCGGTGAAGGGCCTGAAAGGAGGGAAGGGGGGGAGCAATTGATTTGGGAATACTAAGTGATTTAAAGCAAACTGAATCCCACGTTCTTTCTTTCTCCACTGACCTTGTGTAGACCGTATTGGCGGGCCAGATCTCTATGGCGATCTCATTGTCGTTGGGTTGTGGGGGCTGAGCCTGGTGCTCGACGGGAAGGAAGTACGCCACGATGACGTCGTTGGAGATCACAGAATGGTTCTCGTCCGTGCGCACCACGGTGACGATGGGCAGCGTCATGCCCAGGTAGTTACCTACAGATGTGAAGGGAGCGGAAACTGTCGGGCCGGCCCAGAATACCTTTTTTTTGTATTATTATAAATGGTGGGCTGCTGGTGTACTTACCCAAGGAGTTCTGCTCGCAGATATATCTCATTAGCTTCATGAAACCATAGCAGATACTCTTCTCGTAAGTGTCCTCACGCATAGTTACACAAGCCCAGTGGCCCTTCTCATAATGGCGTTTCTCCCACAGCAGCTCGCCACACTGAAAAAGCACGGATGCAGACCGAGTGAGAGCTGTAGGCTCCCTGAAACCGCGTCCTATAGCGGTCGTTATCGTAGCCGGATAATGGAACGGAGAATGCCAGCAAACGCATTACTGATTGAATCCTGTTTAAAATCGGCTCCATCCGCAGGTCGTACAGATGCTCCGTCCTCCGTCACTCACTGTTGAATACCCACAAAGGGACGGGAGCTCCCGATCTGTGGGCTTTTCTGACCATTTAAATCGATGACTCGGCGATGACGATGATGATAATAATAAGATAAAAATGACTCCGACCCCGTCCCGTGTGTGTGACCTGCTGTTTGAAGTCAGCATCCTGTCAACACGAGGCCCTTTCAGTAGGCGCTGAGACCTGCTCTAAGAATAGGGTGCCATGATTGTCCTTTGTTTAACCTAAGTCTCCAGCCAAGTTTAATGACTAATTAACTCACGTTAAACCAATTAGCTTTTTGTATTTATACACCCCCTTAAGGAGTTTAAATGGCTTATTGTATAGGGGGACACGACCATCTAGCCGAAAATAAATATCTGACCCATTCTCTCATAGAAGAGCTAACAAATTTAGAACATAAGTATGCATAGTAATGTGTATTCGTACACCTGTACGTTATTTTCAAAGCAGCAAAAGTGCGATAGATACCTTCTCTTTGCGTGCGAGGAGCGTGAACGGGACGAGCTCTCTGTTACTGCGTCCTTGGTTGTTGCTGGTTAGCTGTTGGATGGGCTCCGCCATTTCTGTCAACAAACAAGCGACACTGCATCAGAAATAAAGTATAGTCTACATGGGTGAAACAGTTTTTATAACCCTTACGACGTGCACACTGTATACATATACATACATACCACATTCAGTATCTTCTGCTTTGCTCAATGTTGTATAGTTTTTTTTAAACTCTTAAATTTGTTTTACCATTGTTTGTCTTTTTTTTTGTTGTAATATTTAAACAAAGATAACTGACTTTTCTCCACTCAAATCATATCTTGCCCAGCCGCGTGCCGTCTAATCTGTATAAAACACCCTTCGTCCGAGTAATCTACTGGCAGGCCGTGTTGGTAGTCCATGTGAGAGACGGCAGCCAGATGGGCAGAGGACGGTGCCAGGATGTCGCACAGAGTAATGTGCATTGGAGCTGGTGGAGAGGACACTGAGTAAAGCTGCCAAAGGCCAGATATATAGACTGGAACTACAGCAGGAGCCAAGCCTGTTAGAAATGTTCTCCAGGACAGGAATGAGGTTAAGCAGCATTTTATGTATCACAGTAGTGTACCGCCTATTAGAAACTTGGTATATATCATTTTATTAAAAGTGCGTTGTAGACGTCCTATTGCATAATATAATGCAGAAGCAACTCATCTAGTAAGTTGTCCTTGCAGTAAACGTCGGCAGCCTCAGAACATCCCACTGTGTAAGGATGACGCCTGTGTTGTCAGATTAAACAACGCCATTATATTGCATCGTTGAACTGTCAAATGCAAGTCACTCGAGGTGAACCCAATTCAATCAAATTCTGTCAATCACCATCATGAGGGACCACGGGGTCGGAGGGATCTGGGGTATTTGACAATAGTGTGAGTGCGTGAGTGTCTCTCGGACCGTCTTACTCCACGGTGCCACCACTTTCCAAACAGGACGTTTAATGCATATTCGGAAGTTAGCGTGTGTGTGTGTGTCCGAGCATATGAATAACATAAATACTGTACGCAAGGACAACAATGGCGTCCATTCAAAAAGTAGCTTGCCGTGGTGTTGAGAGTGGAGTCTTTGTTTGTGGCTTGTGGTGTGTTAAGAAGTAAGAGAATTACCGTGCGATGTAACGTACAATAGTTAAACAAAGCTAACAGAACTACGGGCGTTTTTTAAATGTTCCCATGCGATAAGTTTATTAAGTTCAAACTTTTTTGCATCATAAGTGCCTACAAGCCACAGCAAGGGACAGTTAAGGTGGAGACTGACTATTATAAACACCTGCTTTCTGATTAAAAGCATGTAGTTTGGTAGAGACATCAGAAACATGCCAATGCTTGTTTTCATCTGCGGCAAACTGGAAATATTCCAGCATGGTCTTAACCGATTAGTGTGGTTGAAAGATCGGCATGCAGTTGAGTGCCGTACGTATTATTTGGCGGAGGAGCACTGCCGTTTCTTATTTGGGGGGGGGTTTTATTGGGTTGTTAATATTTATGAAGGGAGTCAAAGACGAGTTCCATTTTGTATCTAACCTTTCCCTTGCTGGTCACATGTGAAGTTAAAAACTCTTTTGAAAGCACACTGGGAGCAATGAATTCCAACTTGTTTACAAGTTAGCAGAAGCCTTTTGTGTATCTGTATCAGTGGTGGATTGCTGCTCCTTGGACCCGCTTTTACTTTGCAACGCCACATTGTGAATATCCACCGAGAATAATACGGCCTTTGTTTCCAGCAAAGACCTGCATCATTTGCCAAAGCCCCCCAACTAAACTCCTGATTTCTAAACTGTATTTTCTCGCGAGTGCCAGATTGGTGCTGTGGACGTAGGAAGAAGGCTCAAGTTTACTGGTTTATTCATAGAGCACATTTTACGACAACAAAAGTGGAGCCAATGGGTGTACAGTATAAAAACAAGAATACAATGCAAGCCGTCTCCTGTTCCTGTTTAACCACTTTCCCAACCGTGGCTTTTCACTTACAGTACTGCAGTCAAAGATATAAAATGCTGCAAGTGATCGCTCTCTGTCCACGGCAACCTACATCCATTGCCATGGATACCATTTGGTCATTACAGGTGTGGCGTTTAGCAGTAAGAGTGTCTACTCGGCAGCTACAGTGGAGCTACGGTTGCATGTGGTCTGATCAGAGCTCGAACATCAACCCCGTCCACTGGACTTCATCCCATTTTGAGCAAAGAAGTTTACTACGGCCATGACCTGCGTCCTTAGCGACAGTATTGTAATCCAGGGTTTATCAGCAACAGCCTCAGTACCAGTACAGGCGAGGTAGCTAATCCCCCCCCCTGAGTCAGAAAGCCCCACTAAGTGATTTCAGTCTTCAATTAGTGCTCTAATCCTCAGGTGGTGGGAGGAGAGTGGGCCAGTCTGTGTCACTGGATTCTGAGTGGGGACCCCGAGAAATCTCCTCCGCAAAACTCAAGAGCTTAATGGGTACGGATCGACTGACTTGGGTTAGTTCATCAAATCAAAGGAAAAAGGCCGCTCTGCCTTTCTTGATTTTTTTCCATTTGCGTTTGTAACACTGGGGTTCCCCGTTGGTCTGGCGTTCCACCCATGCGTGTCTCCCCATCCGTGGACAGTTTGAACCGCTCTTCATTTTGCCACTTTCCATCTGAAGAACTTTCTTCTCTCTATCTCAAAAAAAAACCCCATTCTGCCTGCCTCAGTCACAGACCAAATGTACTCCTACAAATGTCAAAGTGTGAGCGGCTAGTTTTCATCACCAACTCTTTTATTTATCACATTATCGTCTTCATTGGCTGCACCTTTATCTTTATTAGATTTAGCTTGAAATTATCAAATGATTTAATCAACTCTGAAGCAGATGCCAAATTACATGTTGCAGTAAATATGCATATTAAGTATGCTAGGATTATCACATTAAAAAAAAAACGGTCTCGCAAAAATGGCTGTGCCTGTGTTACTGGTTTGTAAGTGCACCCCAAAAAACTCCTTCACAAAATATTGCTATTTTATTGTTCTAAACACAGGTCAAAAACAGAACACTTTGAATACCGCAGGAAATTACTGTTTTTCTATCATTTCTATATGATCATTTATTTTCTATTGAACTTGTATCTTATGAGACACACCATATTAGTATACTAGTATTACTATATTAAAAGCCATACTATTAATGCTTTAGTATTAGACCATATTTCTTGTGTGACCATGGGACTTTTAGAAAGGATTTTTGTTAATTGATTAAATTATTTATAGAAGAAAAATAACACCGCTGACGACTGCAATGTTTTTCAGACAAATGAGGGAGAAATTCAACCATTGTTCTGTTAGACCCAACTGCAGTTCTAGAGGCCACTTCAGGAAACACAACCTGTTGTTGTTATTAATGTAGTTTAGTCTTTTTATTGTCAACTTTTCGTTTCGCCTCGCATAACGCATCCCTGCTTTTGTTTCTTCCTTTTTTAATAAGCAACGATCTGAGTGGAAGGACAGCGATGCGATGTTCCCGGGCTGCCGTGTCCCTGCAGCAAGTCGAGACAAACACGTCTTGTCTGTTGACAGTTGTGTCTATTTGTCTCCCCTAAATGAACAACCCCACGCAGACTGCAGCTGGAAGTGTTTCTTTATTTGTTTTTACCTTGAGACACCTCCACCTGGTGTCCTCTCGCCACGTCCTGCCAGTAGTGCAGCAGCCGGTCCTCCTCCATGCTTTTCGCGTCTTCGTCGAGGCTGTTGCCGGAGTCCGACATCTGGTCCTCGGAGAAAGACTCCAGGTCCTCCAGGGTGATCATCCCGCTCTGCTCGGGTTCGTCTCCTCCGCCGCCGCCGCCGCCGCCGCCATTCATCTGGCAGCCGCCTCGATCCATCTCTGCCCGTCCGGCTAGCAGCTTCCTCACAATAAATAATATAAATGTTCGACTAAAAAGCCCAACTCGTCAAACTGTCCTTTTTTCTTCTCTTTGGGGTCTTCGGACCGCGGCGAGTTGCTCGTCCAGTTCACGGCGGCCGTCAGTCGGTGGTCCACACGCCGGGCGCCGCGCAGCTCTGCTCGACACATGTAGCCGCTCTCATGGTCGCGATGTCACGTCGGACTGAGCCGAGACATGTCCCTCCGTCCTCGCACGCGACATTCGCTGAAATAAACCCCCGGGAGGAGGAGGAGGAGGAGGAAGAAGAGGAAGGGAGCGGAGCGGAGTGACTTTCTCTCGCTGTAATGCGATGTTTACAGGGAGATGAGGGAGGAACACGTGACGCTGCGGGCTCTGACAAGCCCCTCCCCCTCCCCCTCCTCCTCCTCCGCCTTCTATGGGCTTTAAAGACCCGTGGCCCCCACCCGCGTACAGACATTTCATCCCACACCACTTCCAGAAAAACAATAACAAAGGCCTGTGGTCTCGGCCAGAAGCATCTCGGCAGTAGTGTGCATGTGCGCTTTTGGGGTTATTAAATCCACAGTGGGCACGTGGCTAAACAATCGTTACCTTCGTCAGTTCATCTCCAGATACATTGTAAACCATCAGGAAAAAGCATGACATGTCTGCTAGAAGTCCCAGAATCACACAGTAGCGACCAAGGATCCCAAATATTTTTAAATATAATTATATATATTGATAAAAGTCTTCATCCAAGAAGCTGCATTGGCATTTGTCTTTTTTTGACAAATACATTCCATTATCAATTAGTTTTCCTGATAGTTTTCTGTTCAATTTACATTTAACATGTAACACCCTGCGTACTGCCACCTGCTTGCACGACACATGTGTCTGCTTGCATTCTGACCCTTGGGCGGCCAGTTTTAGAGCATGTGTGCGTGTACACATGTCTGCGTGACATGCGAGGGACGGAAGTGCATTTTCAAATCAGTGTTGGGATGGAGAAAAAAAAATGAAAATGAAGCCCACTCCTAGGAGGATTATTAACAAATTTGAATTTGTGTGCTCGGGGACAGACTAAGAAGGATTTTTTCTTCTCTTTGAATCACTGCAGTTGTCAGCCACCATGTTGCAGCCTTCAACTTGCACGTAGCGAGGACATCCTCTCAGTTAAATACACACACACACACACACACACACACACACACACACACACACACACACACACACACACACACAGAGGCACTGATCCACAAACCCAACAGTACTCTACTCATAGATCCATCATCCCCCTGCCTTGCTATAGACCTCCACCCACACCAATGCAATGCACTATTTACCAACACACAAACATGCACCAATAAGTCCCTCCTATTGTTTGTATGCAGTTGTGAGAAGTCAGCTTAGTGTAGGTTTTGATATAAATAACTGCCCACAGGCAGTCTTTTTCAGCAATTCACCACGTCACTTAGCTCCATGTCCCTCAACCAATCACCCGTTTGCGCCTACTGAGCATGCTCAGTTTGGCCAGCATCCACCCTCCCCTCCTCTTCTTCTCTTCTTCTCAGAGCAGTGGTATTATGAATGGTTGTAGTGAGTTATAAAAATGTTACTTTTTAGTGTATCTTCTTTAAATGTTATATTGATGTTAATCTGGAATTTGTCCAACAACATCTGACCTTTTTCTAATGCTGTGTTCAATGGTAGGTGAATAAATGAGTATAAAACATCCGGTTATTATCCTTAAATGCAAGATTTAGGAAGTGCAATAATGTATAATAATACATACTTTCTACTATTTTCATAGTTTATTGCAAGTAAATATTTTCGATGCAGCCCCAGCTGAAAGTATCTGACAGACACGCAGCAGAGGGCATGCAACAAGCAAAAACACCAGTTATGAAATGTAGTTGAGCAGTTTTTCTTTTTGCCCTTTGTTCACATTCCACTTAGACAACAGCAACCTCAGTAATCTGGTTCTGAGTAATCCCATAATCTGGACCTGACCGCTGCATACCTATTGCCTCATTGAGCTTCACCTGTAGAGAGGGAGAGAATACAGTTTACTATAAAGGCTGCAGAAGACTCCGCACTAACAGTGTTTTTATTGATTACAACAACGTTTGGGATTGTGATTATAGTAAACCCCCAAAACAAAAGAGTGATAGGTTGATCATTTTTTCTATCATTTTTTCATCTTGGATCCCAAGGATGTCAAGTGAGTCTGAGTGCGGCGGCAGAGAAAAGGACATGATGTATTTAAATGGCCGGGTCAGACATCCATCGGCCTTACGAACAAATACGCACATTACCAACGGTTTAATGTTAAAGCGCTGCCATCTGTGATGCATTATGCGTTGTAGCTCGCATCCATACAGTGACTGTGGGCTGTTAACTTCTGGATATTTTGCTCTCTACGTGTGCTAGACCAGACGCTTATCCAGTGTGGAACCAGCCTCATACCCAAGCAGCTGGGACAGGCTCAAGTCCCCCATCGACCCACTGGTCTGATGACCAGCAGCTCGCTTTAAAGCATCAGCACATGCCAAGACATTGCTTTGGTCCTAGTAAAGTATTATGAGTGTTTGTCACCATTTTAGTAAACCTTCTTAAAATTAGCCTTGCGTTGTGTGAAATTCAACCTCAATCTCCGTCAGGGGTGTGTCATTTTCTACCCTTATTACAAATATGAGGTTTAATTTTAAAAAATAGCAATATTCCCACATACAGAAATCATATACCTTTTATCATTTAAGTGAATGAACTCTCAAAGCATCCCTCCACTGCACACGTAATACATTGAATAACGGCATCGTATCCTTTTTGTTAATTGAGCTTTGCTAGATGATTTTGGACCCGTCTTTAGCCACCACCTGTTCAGTGATCTCTTATCAAGTTGGAGCCATATCATATGTGATGAAGCACAATCCTGACCAGATGGGCTGGCCTCCTCTCCCTCTCATGAAAGAATGTTTAGCTTTTAGGGGATGTAGCTGTTGATGATTTCTCAGAGGTCAGTGGAATTAAGCGTTGTAATTTTACCCTTTCGCTTTTTGTTCATATAAGCTCTGTAATGCACATCTGCATTTCACCTCAAAGAAGCCAGCTGCCGCCGAGCAGATACAAGACAAGCGGACGTCTCCGTTTCGCTTTTAGAGGGAAACCTAATTAAAAAATATTCTCATAACCGGTAAAGTAGGTTCTCTGTTCTGTTATATTGTTACCGTGTTATTTGTTGAGCTGTGAGACCAGGTGTAAATATTTTATACAGAATATGTTGATAGGTTAAACACAGCTACTTCTACCTCTATTGATGAATGGGAAGATTGTATATATTTATATTTATTTCTTATATAGTCCCTTGCATTTGAGTTATACATTTTTAAAATTATTTTTCTTTTTTTTATGTCATTTAAGCAATCAGGACCCTATGAATGATAAAATCTATGTGTTATATCTTTTTGAATTTTAACACCCAGCTTCAAAAAAATCAGAACCATCCCTTTAAGATACATGATCGTATGTACAAAATCTGCTGTATTTTGAAATGTATGTATTATTGATAGTATAGCCCTGTCATTATAAAACCATTAGAGACATAATTATGTAAAAACAGATTTGTTTAAGTTTGCCCTACTTTGAAAATATCACACTTTACAAATAAATACAACACAATTGCTCCTCATCTATTTCAAAATCCATTTTTCTTCACCAATTTATGCCGAAGAGCAGCCCACTTCTTATTTTATAGCCTTTTGTCCTTCTCAGTTTGTAGAGCAGCAATTCCACACAGAAGAAATTGAAATTGCGATGACGCGGTCTCCCATTATCTGTGGTCGTGAGGATGAAAAGATGTTGTTAAAATTACAAACTGCTCCCATCTCTGCTCCAATTGTAAGGAAATAATGGCAGGAGAAGGAATACGTTCAAGGTTTTTCCAGTATTATGTGTCTCTTGTTGAAGTAATACCTCCATTCACTCTGCACAAGCAAGTCTTTTTACCAATAGAGGTGTGTGTGTGTGTGTGTGTGTGTGTGTGTGTGTGTGTGTGTGTGTGTGTGTGTGTGTGTGTGTGTGTGTGTGTGTGTGTGTGTGTGTGTGTGTGTGTGTGTGTGTTGACTCGTTGGTGTTGCATTAACCCTTGGCACAGGAAAATGCTGTGCTGGGAAATTACCGATACCTTACCTGTCCGCTTGGTTATTCTTCCTGCCAGGTGCTGGAGAAATTCATGTCTCGTCTGGTCCAGAACCGGGTCATGGCCCGCAAAGACCTGCGGACTCTCAGCAAATACCAGATCATCCTCGCCAGGGATCAGTTTCGCAAGAACCCACCATCAGGCATCAAGGCGAGGACTCTGCTCGATGAATCTTTGGTTTCTGTTGTGCAATAGACTGTGTGGTATAGTACGCACTTCTGTGATACGCAGCCTAGCATAGTTTGATAAATAAATGCAATTATCAAATACATTATTTATGCATTATTCATCATCTTTTTGGCGCTAAATAAATAAAAAATAACCCATTTTTACACTCTTTTTAATGTTATGATTATTTAATTAACTATATTGTTATTGCAGCATGTTACTATTTCTATTAATTGTGAGGCTTAATAAAGATGGGCCCAGGGCTAAGGGAAATATCCATGGACGTTGAAGATTTGTGAGGTCTAAGCGGTTTGAAATAGGACCCATCTAGATGATTAAAGATGTGTTTTGCTTTGCTTTGAAGGGTTTAGACCACTTTCTGGTAGCTGGATGAACATTTATGGGTTTTCTATCCTAGTTGAAATATTCCAGATAGTTATAAAAGTATTTGCTTTTAATCTATATGCTACAGTTCAAGTTAAACAATTGAATACAAGTTAAATATAATTTTGGAAGGAACCTTAATACGGCAAATGCCAATGAAAATCGTGCATTTGTTTATTTTGTATTGCATGCAGTATATATTACGGCATTTCATTTCAAAGGCTTTTTAAATCAAATTTTTATTCCAAATTTCGGCTGACATGCTCTCCTGCTCTCTAGGGTCCGCAGCAGGGAATGCTGGAGGGGGACTTTGCCCTTTGCATCAGCCTGTACCACGGCTACGAGCTGCTGATGCAGATGGGGCTCAGATCGCTCTTTTTTTACGTCCAGGGCATCATGGAGGGATCCAGAGGTCGGTCGCGTTACCTCCAGACTCTCAGTGTATTTCATTGCACTTAAACCATATACACGACATCACTTCACACCCCGAATGGAAAAGTGACACTTGATAATGCGTTGTGTCTGTGAACGGTGTTTGACATGAGCACCCACCATGCCTTGTTTTTTGGTTCAGAGATGCCCAGGGCCAGAAATGAGCTGCAGAGGACCCCTGTCTTTGTGGACCTTTACCACGAGATGCAAGCGATGTTCGTGAAGCCGTCTGCTGGTACCTGAGAGCTCATTCATACCATAGCACTGAAATTCAGGAGCATTTTGTTATGCATCTCAATGGGGCATTTTGACGGGAAGTTCTTATTTTGGTTCGGACAGCTATCAAGGGGCTTTAAGACAAAGCAGGAAATACACATATGAACTCTTTGACTAATATCCGCTGTGGTTGATTCTTCTAGGTCCCGATGAGCCTTTCATTTACAGCCACCCCAAACTGAAGAAATTGGAGGAGGTGGTGCTTCAGCACTTCAGACGGTGGGCTGAGAGCTCTGAAGACAGTAATGGTGAAGTGCTCCTTATGGTTGTGCTCTGACTCGGATATGCGCAGTGATTGCTTAATGTTAGAAATTAGATATTTATTGTTTTGGGTTCAGAATACAGCAAAGCGCAGTTGATCTTTTGGATATGCTTAACTTAAAGTTTCAACAGTGGATAAATAAATGTTGATGAAGGGATGTTTACAGTAATCATCCAACACCCTTGACTTCTCAATGTCCAGGTCCTCAGGAGGTAAGCACGCGCGTGATGATCTTCTCATCGTTCCGTGAGAGCGTACAGGAGATCGCCGACATGTTGAACCACCATGCCCCGCTGATCAGGGTCATGACCTTTATGGGCCAAGCTTCAACAGGGAAGGCAGTCAAAGGCTTCACACAGAAGGAACAACTGGAGGTGGAGTTACTTTTTGCATTAATCAAGTGCAGATTTACAGGAAGCTGCAGCATATGTAGTTAATTAAGAAACATAAAAATGTATTATGGTGGTAACATTCTCGAGGACAACTTATTAATTCAATTCATTTTATTTTGTATAGCCCAAAATCGCAAGCATCTGAGGGCTTTACAGTGTGTACATATGCGACATCCTCGGTCCCGAAACCCTCACATCAGCACAGGAAAAAAAACCTTCCATGGGGGAAAAAGGGAAGAAACCTCAGGGAGAACATCAGAGGAGGGATCCCTCTGCTGGGGTGGACATACTACAATGGATGTCATGTGTACAGAATGAACAACGTAACAGATGTATAATACATTCAATTCCTATAACAGAAATGATTAAATGATTAAAATTGCAAATAGTAAGCCAGGTGTACGGCAGGACCACTGCAGGGACCACCACCACCAGATAGAACCACCATCCACAGAAGCCTGTGGGGAGGGAGAGCACAAAGACTTTAGGAAAGGGTAATGTTGGTTTATGATCACAGTAATATGATTAATATTTAAAATAATATTAATGTTAATAATAATAATAAGGGCCACGGCAGGAGGCAGAAACAGGGTCCAGATATAATCGTAATCCATGGAAACCTGTGTGGCGAGAAAGCACAAATACTAATGATAACAAAGAATTACAGTAATCCAGTCTAGTAACCAACATATGAACTAATTTTTCTGCATCACTCCAAGATTCTTGACGGTGCTGCTAGATACCAGAGCAATTCCATCCATAGAAAGTGTATCACGTGACAGCTGGCTTCGGAGGCGCTCTGGGCCTATCAAGATAACTTGTTTTCTGAGTTTAGCATCAGGAAGTTGCAGGTCATCAAGTTTTGATGTCTCCAAGACATTCTTGAAGTCAAGCTGGTCGATCTCTTCTAACTTGATCGACAGATACAGTTGAGTATCGTCTGCATAACAATGGAAGTTTATGCTGTGTTTTCTGATAATGTCGCAAAAAGGAAGCATATAGAGGGTAAATAACATCGGTCCAAGCACGGAACCTTGTGGGGCTCTGTGACCAACATTGGTGGTCATCAAGGATTCACCGTTTACAAGCACAAACTGAATCGATCCGATAAATAGGATTTAAACCAGCTGTGTGCAGTTACTTTAATACCAATCAAATGTTCTAGTCTCTGCAACAGGATACAATGATCAATGGTGTCAAATGTGGCACTGAGGTCCAGCAAGACAAGAAAAGAGATGCAAGTAGAAGATCATTCGTAACTTTTACCAGTGCTAATTCCATGTTATGATTCACTCGAAATCCTGGCTGGAAATCCTTGAACAAAGCATTGTTTTGTAAAAACGTATCATATTCTAAATACCAGACCAGATCCTTAACATGACATTTTATTTTGAACATCCTCAGTTTAAGTTGCGAGCACAGGTACGATTCAACATACTACATTTACTGTATACACTGATGGGTTTTTCTCGCGCGTTGCAGGTGGTCTGCAGGTTCCGTCGGGGAGGCTTCAACACACTGGTGTCGACCTGTGTCGGGGAGGAGGGACTGGACATCGGAGAGGTGGACCTCATTGTTTGCTTTGATGCACAGAAGAACCCCACCCGCCTGGTGCAGCGAATGGGGCGCACCGGGCGTAAGCGGCGCGGACGAATAGTTGTCATCCTGGCCGAGGGACGCGAGGAGAGGGCGAGTGTTTGAGTTGCATCTATGAGAGCGAGGCGAAATGTAAACGTAAAGGCTTCTCCGAGCTATTCTTAACTTTGAGACCTTTTTTGTTGCAGACGTACAACCAGAGCCAGAGCAACAAGCGCAGCATACACAAGTCCATCATTGGCAACAAAATCAGTTTCCACATGTACCCCAACAGTCCGCGCATGCTGCCGGAGGGGGTGAACCCCACCATGCATAAGATGCACATCACCTGTGGCCAGTTCGACCATCAGGAGAGCGGCAGGCGGTCCGTCAGGGGTCGACGGTCCCATTCTGAGGGTCGGGCCTCACTCATCCACCCTCAAAACCTGAGTGAGTGATCAGACGGGCAGAATGTGCTCATGCAAAATGCAGAGAAGAAGAGTTTCCTCGGGGAGAGAAACTTTACATTCCTCTGTTTGTCTGTGCCCGATGTGGTAGTTCGGCAGGGCAGCACAAAGTCGGATGGGTTTCTGACCAGTGCTGAATATTCCCTCTGGGCATCCACCATGAGGCTGGAGGAGGATGAAGCTCATCCAACCCTGAAACCGTCCCGGTTCATGTGCCTGCCCGATGATGCATCACCCCAGGTACCTTTCTTTTGCCGGTGTTGTCTTGAAAAGAGGTCTAAAAAGAATCAAAAATGAAGATACGGTTTATTTGAGCTGATTTTAAGGTTTGCATATTTATACAGGCCATGAGTCACACGTAAGAACCTATAATAATGACAAAGAAATCCATCAACAGCATTGATGGATTAAATCCCCATGGTATAAAGACACCATGTTTGCATAGTAGACTCGAGCAGACAAAGACATGGGTTTCTGTCCAAGATATGATGTCACAGCCTGCTGCCGTCTTTAAATGTTCCAAGGCGTTATGGTCTCAATTAAATGACACTACCTTCAATGTGACTTAATGTAGATAAACATACAACATATTTTATAGTATTTTTCATATATATCATATTTCTTATATTTTCAATTGATGTCTGGATTTTCATATTAGTTGTAGCCATTGATTTCACTTCATCTGTTGTTGGGTCGCCTCCTGTTTTTGACGATGCATAGTGGCAGTGACTTAGTTTGCTGTGATTTCAGGTTTTATTTGCTAAATTCTAAGCCCACGATTTAAGTACAGTACCAGTCAAAGCTTCAGACACTCGTTCAACTCAATGATGTTCTTCTGTCTATTCTATTAAAGCTTGAATATATTCATAGGAGGACGTTTCCAGAAGTGGACCACCGTCCAGAGACCTATCTCTGTGGGAATGGAGACACTGGCAGCACAAAGCACTTCCCACCCACGATGTTGACCATTCCCTCCGCTGCCACCACTTTGTTAAGGTGATGGAACTCGTGGACGTCATGAGAGAGGAAAATGAGGTGAGAAGAGGAACAACGAACAACTGACTTTCTTCACTGTATTAATTCTGAGCACCAGGATAGAAGCTAATGTAATGTCCTACTTTGTGGCATGAAGGACTCTAACTTTGGCCTTTAGTGTCTCACAACAAAGCTCAATAAGTTAGTCGAATGAGCATTAAACCCCTAATTCAAGGTGTATGCAAATGTATATTCGTCTAGCACAACAACAGGAGTCTGGTTACAGGAATCTGTGTTTTTGAAAGGAAGACCAAACTTTAAAAAGTCACCACGATGAAAGGAGTCAGCTGAGTTTAATGAGAACAGATTGTGGTTTGTATTGCGTGACTGAATCCATCGTTTGGCGCTGGAAGGCAAATTCCTGGATCGACACGCTCCATCGTTAGAATAGAGATGATGGATATATATTGTTCAACCGGTTGTTTTGTGGCTGCTGCTTCTTTTTCTCCAGTTAGAATGTACTCCATTGGACGTGTATTTTGAATTTTGATCAAGATTTACTTCTACTGATATATTTTTTATACTCAGGCAAACTAGTCTTTCTCCCTCCGTCATAAAGCTGCAACAAGACCATTTATCTTTGTGCTGACCTAATAGCAGCTGGGCTGCTGGTCTTCCGGTAGTTTAATGGATCAGTTATATCACCAAGGATATCCGATATAGCAGAAGCAGCGCCACAGGTATTATGTGGAATCTTCTTAATGTCAACAGGAAATATGTTTTACGTAATCAAAAAGCTGTTGTGGTCTTATGAACAGCACCTTACATCTCTTCCCAGTATGAATCATATCAATTCCAAATGTTGTTTTTAAAACCATTTGAGACCCCCTTGTGTCACCATTCGCTGTTGCACAAGATTGTATTATCGAGAAAGACCTCTAAGATTGTTCAAATCTTTGAAATTAGGTCAGAGATTATAGTAAATTTACTATTGGCTGAACTAACAAGTGGGCTTTTATTCCCAGGCGAGATGGCAGCTAATGTCTTGCATGGCTTCATTGATGAATTCATGTCATGAAATTCAATTAAAACGTTTGAGCAGAAAAACTCTTGGTTCAACATTATTTTAACCTAAACCTTTAACTTCAACACTATTATCATTATTATAAATGTTGTTATTGTCAATAATCCTCTGATTTACATGCTGAAATAAATCAATTAAGGGTTATCGTTTTAATTCATCAGTTAAGTGGATTAGTAAGATGTACCCACAGGTGTAAGCAGGCCCATATCTTTAAATCATGCTCAGCTCACGGCCCTGTCAGCTCCTTTTTGGGTTTATTTTCCACAGAGAGACACCGTTGATAACATTTGTATTATATTCACTCCAGTAGTGAGCCTCGCCCGTTGAAAGTATTCGCCCCGTATTGAAAACTGTGTTAATTACAGCTTAACCCGGCCCAACCCAGTGTTTGCCTCCAGGGTTGTTTGTCTGAAAATGACAGAGGGTGGCACATGCTGTGAAGCGATAATTGCTGGTCTGTCTCTTGCTTTTCGTCTCTTTTTGCTTTGTCACAGTAAACGCAGCAATGTTGGTGGACAATATGTATTATTATGTACATTCTTTTTGTGGGAGAGGAACATTGTAAACACACTTATGTAACGACAGCATTTTAAAACACTGCTCATGAGGCGCTACCCTTCATACCAGCACCGGGCCTCAAGGTACAAACCTGCTCATAGCGGAGAGTCGGTTGGTGGTTCCACCACTTTGGGCCGGACTGAATGATCTAAAATCAATCAGATGGATTGCAATAAAACTTTGTACAGACAATTGTGATGCCCAGAGGATGAATTTACTTGAATATCTATATTTCTCTCTCTTTCATGCATATATATATATGTGTGTGGATATGTGCACGCACATACTACATAAATAAAGTGTACTATACCCGAGACATTCTCTATTATAATGACTAAAACCAGCAATTTAAACATACTCTTCCATGTAAAAGTCCAAATCAGTTGGGTTGAAGTTAAAAAGATTATCGTCAGGTAGTTTGTATCTTAGAAATTAACTACAACTGTCCAAAAAATGTTGTCCAGGGAAATATTTGCATTTGAAATGTGGAACACATTAGCTATAAACCGTTGAGCACAATTACTTAAGTAATGAACTCCAGACGGTGTTCTTACCTCCATCTTCACCCAATTCAATCATAGTAAATGTTTAGAAATGGTTAATCTGGACCTGCGTTATGTTTAAATAATAATTGGACTCATTGCATCAGTGATATTTTTTTTTTTGACACACAAGCAGCCTCTCCCCCAGCTACACATCTGTATTCTGTCTTGGATGACATCAGCCACGGCTCACTTGCTTGACCTGAATCTGCAGAGGACATTTTATATTTTTCTTTATGAAACAAAAAGAAAAAAATAAATATAAATCCCCCAAATCTTGACCTCAGATGCCTTCCTGCCATCAACAGTCTTGCACTCCAAAAGCTATTAATCTAATTTGAGGCCATTTCTTTGCCTGGGCGGCTGTGTTTTTCCCTGCACTGCCCCTCTCTCTGTGCAGTGAGGAGACATTACGTAACGCTTCTCTGAACGGTTACATAAAGCCAGGAAGCTGGAAGTAGGTTGAGCAGCAATGGCCTACATATGTAGCGTACGGGACCGGCGAGCGGGATATCGGTAAACAAATGCCCAAAAAAAAGATTAAAGGGGACGCTAAATTATAGACTCTAGACAATGGACTAGAGCTGTGGGGGATGGAATCGGGACATTGTCTATCAAATCTGCAGTAGAACTCATTCAGCTCGTCGGCCAGGCGGAGGTCATTCATGGAGTGGGGTTTTTTGGCTTGTGGTTTAATGTAAACAAATAGAATTGTAATACATTTTGAGACGTAAGCATCATGTGTCTCATTTCCTTCTGTCTTGATGTTGTCTGAACGGCTTGACATTGTTGTGAGTCAAGTATCCCCCTGCTTACGTCAGAAGTAGCTTTCATAAAAGCCCGGAAACACTTCAGATCATCCTTTTTATCTGAGAATCATTATAGTGGTTCTTGGGTTGTCATGTAACCAGCAACTCCATAACAAAGGACGCCAGTTTTGTTTTAGATCGGCGCACCTTATATATGTTTATAAACTGCAGGATTTGGGGGGAAAAGTCATGCAAGTTGAATAACACAGGCGATGCATCGTCCATGAGCGCCATGTGCTTCCTTCATCGTTATGTTTGAGACAACAAAAACCCTGTGATCCGCTCTCGCTGGCCTTGTCATAGTTTATTTTCTCCATCCACAGACTCAATGTGACCATTAATGCATTGTTTGTCAGGGGTGAAAGTTAATCGTTTGCGAATCCAGTTCCAGTCGTTAAGAATCTTCAATAAATACCCTTTGACAACTTAAAAGATTATAAAATATGTTTTGTGTTGATGCGCGTTGAAGTAAATATTCATCAATTCAACAGTTACTATTAATAAACTCGAAGAGAAATAAATATTGTTTATTTTAAGAGCGAGCTCGCCTGCATACGGAACAGCCGCTAGTGGATTATTGGTTTGATTATTTAAACCTCACCGCGCCTCCTTAAACAAGGAAATTAAGAACTAGTAGAAAACAATGAAATTATCATTAAATGGGAAGGAATTTAGTAGTAAAAGGCCCAATTGGGGACAAAAATAAAAATCTGAAAACACAACTGGAAACTGACGTACAGGTGTTGTATTACATAAACTAAGTATTGATTGATTAAATAACAAAAACAGTTATTTATATTTTCTAATGCGTTTTTATTTTACAATGAAATATAAATTACGAAAGCCGGTTAGTCCCCACAATTGAGATTTTAATTGTTATCCGTTATTCAAAATGTTTTTTATATGTGAATAATGTACATGGTCAAAAATACACATCAGGACTAAACATTTTTAAATACAAGTTTAAGTAAGTAAGTAAGGAGTAAAAAATGTAAGTGAAGGAAATTTGATTAAACACAGGTTAACATGCATGTCTATTTAAATTAAAAGTAAACCACAATAACTTTATAATTTAGCAAATTCTGCTTGTGAATGGCAATAAGACATTTGGTTTAATAAATATATTAATTTGGAAAAAAATATGATCCCACATTATCAGTTGTTTTTTTCCCCCAAAAGTGTACCAAATAAAAAAATAATCTAGTCAGGTTATATAATAATGAAATAAATGTTCCTAATCAGACATACTTTGTCCCATGCTGTACAATGTGTGTGTGTGTACTAACACTGCTGATGAGGCCTTACTGGTCATACCAGTAGATAAATCCTACTGACTTTGAAAGAACAATTGACGAGGATCAGCAGAGTACAGAGGTTTTCTAACTCAAAAGGGGATGAAATTAGGACGTTATTAATTTAAACCCGGTAATTATCAACACGGTAAAGGTTTGCGTCTTGGATTAAATCGAGTTGGTACTAAAAAAATATATCTGAGAAAGGTAAACAACAGCTTGACAGCAGTTCTTGGAGACTGATTGAGTGACTGTTACTGTTGACAGGTGACAACATCAACTCCTGCACTTAGTCCCCTGTTGGTGTAAAGACCCAGCAGAGTCTTACCAACTCTGGATCAAAAGGAAAGCGGCAGCTCTCCAAGCGCCACTGATGCACAGTTTCATAACGTGACACATGTGGAAAGGACTCTTTTATTCACACTAAGAAGCTTTGTTTCGTCCCATTGTTTGACGATGGTGCCATTTGTTTCCATTCAAATCATCCCCACTCTTTGTTGGGCAGCTTAATCTTATGTCACCAGTTTAATACGGTGACATAAGGTCTTCTTTGATCTATTTTTATTACCTTCTTCATAAGCAAAGCCAGTAGCTTTCCCTCCACACGCACTCCTTTCCTGCCTCTCACTAGGCCACTTGTTTGCTCTCATCTGTTCAGTGAGCATCTTCGTCCCGCTGGTCACGGGTTCGATTGCACCCCGTCGGCCCAGGCGGGAAACCACTCTAGATGAATTACTTTCAGCTCCGATAGCTTACGAAGGTGGCAGGTGCTGGATGATTGTGATGTGTGCGCTTGTGCTTAATATACAGCTGGAACGAGGTGATCGATATGGGATCAAGTCTTTGGGTTAGACTATTCTTAGTGGTATTATTCTTTTAAGATCATCATCCAATGTCTTATTGCGACAGTACGAATCCCAATGTTTGGCAGCACAACAAATAACATCAGAATAATGTTTCTGCGGTGTGACAATTCTTCACTGCACACTGGCTGATTAGATTACTGTGTAAGCATAAAGTGGCGAACCAGCTGCCTCGTGTGTCGGGTCCAAAGGCCGATCACAGCTCGCTGACCTTGGTTCTCCAGCTGAGACGTATTTCCTGTACAACTCTCGTCTGTGTGCTTTGTGTTCAGGGGGAGTGTCGTTATGAGCAGGAGCTGCTTCCTTACCGCCACAAAGCGGGCGCTGTTTTCCACGGGAAGAAAGGTCAGAAGAAGTCGAAGGGCACAAAGACCTGCACTAAAAGTGCCAGAACCATAGCCGAGCCGCCCCCCTCTGCGTTCTCTGATGCAGAATACTTGGACGCCGACGAAGAAGAAGAAGCTGATCTAGGACAGACGCGAGGGAGGAGCACAGGTTTCACATCGACTGTGGCTACACAGGGACTTCCTGTTGCAGACCACACCGCGGCGTCTTGGGATGACATCACGGGTCACCCGGGGCCCGAGGCGATCTGTCCTCTTCCCTCAAACAATGACCGCCCCGAAGCGGGCGTGGACGACGACCGTGTCTTTATTAACCAGGACGCCATAAAGTCAGATCAGGCAGTCGGCGATAGAACGTCACAGTTGATAACAAAGATCGACGACGATGAAGGTGTTGAACTTCAGGCGATGTTTTACCTGCCTGAATGCGACCCAGGACCTCCTTCGTTTGCTAAACTCCCGGCAGCAGATCCGAGTCTGAAGGTCATTCTGGCCAACGTGGCGGAGCTCCTGTCCAGATCGCCGCCGCCGACTTTAGATTTAGCGGCTGACATGGCCCCTGCGTCACTTCCCCCCTCTCCTCCCCATCAGCCGTTCCAGGTCACCTTCGCCCTGGATGTCGACGACGAGGATGACGAAGTGATGATGATTGACGACGTCGCGCCGAGGCCGGACGGGGAAGAGGACGGTGAACTCTATTCTCTTCGGCCTCGCCGGGAGCAGCGACGGAGTGGCGGCACGGGCAGCGCGGCGGCGAGCAGTCCGACCTGGGAGGAAGTTTTTGGGGAAGAAGAAACTAACGACGATGGGGACGTAAGGGATATCGCCATGGAGACGGACAATGACCTTCTCGAGGAGGACGAAGGGGTCGGCGGGGATGCTGAGAAGTTCATGGAGATAAATATTGGGAACGATGGCGCGACGAGTCTGGGCGATGGGAGGCAAGAGGAGATGGCGGACTCGACCCGTGGCGTGGAAGACGCCCGCAGAGCTCAGATGGACGCCAGCATGGATCTGTTCGGGGACGACGAGGTCTTCCTGCAGATCACCATCCCGGACATCTCTACACCTGGCGCCGCATCCCGGACTCCCCCGACCACCGGAGACGTCGCAAATAGAAGGATGGCCAACGCTTCGCACACACTTACCCCGGCGATCTCGTGTCACGCGGACGAGTCGTCGCGCCCAAACCACAGGACTCCCTCTCCGCGCGCCCAGTTAACAGAGACGAAACCCTCTGCGGCACCGAGTAGATCCGAGCCAGGCGCCTCAGAGACGGGCGAGGGCATCGCGGCTCAACGCGAAACAGTCGAGCGCTCCCACGTGTACTACTCCGTGAACTTCGACCTCGGCTACTCGCTGGAGGACTCCGACGAAGCGGAGGAAGAGGCCGCCGCGCCATGTTCACCGACATCCCCGCAGCACAGAGAGCCGGCCGGGTCCGCGGCGCCCCGGCCGGCCGCGCCAGGCTCTTCCACTCCCTGTTACGGCTTCCGTGGACACAGAAAGCCTCTCCTGTCCACCACATCCACGCCGGACGGGCTTTCACTGCGCAGGGGGGGAGGAACGTCGCCTCTCCCAGCTTCCGCCGCGGTTCCTGGAGGCGGCGCACTTCCGTCTCCGATCGCATCCGCGGGCAGCAGGCGGACGCTCGTGCCCAGCGGGCCCGCGGCTCCGTCTTTGGGCGTCGGCTTAAAACGGAAACGACTGGAGAACAGGTTCCCTCCTCGTCCAGGTGTGTTAACCTTTTAAAAAAATATCTGATTCCTAAAACTAAAAGCTATTTGTACTGGTATAGTTTATTTTGCTCTATAGAGCTTTCTGAATTTTTCTGTCTTATTTAGATTCTTTCTTAGTGGAGTGCAGCAGTGACAGCGAGGAGGACGTTGCTGTTCGTAAGACAAGACATCAGAACAGGGTGAAACCCTTCTCGTCCCCGGACGTGGTGAGCAAGGCCTGTCGATGCGAGAGCTGCAGCTGATGTTTGTCATCACGTGACAAATATGACGATTTGGTTCGAGATTAATCATTTAACTTCAAGGATGTTGTGAAAAATGCTAATCATCAGAGCCGATGGGGATGTTTTCAAATGTCCGCTGATCATCAGTCCAAATATATACAATTTACCATAGCAGAAGAAAATATTCACATTTTTAAACCGTTGTTTTTTAAAAGAAAATCTGCCGATTTGACTTTCAAATATATTTTTTTTTCTTTTCATAGTTAATTCATTATTGACCTAAGATACATTTTTTTATCCTTTTGTGTATATAATACAAATACAAAATGTAAGTCGAAAAGAAGTCAACCTCTGTGTTGTGGCACAAAAATAACCAGACGACTCAGGCTGCCTCTGGCCAACCTGCAGTTGTCATGGCGACGAGTCTGCAAGCAGCGAAGAAGCTCGTAGCTCCTGACACGTCTCAACATATGTTGAGAAATATTGACATGGATAACACGCCTCGCGCTGTTTACAAGTGATGTGTATTTACGTGAAACGTGACGTGTTTTGTCTCCGCCAGTCAAAGACCTCCAGTGACGTGGACTCACCGTCCCCGGTGGTTGTGAAGAAGAAACGGGCAGCTGCACTCAATACTGTGAGATTTACTTCATCAGCAGTAAATAACGCCACATGGTTTTAACCTGTTCGGACTGAAGTACTTTCAGTTCATGCCTTAACTGTGACGAATAATGAAGGATCAACACCTCATTAATAAGTGTTGGACTCATTTGTTCTCCAGACCGAAGAAACAGAGGCTGAAGCCGTTTCGGTTTCGGATGATGATTTCCAGGATGAGTTTGGGTTCACGCGTAGAACCGCGGCACACGTTGCTGAGAGGAAAAGCGCCCAACAAGGCAACGCCAAGGTCCGTGTGTCTGGAGCGCTGTGATCTGAATCCGAATGATGTCGTTTGCTTCCCATGTTTTCTAGTTATGCAACTTTGGTGTGGAAATTAGAATATGTGTCAGCTAATATAATAACTCCGGAGGTACTTGAATGTATATCATATATCATATATATATATATATATATATATATATATATAACGTATATGACCTTTTGTAAGGGCCGTTCTCTTACATCTGATACATGGAGTGAGCACTGGGTAGCAACACAACCACAACATTGACATATCATGACAATTTAAGCTTTAAGCTCCAAGCATATCCAGCATTTAGAGAGCAACATCCCAGTCGTTTGGGTTTATGTTAGAACTATCTGGACAAAAATGACACTATCCTCCCTCCATTGAAATGCCAAGTCTATAAATATCCCTCACGGACACATGTAGCATCTGTCAGATTTGACATTATCCCCCCGTTTCTTTCCCCAGTACCCCGCATGTCGAAAAGGGCACCAGTTCCTGGACGTAGAAGCAGAGATGTCGGAGGACGGCGGGGCAGACGTGTCGTCTGACGAAGAGGATGGAGAAGAGCAGAACCGCTCTCTGGAAGGCTTCGTGGTTGACAACACACACCTATCACAGGGACTGGATGGTACAACGCTGTGTTCATTCCTACAACCCCCCCCCCCTGCCCCCGTTTTGCATCTCATTCACCGACGTGAGTTGGCTGAACTTGTTTGTTCCCTTCTACGTCAGACTCTGAGATGCACGGCGTTTACCTGAAGTCGGTGAAAAGCCCCGCGCTCCAGGGAAGGTTCAAAATGTCCTACAAAAATCGTCACAACATGGACATATTTTCTCAGGTACGCCGTCTTATTACATTTATTCAAAGAAACACCAAACACCAAGAAAGTCGAGCTAACTTCGGGTGCTACTATTGGCTCCAGGTGCCTGAGGTGGATGAATCCTACGCCGAGGACAGCTTTGTGGTGGGAAGCGAGGTGGAGAGCAGCGAGGGGGAAGCCGAAGACGTGGAACTCATGCCCGAGGAATCCTTCGTGGAGGGGCGGCGGCAGTATGCGACCAGGCGGCGCGTGTTCCTGCGCAGAGCGAGGGCAGGAACCGGCGGCGCCATCACAACCGGAGCCCCGCCAGAGCGGAGCGCTGAGGCGAAAACCAAGCGCCTCCGTGTCATACGGCTCGACGACTCCAGCGAGGAGGAGGAGACGGGGGAAGTTGGTAAAAAGGCGGGTCTTGGAAAGGAAGCGGCCGCCGACGTCCCTCTGCGGCAGAAGGCCGTACAGACGGAGCCCAGCGGGCTGCAGCAGCAGAAACCTTCGTCCTGCTCGTCTTCAACCATCGCGTCCAAGTTCTCGTCCCTGAGCAAGACCCAACGGTGCTCCGTGAGCGAGGAGCAGCAGGAGGAAAGGTGAGGACGTTGTCGTAGGGAATCAAATAGACATCCGTCAGCCACTAGAGCGTCCTCTTTCTTTATCTCACAGGTGGCGACAGAGGTTGGATGATCAGCATTTGCTCTCCGATGAGCTCGATTTCAGAGAGGGGAGAGCGGAGGTGTTATCCTCCAAGAAAGAGCCCCAGGTTTGAGCGAAGACACACGTCCATAAGGTCCTACATTGCATTACACTGTGTGTGTGTGTGTGTGTGTGTGTGTGTGTGTGTGTGTGTGTGTGTGTGTGTGTGTGTGTGTGTGTCGTTAAACCAGACTTATTGACTTATGAAGCGATAAAAACCCTAAATTCGACCACATCGGGGTTCTCCTTCAGATCCCTGCGCCTCCTGCCACCTCCTCAGCTCCACAGACGTCCGCCGCACAGGACTCGCCGGTCGGCCGGCCCGCCGCTCCTCCCGCACCCGTCTGCATTCTGGTGGACAGTCGCTGCATTGGCAACGGGGCGGAGCTGATCAGCAGCCTCCGGCGGAGCGCCGGGGCCACCGTCCACGTCTGCTCACTGGACGGCGGCTACTTCATTGTCAGCGGCCGCATGGCGGCGGAGAGGCACAGCCAGTCGGACTTGGCCGCCATGCAGAACCGCAAGCGCCTGGCCGAGAGGGTGAACGGCCTGCTGGGCTCGTTCGAGCGCGTGTGTCTGATCGTGGAGAAGGACCGAACCAAGCCAGGTCAGTCGGGCCGGCTCATTCGAGGGCTCGCTACCGAATTTGAAAGGGGGCCGCGTACAGTTCAGACCTAAATGTCACCATTTGCATCCGTAGTGGGTTGTCAGGTCCCAACGAGGATGAAATGATAACAAACCGTACAGGGTGAAAGTAATATGAGCTACAGAGTGGCACAATAAAAGTGAGTAGTAAAGACCATAATTGTTTGGCTCAATAAGTAAAGTGTGAGAATAATAGATTTTAGGAAGCGACTGTACAGAGTCCCGAGGAGGCGCCCAAAACCATTCCAAATGTTATGGATGTTATGTACCGTTTATTTTGAAGTTGAGCCGTTTCGTTTATTTTCTGGCATCCTGTCACATGTTTTGAGTTGTATCTAATTGTCACAGGCGAGGCGTCGCGTCCGCCTCAGCGAACGCGCTGCTACGACAGCACTTTGACGGCGCTGGTGCGCGCCGGCGCGCGCCTGCTGTGGAGCGACGGCGCCGAACAGACGGCCGGCCTACTGGTGGAGCTGGCGCGCCTGGAGCAGCGCAAAGGTCAGGGCATCACTGTGCCGTTGGAGGTCAAAGGGCAGCACAGGCAGCAGGCCCTGCAGCTCTACTTGAGCCTGCCCTCGGTGAACTACGTGCACGCGCTCAGCATGAGCCACAACTTCAGGTCCATCGGCCATCTCGTCAACAGGTAAAGGAAGCGTGCGTGTGATGTCCGGTGGCTGAAGAACAGGCACCTTTGTTCCCCTCTCGTTTACAGAGTATGTCGTCTTTTGTTCCTCCCGCAGCTCCGTTGAAGCCATAGAAAAGGGAGGCTGCATGAGTCGAGCCAGAGCCGAGGAGATTTACCGCTTCCTGCGCTACTCCTGCGACTCAGTCTTCATGAACACATCCAAAGCAGGAAAAACCAGCTGAAATCTATACCTCCCTTCCTTTATTTGTCCACTGCTTTCTTTGTCTTCAGGGCCCCCGCCCTTCTTTTTGTCGTCGGACCCACAGTAACCCATCGGTCTGGAGTTAGTTGAGTCTCCAAGTACCTCAGAATGATAATTCAACCTTCTTGCACAGGTTGAAATGGAAGCACCATACAACCACGCTAGTTTTTCCTTAAAGTACCCTGGTGTAAAGGCATACTGGTTTTATGCTGTATTTAATTTGAAGTGTTTCCCTTAAGACTCATGTCCCAACACTAATCCAGTCAGGTGGTGTTTTGATCAGTGTTTGATACTTGAATAACTTATTTTTGCCACATCATGTATACATTTGTTGACAATGCTACTCTATAAAGTAAATATGGTATCAAATTACTTGAATAAAAAGCACTATTTTTTTAATCGTTAGTGTCAAACTGTTTGTACAGTAAGTAGACCAGTGATGCCCATCATTGACCACTAGAGGCCAGTGTTTCATAAATCTTACTTGTACACACACACATCAATCCAGTCTCAACACGTTGAGGTAAAACTTAGTGTTTCATAAAACAATGATTTTTATTTCACCACTTTCAAAGTACTACATAGCGTGCACGCCGGTTTAGGTGCACGATATTAACATGAAGGCAACAGACCGTCGACGATCATCCATAATCCTGCACTACAGTCAGACAAAAGAACTAAAAGATTAATCAACGAAAATCAAAAACCTATTAAGATTTCACATCTTTAGACTATAAAAATGAAAACTAAACCCACCAAATTCACAGTATGTACAACATGTCATTGGACAACCCCAAAGCACTTTCAGATCAGTCAAACGTCTTCCACAAAACAGTATTAGACATGAAAATGTGGAAAGTATTCGCGCCAGACATTTGGATATTTGTGTCACCTGAAGCTTTCAGAGGCCTTTTTTGTGCATCCAGTTTCATTGTTGTTACATTTCCTTGGTTTAAAAAGGCATTGGTGAACTCAGGCAGCCGTTAACCGCTCAAAGGACAGCGGTCAAATCCCTCAACATCACTGTCTCCCTGTCCTATAAAGACTACCATGATTAATATTGAGAGGGAAGCGCAGGTGTCCCAACTGTATTTGGATTTTCCAAAGATTATGGACCGCGATGGACATTTCAACATCAAAGGCAAACGCTACAAATATCAGTCTTTAGTAGTGGGCACTGAACAGGGGACTTTTTCTCGTTAACCGTGTGTGGCCTGGCCGTCAGATATCTGAAAATGTCATCACAGGTGCATACAATACAGCAGTAATAATAACAATGTGCTTTCTCAAACCTGCAAAACGGTAGTTACAATCTGCAATGAGTGACCTATTCCTTCCTTGGCCTCTAGGTGGCGCAGAACTCATCTGACGATGCCAAACCTCCCTCTTGAGGAGCATGTGGAGCCTGACATGTGCAATTAAAAGAAGGCACAAGGATTAAAAAACATTTTGAATCTTTAAAAAACCCACTTTTAACCAGCAATCGTTGCTCGACACAGAATCTTGTACCACGTGGAAATACAAAAGAGCGCGAGAAAAAAAAAAAAAAAAAAAAAAAAATCAAATGGCCAAAAGTGGTTTCCAACCACACATGTAATCGAACCATAAGGTGCTTTCTTCGGACACTGTAGGATGTCCACAACAAAAAGATTAAAAATTGCATTAGGTATTTGGACAATGATTGACATATTTTAAATGATGTTATCACACATGCATCTCATACTGCAAAGGGCCAAAAAGGAGCCTGCAATATTTCCACCAATTAAAACTTTAAAAAAGCAGTCGGACCCATTTTCATTGTTTGCTAAATTTAACGCCAAACCATGTAAATTTGTCTTCACAATCATGCTAAACTTTGTGGAACTACTTTTGGTAATCAATAACTGTCAGTGAATACAAGTTTAGGCATATCGCATATTGGAGAACAGTAAGTCCTCCATTCTGACCTGAATGCAGCATTAGAGACAAAGTGTCACCGCAGATCAGTGACCATCGTAACAGTTTCTTAAATGACCTAAAACTCCTAAAAGCCAAGGGTTATTAACCGTACTATATTTACAAGTGTAGCCTTTAATTTAAATAAACCATCGGGGTCACGTGGCTGAAGCCGAGCTGGCTCACATCGGATCGGTTACTCATAATTGACAACAGCTAACAGATCAGAGACCTGTATGAAGCTGCAACTTGCTGATGGCTGTAGTAACGCTCTCTGCAGCACTAATGGCTCACATGCTGGTTGGCTGCGTCTGTGGCTGCAGAGGCTGCAGCTGGACTGACTGTGCCTCGGGGTCCTGGATGCTACACTCTTCTCCCTCACGCATGTACATTAAAAACAGAGTCACGGTGGCAAACGTGGTGGCATTGACTGGGAATGCGCGGAGCAAGGTGGACGTGAGTCCGCGCGTGAACACCCGCCACCCCTCTTTCTTTAAGCTCTGTCTGACACAGTCCTTGATGCCGCTGTACTGGTGGACGCCGCCCACGCCGTCCGCCTGAAGGCGCGACTTGATCACATCCACGGGGTAGGTGGAGATCCAGGACGCGATGCCGGACATCCCCCCAGCAAACAGCAGCTTCGGGATCATGTAAGGATCCTCGGGCTCACAGCCAAGGTAACGGGTCCACATGTCATAAGCCAGAAAGTACACACCAAAACCAGGCGCCTCACGCAGCAGGGTGGTCACCATGCCTCGGTTGATGCCTCGGATTCCCTCCTTGTTGTAGATTCTCACGAGGCAATCCAGAGAGTTTTTGTACAGCTTCCTCTTTGACTTCTTCTCTCCGGTCCCTTGCAGCTGCATGCGCGTCTTCGCCAGTTCCATTGGGCAGCAGATGACACATTGGATGGTCCCTGCTGCGGCGCCGGCCAGGAACTGGTTGAGAGGTGTGTCGCGGCCAAGCTTGCGCATGGCGTTGCCCTGGACGCCAAAAACTATGGCGTTGATGAAGGTCAGGCCCATCATCGGAGAGCCGATGCCTTTGTACAGGCCGAGCATCTACGGACACAAAGACCCATTAGAACTTTTTACAGATCGCGGCAGGTAATGAGCGTTTGATCATTTCTGCACACAACCCTAATGAGTTTAGCTTGTATGAATTATTGTAGCAAACCAAATAAATCCATTTTCAGATCGGAGCAGTGACAGCCGTTGTCATTGAGGAGCTGGTGTTAATAATATTGAAAACGTCATTCATTCATTCTAAAATGAACTCCAGATGTGTTTTTCCCTTGAAAGACACTTTCAGCTGCCGGGTACACACATACAGCGGTGTGATACAAAGTGGATTTATTTTCATTTGTAAATGATGTCCCCATCAGATAAGTGGTTGGGGACCCTTTAAAATGTACAGTAGTACAATATGCATGACCTCAGCCACAGTGATTTCACTGAGAGCAAGCATACTCCACTCAGCTCAAATGGCCCGATGGGCTTTATTTAGCCCATGCAGAAGAAAGCACCTCACTGACCCGGGCTAGCAGGCCCCTCCCCCTCTCAGCCTTTACACCCCATGTTAGGCACATGCTGGCCGATCATGGGCTCATGCATGTATAGAGATGGGACTGTAACTGGACACTTTAATTAGAGCATGGACCTTCCAAAACCTCGGCGGAGTAGACGGCACACGATTAAAGACACTCATTACTTTAACAGCCACAACCGGATTGAATGCAGCCTAAAAAAAAGCAAAGGTATAGATTAATAGAACATACTTACCGACTCTTGCCGTGCGATCGACTGGAAGCAGTGATAAGTCCCACGGTACAGAGGTTTGTCCACATTTTGAACTTGAAGCCTCACCTGTGGAAGACAACCGTCATGCCAGAGTCATACGATAGCGTAATAAGGCCAACAACTAAGTCACGTGTTGTAACACAGATTTAAAGGGGAAATGGTTCTTTTAGGGTAAAGCATACATGTTAAAGGGTGCAACATAAGGGGGAGAAAAAAGAAACATTGAGAATGAAGTTTGATGAAAAAACAGACTATCTTCTGTGCTTGAATTTCTATAGATAAGAGATCAGACAAGACATTGGGTGAGAGAAAAAGAAAAGCCGTGACCGTACTTACTGGGTCATACTTCCATCGAGAGGTTGTTTATTTCTCTCTCTCATCTACAACAAAGCCACACTGTTGCTGTTAAGACAGCCTCCCCAAGACACGAGCTCAGGGAGAAATGACACTGAAAGCAGGGTAGAAAGAGCGCCATCGTAACCATTGACCATCTGTGTATGCCTCCAAAGCAGATGTTGCAATTTCAAACAATTGTGTAAAATATTTAAGCATCCATTGTCCTGCGTTTTTGAAAACATTATGTGAATGACTTTGAGAAAACCACTTGTTCAAACTTAAGTTTTAGAGAAAAATGCTAAATGGCATGTCTGAAAACAGTGTTTATTTTAACGAGTGGCTTCAAGTCTGCTGCATAGACAAGTCTGGCATCTGTAGTGAGTACAGTACTTCATGTGACTGTGCGTAGTTGAACACAATGTCTGCAGAGCACCAGTAACTGAATGTCCCCAAATAGCCTCTGGCAAATGAAAACACCTTATCCAAAGGGTAACTGAGTGTTCTTGTTCTGAATGTCAATGTAACCTAAAGTTAAAAACAATACATAGAACACAATCTCCATACAACGAAACAAAAAATGTCAAACATAATTAAAAAAATAATAGCCATCAAGATCTTGCTCAAATCTCAGTCTACAGTCGCCTCAGATTATCTGGGTTCAAATGCAAAGTGGTCTGCTTTAGAAGCACTGTAGCATCATGCCATCGCATTGCCCAACATGAGCAAATAGTGAAGATGAACAGAAACCCACCTTCACGGTGTCAAACGGATGTCCAACCAAAACACCAGCTGCACCTGAAAAACAAAACGGGGCAGTATTTTAAAACATCACATTAGAAATAAAACCTATACAGACATCTATATTATTTAGATAAAAACTCGACGTGCCCCGTCCTTGACCGAGCACCACATTCATTATACAGTAACTTCTGACGTCATACCAGGACGGATCAGCAAAGACGCTTCGACCCCCAGAGGCATTCAAATCTTGGATGAATGCACCGGTCGTGGATTTTATTTAGTGAGGCCAATTATAAACAGTGAGACACAATAACTAAATTATTGTGAGCATCGCATAGATGCACATAGGAGTGCAAAGCAAACATGATGTTACTCTTAAAATAATTCATCCACCTGTTATTACTAAGGCGTGAGCAGTTTGCATTGGGACAGGAGGGGACATATTTCAAGGTGGAGGAGGAGGAACGAGCTTTTCAAGGATGTCAACATGCCAATAGCATTCGCAGGCGAGTCACCGGTTAGCAATGGCACTTTAAAACGACACCCGGGTTTTCCAAATATGTTGGGGGGGGAAAGAAAGTACAAATATAGGCTTTTTGAATCTTGTAACTGCCATTGCAAAGTTTGCTTGCTAGTATTGTTTCAGTCAAAGCAGCCCGCGCGTTTACTGGACGATATAAAAAAAAGAAGAAAAAAGAAATGTGCCGCCGGCTGATGCTAATGCTAACGCTAGCTTCAGCTAGTTAGCCTCGCGAGCTGACGTCTGCGGCTAATTACTCACCTCCTATACAGCCCGCAGCGAAGTCCAATGCCATTCCCTCTAGATGAATCTAACGACCGAAACGCGTCGGGCTAACTCGGTGGCTGACAGACGTGTTTCACACGGTATTTTTTGTGGGAACTTTTGTTGTGGGTCTCAGGGGCTCGCCGTTTAGCCGAGCCGGGTCGGCGCTGAGCTTAAGAGTTGAGCGGAAGATTTTTTCGCTGCGGGCAAAACGACGAGTGCAGCAGCCTGGTTCAAACCTCGGCACGCGCTCACTACTCAAAAGTGCTTCTCTCTGCCAGACTTTTCTATATCTGTACCGTGGAGGAGCAGGAGCAGGAGGAGGAGGAGGAGGCGCTAGTTCAAAGTTTAAAAAAGAAGAAACGTGTTTGTAGTTATTTAAAGGAAAACCAATAGGATTAGTAGGAAGAAGACAACTCCCCCCTAGCCGGGGGGGTCCGCCCCTCGCGCTCATTGGCTGCTGCCGGGCGGAGGCGCAGGGGTGTGTCGGCGGTGACGTCATCAGCGCGCGTACGTGTCCGACTGGGATCCTTCAAATGTGGGTGATTGGGTGGCTGTGTAAAGCATACTCAAACTAAACCCCCCAACAGCTGTGTAGTTTGGCGAATTACAACCAAACTGCCTTACAGAAAGTTCTGTTTATTTGTGTAGCAATTGTACGTGTTTCGCTCTACATGTTTAACAGGAAAAGGGCACCACATTTGTTTTAAATATTCATAATATTATTGTAAACTATCTATAGGGATAAAAGTATACCAAGAAGGAATTAGCCCCACCAATGTGTTCTGCATGAGTTCACTTTGGCACTATATACATGTATATTTAGATGCTGATACCTTGTGCTTGTACTGAAGTAGGATTTTAAATTCCTGGCCCAACAAGAATGAAATCTTCCTCTCAGGTCTGACAGGTTTCTTTCCCCGCCCAGGTATGTATTTGTGACCTTTGTCTGCATACTGTAATGCTGTACCAATGTTTTTTAGAAGCACCCTCATTAACAGTACTTGCACATTTGTGGTTTCATTGTTTATTTTTTATTTGCAGCATCTCGAACCCCCCTCCATATTACTGTTTATATCACTATATTACATATAGTGACTGTTTGTGTTGGGCTCTAAAACACTTGATTGGGCATTTTATTAAGTCGGGACCAACTTTACATTGGTTTTTCTCAAATCACAATGTAATCTACATTATATTTGAACAAAAGACCTGGCCTTGAAAGGAATATTATATCATGGACTATGCAATATAATGTGCATTCATTGTTCAAATCACTTCTATGAGCAGCAGACGTTTTGACTTGTCATAGCAGGAAAAGCACAGGTGTGACTAATAACATTAATGCTAGCTATTTATAACCCTGAAACTGATGAACTTAATAGAATAGCGCCATCATTAACTATGTATTCACTATGACATTTTGAGCTGTCCCCGGAGAAATAAAAAATACTTGTGTTCCTAAAACATGTGATTTCGGTTGTTCAAGTACAGTTTATTCTTTTACTTTATGCATAACTTCTTTATCTCTTACAACATGCCCCTTTTGTATCACAAAGTGACAGTTACTGTTTAGAGGTCAACATTTCCCCGTAAGCACATTTTACAACAATGAATATTTGTATCTTTAATTTTCCTGAACGGTTCTCCGGATAAGGAGTCGGGCTCATGTGACACAACAGCAGCGCTGCAAGCACACTTCATGAGAATAGATGAGTGCATATGGGGCAGAGAACAGCTAACAATTAGCATGAAGGCGAGCGTAATGCATTTCTTATTTTGACATTACTCTAGTACTTTACATTTTCCCCAAGTCCTGAAGCAAACTGTATGAGGAAATCTGTGTATTCCTATTACAAGTTCCATTGAAAAAGATGGATTGTTATTTGCTCTTGCACAGAGATCAGGATGACCTTTGCCATCTCCGTTGCTCAAGCGGGCTAAAAGTTAAAATTTAAAGGCCTTGGTGTCATGAAATGCTTCACTCTCTCATCTGTGACTTTTTTGCGTTGCTCCCGATGCTGTGAAATGATTGGCTGCAGAGTCTCGATCAAAAGCTTCTTCAATTCCCCCGTTAGAAGAGCTCCACTAATGTAATCCTGGAGGGGAGTTTAAAGAAACAGAAGTGCATGGGATGAGTGTGCAGAAAGGAAGTTGAGGAGTTCAAGGGAGGGTGCAGAAAGAAAGAAAAAAGGAAAACAAAAACAAAGAAAAAAAGACTGATTAGCAAAATAAAGTTTGGAAGTTATCATTAATTTTCTCAATCCTCTAAATCCCCACCTGTCTGATCTTTTCCAGCTGTTCATCATCCTCCAGGAAGAAGGTCAAATACATAAAGGCGACGTCGACATCCGGGTTTCCACCGTACTTCCTGTGCTCTTCCACAGTGTCTTTTCCTCCAGAAAATGCATGTTTGTTGACCTGTGAGTGACGATAACACCCGTCACTCAGCAATTAAAGGCAACATCAATTTCAATTAGCAGTAACTAGTAAAAGCCGCACCTTGTTTTTGATCTGCTTGGGTGTGTCCGTGAGGAAGATAGACGAGTTGGCGTCACTGGCGCTCATCTTGGTCTGCGCTCCCTGCAGGGCTGGGAAGAAGGTTGAGTGCAGCAGGGCTGGTTTGGGGTGTCCGATCCTTGGAGCTACATCACGGGTCATCCTGAAGTAGGGGTCCTGGATGAGCGAGGGGTTAGATACAGGCACATGTCATAGGGAAATATGACTCTCGTATTGTCCTCTATTGCTCTGATACTGTCCTCACCTGGTCTATGGCACAGGGGATGAGACATTGTATGTCCTTTCTGCCTTTAAAGATCTGTGGGAAGGAGTTACTGAATGATGGGGCGGCCTGGATAGCTGGGAAGCTGATCTTTCCTGGATGGATAGAAAATAATAAACAACATGAAGAATCAACGAGGTACACAATATCACTTGAGCATCAGGAAATAATGTAACAAAAACAAACAGGATTACACAAACATATTTTGAAAAATAAAAACATTAGTGCATTTTTCAGCTGCTGGCAAGGACTATGAAAACAAAGAATGATGTCACGTGTCCTTTTTTGTCATTGAACATGTTGTACTAACCAGTTGTTTAAGTGTCCTTACCGATGCAGTCACTGTCTGTGAAGCCAAAGATGCCTTTGACCTGGTTGAATGTCACGTGTTTCTGGATCTTCACCACGTTTCTATAGAATTCAGGTGATGCACTGCAGAAGGTAAAATGAAATTCACACATTTAATAAAACTAGACTAAATAAAGATACCATTTGCTACTAACTGAAAATAATAATACAAATGGTACGGCTTATGTGTATCCCAGAAGGCCCTAGCAGTATAGTCCATCAGATAGGAATATTTTTTACCCCATGTATTCAAGGTCAGAAAAGATGAAGGTTTTGTTCACATCAAAGCCACAGGCAATGATGTCCTTGGCATTTTCCACAGCGTAGCGGTGGCACTCTTCTAGCGTTAGATCCTTCCACAGGTACTTCTCATCATCAGTCAACTGGATCACCAGGGGGATGTCAAATACATCCTGCAACCATCTGCAACAACAGGGGAAGTTTTCGTTGAGACTAATTCATTTGATACTCCCATAAGTTGAAACTGTCGCATGGCTGATTTAACACCTAAATGTGCCTTTAATTGCTTTGGTATTAATAAATATTATAGAGGGATAACTTACTTGGTGAAGATGAAAGGAATGAGGTGACCAACGTGCATGGAATCTGAGGAAGGACCTCTGCCAGTGTAAAGGTAGAAGGACTTGTGCTTCTCATACGCATCAAGGACCTGATGCATATCTCTGGCAAGAAGAGAGATATGAGGAAAGTTATATATTGATGTCTCATTACTCTAATAACACTCAACATCTGTTTTACTTAATGGGAAGTTGGAATAAAGAGGTGACAGGCGGTCAGAGTTGACGTTATTGTAGTGACGCCACCCAATACCGTGCGAGATTTCCATTAACAACAAATAAGGAAAGAGGAAAACATGAAGATATAACATTGATGGCATATTTTTAATACCTAAAGTGCTGACCTGTGTGAGAAGAAAATTCCTCTTCGAAGAAAGTGATGAGGCTTCTGTCCCGAAACCTTTTCTATTCTGTCCACCAGCTCCTGGTCAATTTTACTGCTGCCAAACCTCACTAAAGAAATCACATGATGCCCTCAAATCATCATGAAATGATATCACTGATATAAATGTTTAGATAAGTTTAAATAAAAAATAATATTATTACTAAATATATATTTGCTTTGTGTGAAGGCTACGCTAGAAGCGCATTTGAATCTTACCTATGAGTTTGTCGTAATCCACTCCCTTGGCGTTGCTGGTGGATACGTTCCACGGGTCAACTGTGTCTTCATCATTAGCGCCATCTGCTGATGGCCTGTTGTCGGGGGCAACACAGGTTTCTGAGGGCGGACAGCCTGCTTTGTAATCCTGACCGGTCAACTGTTTGTAGTCTACTTTCAACTTTAGCAGCAACTGGACAGCTGCATCAATTTCAGCCTGAGGAATCCAAACAGTACGGTCAGATAAAGTGGAATGAAGTGTCAATGTCAAAGCTATTCTCATTATATTTTGAACGATTAGTTCAACCAAAATACAAACCTATGCAGATGGTTTTTGTTTTCACCTCACAGTTTCTAAGATTTTGCTATAGGATATTTATACAATGTAGGTGAATGGAAAATCATGTGTAATGCTTACAAGACTTAAAAGGACATTTGAACAATTAGATATTCAATAGTAAAAACATCAAGCTAATTGCAGAAAATCTAGGGACCTCACTATACATTTTTTTAATGGAACTACGTTATTGTTAATAATGAAATGTTACATTTGCTATTGTCAAATTCCGAATAGATTAGATCAACCAACCCTTTTAATGACAAGAGTTAAATGAACGTTTTCCAACAGTAGATAACAAGCACATACCTTCTCTGCCTTAGCAGTTTTCAAGGCCCTGACTTCTTCTCCTTGTGCTGTCAGTTTCTCGTAGACCTCCATCGGACTATTGGTTCCTTCGCCGTCTCCTTGGCAGTCTGTCATCTTCTTCACACCGACCAGGTAACTTAACAGTAATAAACAAGTTTAAATAGATTAACGTTACTGACCAAGTACACAACATGACTGAAAGGCCGATGCTCTGTATAGAATTTATTTTAACTGTATCTTCCCCCACAAGTTAATAGTTAAACATCCTCCCATATGTCACCGTAAGCTATTGAGCTAGCTAATCGTCCGGTAAGTTACCTCTATGTTTACATCACGCTGCAACGTATCATAAATGATACAACCATTCCGATTATATTTATTAACAGCGGGGCTAATGTGACTTATGATAAATAAGTGAGCAGCCGGCATACCGTATATTCTTCACACACACACACTGCCGACAGCTCATACAACTTGCATCAGCCTGACTGACGTTGTGTTTGGATCTAATTCTTCCCCGGAAAATACGCTTCTTCAAAGGTTCCGTGATTAATTGATGACCGCAAAAGTGCCACAGTGTGAATGTTGTTTAATGGTTTCAGGAGGTTTATTTATCTTTTCGGTTTGATTTAATAACCAATCCAGGAGTTAAACTAACTGTGAGTACAATCAATACGCTGTATACCGGGGGGAGAAACACGCAGCAGGACAGACAATTTGGTTCCTACCGGTGGCTTTCAAAATAAAAGCTTCTACGCGTGAGCATGTTGTGGCATGGGAAGACATTTCAAAACATTATTTTTATTGCGAAACGCTGCGTAATTTTTATTCAAGGGCAAATGTTTGTTTCTTTCAACCACGGTACCGTTCGGCAGTCAGTGATTTTTGTTTAGCGATGTTGCAGGTACGACATTTGAAGGCAGTTCCGTCAGAAATGCAAACGAACATTCTTTAGCTAATTTTGCTAAATTGATTTCAGTTGGGACACATCTTAACATTAGACCCACGTGCAAACCTGAGGACAGTGTGTTGTCTGTAAATGCACGTAACGTTACGTTTATAGTAATAATTTAAGAAGGTAATCGGGTCTATTCGAATGTATTCAGATTACTACAAGTGACGTGAGTTAGCTCGCTAGCTGTTAGATTGCAATCGGGAATAACTCGAAAATGTCTATCTTTGCAATAACATGTCTGATTAGCGGCCTCGTGGAGCTGGCTGCGTGTTTTTAAATTGCCCCCAAATGAAGACAATACATTCCCAAATAAACATTTGTAAATTAAACTTCTGCTGCTGTATCAAAGCCAAACAGTGCAGTCAGCATACTTTGAATTTGCAGAAACGCAATCCACCACAAGATGTCAGCCAGAGGCCTCCAATGGATAACTGCTGATCTCACCTTCCGTATTCTTTTCTTTACTCACATTACTTTAACGCAGGGTGTCGTCATGTGAAGATGTCGTCATTAGTGGCTTACGAAGATTCCGAACCCGAGGATGATTCTCCTAAACGAACGGAGGAGGTGACGTCAGCTTCCATCCAAACGGGATGTTATGAACCAAACCAAGGAGTCAGGCTGTTTGATTCCTCTCGGACAATACCAAGCCCTCCCTGCTCCGCCACACCTGACCCGGACAGGTCAGTGTTGGTTTATCGTGGAGATGTCTCCGAAAGAAGGAGTTCTTCACTGTGTCCACAACCGCAGCCGCACAGCTGTTTTGGCTGGGAAAGCAAACGTTGCCGTGGCGGCACAGCACGAGATGAGCGTTTAAGAGATACCGCTGGTCCTCGGAGTCTACATGAGACTCGGGGGAAGATCTCACCCACACAGTCACACAGTTTTGATGGTGGGTTGAGCCCAGCCAAAAGAAATCCCACTGTCCGCTCTGGTGTCAGGCCGTACGTCCCGAAGAGACAGAGGCCCGCCGCCTCATCCGGGACGGTGGACCCGAAGCACCCAGCAGAGCGGGTCCCGGGGAGTCTGACCAGCGAAAGCCAGATTCTTTTGGACGTGTCCGCGAGAGTGAAGCCGTATCTCGCCCACAAGGCCGGCGCTTCAGGGATACCGAGGAGGCTTCTGATGAGCCTGGGGGGCCACCGGGGTCCAGTCAACACTGTGCAGTGGTGTCCTGTGCCTCACCTCAGTCATCTGCTGCTGTCCGCCTCCATGGACAAGACCTTCAAGGTAAAAAGCGCTTCAATCGAAAATAACTTGATGACTTCAGAAATGATGCACATTGAGACATAGCTTTGGAACCTAATAATAGATTTGTTGATCGGGTAGTGAAATGATGAATGCTTTCTCAAAGCATATTCATAAAAACTGTATTCTTAGTGTTTTTTTTCTTCTTCTAAAATCCATCCTTCAGCATAGTTTCAGGCGGCTGCCAAGTGCACCGGGAAGGTCCTGGTGGATAATCACTTACCTGACATTGAGTATAATTGGCACAGAGTCACAAGCCGTGCGATAACATCGGCCCTGCTGCCTCGTTTTATAAATGTGCCACAAACCACTTTCTTTACAATGCTATCTGTCGCTTCCAGTTGAATGTATGTCAGAGCCCAGGGGGGGCTTCTTATCTCCCCCTCTCTCTGACTCCCTTATCTTATTCCCCCTCCTTTTCTGTATTTCACTCCAGAAAAATGATCCTTCATTTCCCTACTGTAAAGGTCAGGTCGTGCAGGTGTCTGCTAGGGACTAAATATTTCTATCCGCCCCCCCCCCAACCCCACTCAACATTCTACGTGGTTTCTGAATATTTAATGATTTCAATGTGCACAATATGATTTGCATAACCATACAAGTGCAGCAGTATGGCAGCCACCTTTTCTGGCACCTGGAAAGGGCGGCTTGGAGCAGATGGTGGAGAGAAGGAGCGAAGGGGAGGAGACGACATGGTGGTTTGTATGCAGGGGATTTCTCTTCTTCTCTCTCTCAGCCAGACTAACCAGCTGTTTTCAGTGATATCATTACATAGAGGAGCATGTGCAATACTCTTTTTATCTGTGCACATGTTTATTGAGCCGTTTTTTAACAATTTCAGTGGACGATTTTCAACAGGTGATTCTTTTCTTTCACTGCCGTCTTCATTTGACACAGTAATTCGAGCCCAACTATGGCCCATGCGTGCCTGAACTGCAATCCGAGAGGATTATCAGGTGATCAGGAAGAACAATTTTATCCTCATGATAGTGAGATGCAAAGTTTATTGGAAAGAAAAGTACATGATAATGACGTCTCTCTCTGCCTTTCCTCCTACTTCACTCACTGACTTTCATTTTAGTGATATTAAGTTTCCAAAAATAGTCCCAATACAATGAAATGGCGACTTAACATATTTCTATCCCACTATTTGTGAATGTTAATTAGGAATGTTTATGGAACCCCAGTATGGAGAAATATTAAAATTCATCATTTTTTAAATGGACATAAATATATTGCATACAGAATAACCACTTAAATTATTTTTAGTTTATATCAGGCACATATTCATATACTCGTTCACATGGCACTTTTTATTGTCTTGTATTGTAACGTACTGCACAGCGATACTGGCGGTCTGTCAGCACTTCAGCGATTCGCTTCCGTTCACTTTGACTGCAGACAGGACGGACGCGCTCGCTGACGTCTTGGCTCTTTCCTTCCCTTCGCTCCATCGACACACTTAAGGCTTCCTGCGTCTCTTCCTGCCTCCCGTTCGTCAGGTCCTCAGTGGCAGAGTCAGACTATCAATATTCCAGCTGGTTTGTAACCGGTGTTGCCATGGCAACGGCAGGTGAAACGTTGCCGCTTCAAGTTGATGAGACAAACACCAATTTATTGTAAATTTAAAGTGAGATGATCCCAATTAGTCATACTCAAGGATCCACTGACTTAAACATTGGAATTAAATGGGATGCAAATAAACAAATTTCCCCTTGTGCCCAAGTGTCTTGCTTGCTCTCAATTGCTTAGGCGTTGAATGGTGCCTTTATGGTAAGAATCATCATCGCTATAGTCTTTCATTTGAGACAGGGCGTAACCGTTGAAGGCTTTGGCCTTTTGAAGCCCTTTTTTTCTCTTTATGTCATAATTGCTTTATTCTAGCTTTCCAATTTTGTGTGACCTTTATCCTCAATGACTTTATTTCATTGTTTTCTGTTCCTGTTTGAGCCGGAACAGAAAACAACACCTACATGCAGCCTAAGCAGTGTTAATGAATAGAATAGATGATTTGATTGCATATTTTCACACACTCTCGGGGGTTAGGGGCGTTTTTAAAGAGACAGACGCAGCCAACCAAGATTTCCTTTTGTCTTACACAATATGCAAATGAACACACTTTCTTAGTCTTTTCTCATATATATTTTTTCATTCTTCAGATGACAAGAATTACATCACTAACATCGCCTTTAGAAGTGTTTTTGCTATGGTGGCTATTTCCTATTATACTATATTAGAACCCCACTCGGCAGCCCTTGTATGTTAAATACTATGCTGAGGGTTAAGTAACATGTCAAATATGTTAGAAGTCTGGAAGTTGAATACTTTGAGGCTCTATTGCCCATGGATCTGTTTTTTCTAACCTTGAGATGGCAGTGTAGTAGCAGATAAATGCTATGCATCAACAGTATGATTCTCTTTCTGTCCCTTCATTCTCACCCTTAAGGCATCTCTTGGATTCTGTTTGTTAAACTACTGGCTGCCGGATTGATACGTCGGCACGTCCGGCTTCTCTGTCTCTCTCCCTTCCATCTGTCTCCTGTGGGAGCCGCGTTCGCCTGCAGAACTTCTCCATGCGGTTCTTCTCTTTCTCATGCTGTATGGAGATCTGGGCTTTAATAATGAAACGCAGGGGGAGGCAGCGAGGGATTGGCAGCGCCCCACGGATCTTCAAAGTTCCTCTGTGGCCAGGGCAACGCCGGGGAAAGAGGAAGAATAAAACACTTCATCATTAGTGTCGTATACCTCAGTAGCGCCAAATCAGACCCCGACTGGATTTAAGGAGATACTTTAGTCTTTCAATGTGACAGAAAATCCGTCTTTCAGTTAATCGTTTAAAAAAAAAGAAAGAAGCACGTCACAATATTGACCAACCCGAGAATCAATGCCAAAATCCAGACGAGAGCAATCTGGCAGGTTCTGCTTTCTAGGCCGCTTCACACATTCTATTTACCCCGTGATATAACGTGTCATGCCAGCAAGGTGTTCAGTGGTGCAGTTGCAAACAAGCAACACACGGGTAGTTTCTCTCTCATGCTCTGTCTTTAATCAGAGAAGCCTCAAACAATACAAAGCCATTAAAGCCATTACTCCTCGCAGGAAACTGATTGAAGGACCACTTAAATGTAATTAGTTTGATTAGTTCACTATAATGGTTGGCTTTTAATTCCAGAAAATAAGCCTGTTTTTTGTGCTTGTTATGCTTATGATTTATTGAGTTGCACTCGGATGACTGATTTAATTTTGTATGTTACAATAGAATTCACGTGATTAAGATTTGCGAGGATTATCTTCATCTTCTCAGCTCTCAAAGTCATTCACCAGATCCCACGATGTGTAGTGCTAGCGGACACATAGAAGGCATCGTCCTGAAAGGCAGAGCAGTGGCCCGCCAAAACCGACGCCGGGGCTGTTCGACTGTCGCTGGACTGCTCCGAAACCTCGTCAGATCCTCTGCGTTTGAAGCCCGGCACAGTGCGTCAGTGCCCTGTGACGCCTTCTCTCCGTTACACGCTATGCCGTTTCATCTGGTCTTTTTTGCGGCGCCTTTTAACCGCATCTACAGAACGATTCTTTTTTTCTTTTTCTTTTATTCTTTTTTTTTTTAAGAGCACACAGAGGCGGAGCACATCTTACCAATATAATCTTTCATTCTAGATCTGAAAATAGCTTTAAACCTGCAGAAGCTGCCTGTCAATTATAATTGGAGCCTGCTGTCGTGCAGTAGAGCTACAGGAGCTCGTTTCCAGAGCGGTTTGAGCCTGTCAGTAACGGGGACCAGGGGTGTTTGTGTATTCGGCTTGATGCCATGTGCTCATCTCCGGCAGGTGTGGGATGGCGCGGAGAGCGGCCGATGCCTGAGGGTCTACGCCTGCCATTCGGGGGCCGTGCGGGACGCCCGCTGGACCCCCTGCGGGCGCCACCTTCTGTCTGGCTCCTTTGACAACACGGCTGTGATCACAGACGTAGAGACAGGTGAAAAGCGACACTTTTATCTGGGTCTGATGAACACAATGTCACACGACAAACACCCACAAAGTCACTCTTAACGGAAATCTACATGGGAAAGAATTCTGTGTCGACCAGTCAAATTTCTGGTGTTGCGGGGAGACAAAACATTTTAGTTCTGTGAAGTAAATACAAATGTATAGTCATTTATGTGTAGAGGGATTTTGGATTGCCTTTGGGCCCAGAGCTTGTTATAAATTCATTGTGCAAATTGCTGATCTGCTTTTCTCTTCTGTCATGAGACATTTCAGTGGCGTCCTTCAAAATCCACATTTCTAGAGCAAATGCCTCCGAACTGGGCCGCCATGCCTTTCCAAAGATCCCTCCAAGTGCCGCCAAGAAATGTTGCCTTTGTTTCCCAAAAAGTCAATGAAACAACCACCTTTTCCCTGTAGTTGGTATTCCAAAATCCTTTTGAGGTCCAGCCACAATGTGACGAATATTACTGTACAATGTAAATTATTACATTCATTTCTTGTACCATATTTTATTACAATATTTTTTATCATATTTTCTTTTTCTTTTAATTTGTATTAACAATAACTCACAGCAAAATTGTGTTTGTCAGCCCTTTGTGGGACGATAAAAATGATTCAAGGTGACATTCACAACTAATCAATAATCTGGTTTGCTTTGGAATTGCTCTTTTCTCTCCGGCCGACATAAAATCCTGGCACAGAGGATGAGAACTAGTCGTCCAAACAATCTGCAGCATGGACGCTGCTTGTTCAGCCCTTCTCTCATTCAGCGTGGTTACATGGATTCGAATAACTGGCTTAGTCCGACTGAAATCGAATTATCCGTTTCATGTAAACACCTTTGTCCGACTGTGCGGTCCGACTACGATCCGACTAACACCCCTGGATAACTCAATCTGATCCAGTTGATAGTTCGACTATTGCGGCATGTAACGATGAATCGGATAAGGAACTGGACTTTGTGTCTTTGCGCATTCTTGAGATCCCGACGGCGTCTTCTCTCCGTTATCAAATCAGCCAATAGCGCCATTCGCTGTACTCCTATTAACATAATGCACACATAGTAGAGGGATGTAGCTTCATCTTGCTCTCCGTTCGCCGTCTTTCTCGTAATGTTTATGTTGATGTTGTTGTTGGTAGTGGTGAAGAGGTCAAGCGGAAATGGCTGTATCACAACTAGTTGTAATGAAAACAGCGCCACCTATCGTATCGGATATGACATGCTTTTGGCCAATGATTCGATTTATTCACTGCCATGTATATTGGGATAATAGCACCTCCCCCCGAAATATAGCATAGTCCGACTAAGCAAAGATTCGAATTATACCATCATGTAACCACACTGAGTTACTTCCACTGAAGCGATTCGGGAATGTAGCAAGATGTTGGTCTGATCAAAGAGTCACAGAGGACACTAAACATTTTCAACACTTTTTTTCCCCCCTGCTGTCCCCTCATCAACGTTTATTATGTCGCTGTGGTCATATATGGAGAAGAAGACCTTGTTTTGAAGCCCCTGTGGCCTCCACATCTCTAGGGTCAACACACTGCTCTGATGACTTGCTGCCGTTTTCACTTCCCCTCTCAGCGTGTCTGTCAATACTGCCAATAGAGCCTACGGATAAGGGCTTGTCAGCCCTATTAAACACACAGGCTGCTCCAGGAAGGGGATCAATAATGGATACATCACCACAGGAGCAGCGGCCGTGACCTTAGACCGGAAACATAACAAACCACAACCGTATACAGCCTTAGATAGAACAATATTTTGGTCTTTGGCATCTGCGGTTGTCGTGCTCAGCACTGTAGGATGATGTCCTAGTAGGGTCAAAAGAACAGCTCTGAAGCTATTTACTGATTTGTGTAAGAATGTAATACGACCCATCTTGTCCTGAGGACAGATGCTGCAGATGTGTGCTGGCGTCACACAGCAATAAGCATTCCTATTGCAGCGCGAGGTGAAGAACACATTATTGAAAACGTATTGATTGCCTATAAATATCTGAGTGCACGACCACGGCACTGGCCCTTTACAACCACTTGTCTTCAAGCAGGGGAAAGAACACGGATACCAAGCTGCATCATTTGCATCCATAATTTAAGTGCAAACTGATACGAGGTTCTCGTCCCATATTTCCTGAGGAGTACTTATGCGAGACTCACAAAAGGCAGACAACAATGTTCTGGCATCATTACAACAGTGATATCTGGATCCAACATTCATGCATCTTCTGTGTTGATACTCAATCTGGCCTGAGTGATGTGCCACTCAGGCAGCTGAGTGTTTGCCACATCACACTGGCATGAGGATGAATGGGATCTTTACACTCCTCACGGTAATGCAAAGCCTCTCCACTCAAACGAGGAAGACAGCTGGGTCTATTCTGCTCAATTGCACTCTATCCTGAGATGTCTGTAAGCCCTTCAATCATCGGTGGGAGTCTTACAGGACACCTGACCCCCTATTTTACCACAGCGTACCTATCCCAGCGCTGCACGTTGAGGTATGCCCAACGGGAACGGTAAAGGAGGATTCTGTGTGGAACCATTTTCCTCGGTCATCTCTACAGCCGCTCTTGTGTCCAGTTAAATTGATGGAGTGTCGTATCCACCGCGGGCCACAGGCAGGCAGTCACAGCTGATCGGCCAAAGCAGAGGGAGAGCAGGTTGAGGGGCATTAGGCAAAAAGAGAAGAGAGGAAGGACGAAAGAGAAAGGACTCTAGAGAGGCTAAACACATTCAGAGAAAGAAACGGAGAGAGCGGAGGTTTGGGAGTGGAATACCTTTGTTCGATGTGGAGGGCGTCTGTGCATGCGAAGTGGCAGGCGCCGTCCAGGTTTATCATCGTGTCGCGGTTGACGTCTCGGTTTGTGTATGCAGAACTCGAGTCTTCTGTCCAGATCCGTTCAGGCGCGAGCAGAGCAGAGGTTGTCTTTGCTTTCCGAAAAACCGTAATACACAGATGTAGCGCCAGAAATATTTGTCATCCTTGTTGTGAAAGTCTACACTATTCAGTATTATTTGCAACCCTTCTGTCATCAGCAACGCTTTATGGGACTCGAGAGGGAATGCTGCTGCCAACTTGTGCCTGATCAGCAATCCAAGGATGCAGAGGTTGCAGAAAAATGACCCGACCCCTCGAGCCTATTTTAAGAAATATTATCTGGAGACGACTTGTCAAAACCAAGTAGTGTGTTGCCGACCTTTGCCCGCGGTGCGGTGACCTGCTTTGATGGATCCGATAATGAGGAAGGATGTTCAGTTTATCCCAGCTTCCTTCTCGTCCAGATCTCTTCCCCCCCCCCTAATTCCTTCTGCACCGTAGTCGTCCAGTTAGTGTGCCAGCGCTTAACCGTGATCACAGTTCTTTTAGAACTATAAAGTGATCTATTGTGAGTGGAGGGACCGATCTGTGCAGGCTTTCCTTATCTGACCTCTCAGGCAAGCTAATTAATGTGGCTTAACTAAACATGACAAGGCCCGATTCATTATGACGAGCATGTTGCTATCTCGTTGTCTCGCATAACTTGAGTTTAAAATCTGGGTGACAGATCTCCGTATCGCTGTGGTTAAGCCAATTAAGCAGGAAGTGTGTGTGTGAATCAAATTACTTGTTAAAACTTTGGGATCAATGCAATTTAACTGGGAGGCATTCTAGTCTGCCATTAAAAGAAAGAGTCCACTTTTGCTGCACTTTCTTAGCTGTGACTCATGCCGCTTCTAAAACGACCTGGTAAGAACATACTGGAACAAGAGGATAACGAAGTGCATTTTGTTGTGGCTTAGACTGTTTTGGATTTCTTGTTGTTTGTTCTGTGAATTAATGAGGAGCTGTTGAACCCCGAGGTGGTTTGGATTACGTTTGACTACTCGCTCAAATTCCGTCTTAGCTGTTCATGTAGCCGTTTTCTCAGGAAAATAATCTTGCTTATTGCTTATTGCGTCTTATTGTTTTTAAGGCCCCCGATGTTTTTTTTTAGCATGAGATTTTTAAATTGACCAAGCCAACCAAGACAGTGTTTCCTATTCTGGGTTCTCATCTCTACGGGTCTTTGCGAGCTTAGATTATTCTTTTTGTCCAATCAATCAACTTTGTGGATCCTTATAATTTAACATTTTGCAATGTGCACAACACAACAAGCTGTGCAATGTATCAGATTTCTCGTCATCGCCTGCCATCACTAGGAGGAGTGACAAACGTACAGTCTAATGATATGAAATAGTTTCTATTTTTTTATAAGAAACCATTCATGTTTGATATCAAGCTCTTTTTAGTGACAAAGACATTTGATCAAAGGTCAATGGGTCTGTAGTCTGTACTGATCAGTTAGTCTTCAAAGACATTTTGAAAGGACATTGAGTTGGGAATCTAATCTATGGCAACAAATTACAGAAATATTCAATGTGTCTTTTGCCATTGAGCTTGTTTATGAATCTCTGTGTACAAGCAAAGGCGACGGTACAATTTAATTATACAGAAGAATCAAACGTCTTTTTGCACGGAGGATTGGACACAGTGCGCTCAATAAACCAAAGACAAGCAGAATTCACTTTATTTCTAATGTGTTCAGTTCAGTCGTTGCTGTGTGAAGAAATGTGTAATTAAGCTTTTCATGTAGCGCAAATTGCAACGGGTTGTCTTAAGTCATTAGTTTAATAGTCCGAGCATTGTATTCCTCGTACAGAAGAACACACGCAGCATGTGCTGCCTTCTCTTTCTTCAAAATGGCAGCTTAACGGCACTCACAAAAGCATTAACGTAGACCTGACTGCGTCGGAGCACAATAGCGGCGCACAACTTCCTCGAGAAAAACCGTATTCCTTATGTGTGGGTAAACTGTGCTGATATGGAAACCCACCAGTTAATGTACGAGCTGCTGACTCAAGCTACTCCATTGTGTTTATGTATTTGTGAATGTGACTGAAGGAGTCGCTGATGTACTAGTTCATTCAGACAGACGTGTGCAGCAGCAGCAGCAGAGATTAAACTCCTGCAAGTTAATGGCTTTGGCCGCTTACAAAACTCTTGGAAATGTCTGAGCCCAGAGTGGATCGAAACCAGTCAGAGTTGAGCTGGAAACGAGTACCGTGGAGCTCCGGTGTAAACATCGGAAGCACTGCATGCTCTGTGTGAATCAGCTCAAGTTGCACCTGAGTTTCTTTACAAGGGGCGTTGTGAAAAGCATCTGCTTTACTTAAAATCTCTCATTTTTGCGGTTTATTTGAAAATATTTAAAATCAAAATACCTTATATCAGGAATGAAAGAAACTTGACGTATGAGCGCCGTACAACTGATCATTTAACTTGTCTCTTTTTCCCTGCAGGGCAGCAGGTAGTGGAATTGGACAACCAGTTCAAAGTGATGCGCGTGGTGCCGCATCCCAGCAGCCCAGAGGTGTTCCTGTGTGGAGGTCACAGTTCAATGGTCAATGCCTGGGACTCTCGCAGCTGCAAGGTCAAAGTTATTACTGCCCCACGGTAGATTTATCATTTAATTGCCTCTGGTTCACAGTGTGTTCTTTGACCTTAGAAAGGTCAGACTGTAAACTCATGCTCGTCATCCACAGCTCAGAGCTACACATTTAAGCCATGCTTTATTTCCCTTAAATGATAATATTGCTCTATGCATAGAAGCAACGCTGCGTTATCGCACTTATTGTTCATAGTAAAACTTTAATTGAAATGTGGGACTCATAAATAGCTGCTGTGATGCTGCAACCTGTTATTGCTATTACGCTTAATGGACTGTTTTATATGATAACCCTTTTCACCTCCTTAGAAACTGAGTGCTCTCACGTCATTTTATTCCCTCAAAGCTAAATAGTTTCCCTGCAGGCTTTTTAGATTCAATACAACAGCGATTGCTTCTGCAAAGGTTTTAATGTGAGTTACAGAGAGTGTCTACGAGTCCTCAGGAAATAGCTTCCTAAAGTGGTTGCATCCCGGCTGCTTGTCAGTCTGAGTGCTGAGCCGTGTTCTTCTTGCTTTGGGGGGAAATTATCACCCTAGATACAAAGGGCCTACAGGCGCAACAGTGTAAACTGTTCATCTGAAGTCTTTCCAAACGGGCGAGTGAGGTCTACTGTGTCATATTAAAACTCTACTGAACTTCCAATGATAAGAGCGGGAGTTTAAAGTTTGGTTCAAGTTACAAAGGATGACCCGACAGAACCTTTAAAGGCAGAGGACACTGAGACACTACTGCGTTTGCCTTCTTTTAACTGCTATTTGAGCCGAGTGTCGGCAACTAGTAGAAAACGATAGAAGCATCATGGATGGCAGGAATTCTAACTAAAATAATAATAATTGTAACTAAAACTAAATATGTTATAAATAACTACATGAGATTCTTCACACAGCAACTCTTCCCACTGCTTCGTAGATTGAATAAGATGTCTATAGGAAGGCTTTTAAAAGAACTCGATGCTCCTTTGTGTGTCTCCAGGTGGTGAAAGTGTACAAAGCCGGCATCCAGCAGACCCTGGACATCCTGTTTCTAAGAGGCGGAGCGAGTTTCATAACGAGCTCCGACTGCGTGAGCAGAGACTCCGCCGACCGCACCCTCATCGCCTGGGACTACCAGACCACAGCCAAGGTCTCCAACCAGATCTACCAGGTGATATCAGCGTGAATGAGAGACAAATACACCACCTGAGTAAAGTGGCGTGTTTGTCGTGCGCGTTCAACTGAGTGACCTTTGTGCTGCGTCTGTTTGTGAATCAGCATTTCCGCATTTGAATGGAGGATTTGTTTGAGTAGTAGAGGAAATCTTTGGAGTTCTGTAATTTATTCATGCTATTGGACAAAATAACAACAACATCGGAATGTCTCGTGTAATACAACTCAAACCGTGCCGTCAGAAATTAACACAGTAGACCAATTGCCAGATGTGACAGGATCTCAACATAACGCCTTTTCCAAATAATAATAGTTTGACATGTAGCTGACTTTGTTGTTTACTAATTCCCCTACTGGACCCCCCCCTCCACTCATTTGGCCACCAGGAGCGATACACGTGCCCCAGCCTGGCTCTCCACCCACTGGAGGAGTCCTTTGTTGCCCAGACCAACGGGGACTACATGGCCGTGTTCTCCTCCCAGCAGCCCTATAGAATGAACAAGAGGCGGCGATACGAAGGACACAAGGTCAGTAACGAGTGTGGCCTCGGGGGTGTGGGGGGGGGGGTTGGTCGGGGTTAACGAGGGCCTGATCGATGCAGGATGTACGAACAACCTCTGCTACAACCCGCGTGTACACAACACTGTAGAAACACAGACGCAGCCTACACGACATATCGCTGACGTCGCACCGCAGATCCATCGCCGGTTTCCTCGGCAACAGGCGAGCTCCCCCCAAAGCAAACGCAATAAGTACAAAACAATATTTCCACCGAGTAAGGCAAACAGAGCAGATTATTGCTGGCAAATACAAGTGAAAGCATGATGAGCTGATACAGTGGTTTGTTGATTCAAGACAAATCCAGAGGGACATGAAAAAAAGTGGTGTCTCACATTCGACTTCCCGTTTCTTTCCCTTCTAACAGATTATATGTGTATGACAAAGCCTTTCATGTCATTGTAAATATTGAATTGCTTATTACAAATTACAGATAGTGTCTATTTGTAGATTGTAGGTCATATACAGACTAAGATATTATTCCTAATTCATTTATAGGGTAAGAGAAAGCCTAACAAATGATGAGGCCGTTGCATTATGAGTTAAACAAACTTAATTTTTCATCTTGTAGGTATAGAAAAGTGAGTACAAAAGGTTGTGCAGAGAAGTACATCAACACATTTACAAGCTGAGAACAGACACAAAAACAAAGGGCATATGCTTACTGCGGAAAATAGCGTAGGTGTGTGCGCCTTTTGAGTCCAGATATTTCCATCCATTGAGTGTTTATTAACGTTGACTACTAATATGGGATATAGTATACATTTTCAATTGTCATTTTCTGAAACTATTATATATATTTGCTGCACATGGGCTTTTGAGCGTTATAACAATAATATAGACTGATGTAGACTTATCGATCTAATGATCCGTATCATTTTATGTCATCATACAAGTGCAGCCATTTGTATGACTCTACTCTTGATCTTTAAACACGCTAGAGGAGATTGCATGTATTTCTATACAAAGATGCTAAACAACGTGGCAGACTGCAGATGATTCAATTTTTCAATTTGACTTTGTAATGTTGTTGGTTTTTTTTTTATTTGCCGTAAACGCATACTTCCCGGAAATTCAATTGAAAACCTGTTTTCATGATTAAACGCTCCCGGTGGAAGCCTATTGCATTGTAATTGACCCTCACTGCATATTCCCCTTCTAGGTGCAGGGATACGCGGTGCAGTGCGAGTTTTCTCCGGATGGAACCATCCTGGCGTCAGGAAGCTCGAGCGGCTCCGCTCACTTCTACGACTTCCACAATGCCCACACGCTACACACTCTGCGCGCCCACAGCCAGCCCTGCCTGTGTGTTTCTCAGCATCCCGTCCTCCCCGCGACTGCGGCCACCTGCGACTGGGCCGGCGAGATCAAGGTCTGGCACTAAGCCATGTGAAGGAACTGGTGAATATGGACAATGGCAAAACCCAGGCATCATCTCTAAGATAATATTCATTACCACTATGAAAAATGAACAGAAAGCTCATTTGTTTTTTTTATGGCTGAATAATAAATCTGCATTAAATAGACAGAGGAGTGGCTTCAATCAGTTATGAGAGTCAACTGGAATCTTAAGAAATAATAAGGGGAAAAGATATCCCTCGAACCCAATGACGTATTTCCCAACACTCATCTTTATTAAGTAAATAAACATACATCAAAAATATATAACCATGCATTGGACGGACAGGCATTTTGACATTTAGTCAGCTGGCCTGTTGTTCCTGGAACAGGGCTGGAGGTAGAACAGGACAGAACCGCTTCAGCCCCCTCACTCTGGCTCAAAACATTCAATAAATAAAACTAAAACTGGATAAAAAATAGTCATAATGTAAAAACAACTGTGGAACTATTTATCTTTTTATACATTATGTCCACAACAAAAAATAACCATATATCTTCTCAACCCTCTACATGTATTTAAATATAACTCCAAAACTATTCAATGTTTTTTTGGATAGCTATACATTGTATGAAGTAAGACTATTGAAGAATTTTGTGGTGGGCTTTCACCTACATAACCTGCCTGGTCAAAAAAAAAGAAGCTTTTTGAGCCTTAAGCCAGTTTCCAAATCTGCAGGAATGGTAGAGGTAGAGGCATGGCCTTCCAGAAACAGTAGCTTATCCCATTCCCCACTCCTCCCAGATCTATGGAGCTACGCAGGCAGGAGGAAATCTTTCGAAGACACCGTGATGCCAAAGGGCGCACCGACGTCCCAACGTTGTCTTTTTGTCCCTCTAAACTACCCACTGGAGCAGATGGTCGCCTGGTTGTTGGGCAGCAACAAAAACTCTCTGCAATTCTGTCTTTAACGTAAGGCTTATTATAACGGGACATCGTGTCTTTGCCACTTTCTGTGGTCGCATGAACACACACACACTTATTTTCACAGTGTTTCCTTTCAAATAGACACATTTAGCATGCTGGTTTGATAACAAAAAAGTGTTGTGCATTTTTTGTCTTAGCACAGAACTGCAGCAGTTACACTTTGTCCGATTGTGTTCCGATTAATCTTCTCCTGGAGAAGATCCAGCACTCGCTCGTTTTGGTCTCTTATCAGTTTTCAAGAGTTTGTGTGGGTTTGCGTGGGCCAGATTATCAGACAGGGATAAAGCTTCCCTTTGTCTTTCCCTAAAAACACATTTCAATGGAAAAAGACTGAAAAAAGATCCCTGTCTCAGAACGGACTTAATCCTCTTCCAACAAACTGACCTTGTGACTGTTTTGTCCGACAGGAAGAACCTATGCTGTAACAGTAGGGTAGACGAACAAGAACGTACAGTATGTGTGCAGTTGTTGTAAAGGAGACCAGTCTGTCCACCAAACAGGATTAAGGCGATTTCACAAGTGTCTTCGTATGAGGGTGCAGCTTCATTTTGATACAAAAATAAGAAACTCCAGCAAAAAATCCTGCAGTTCTATTTAACAATTTCTACTGTGTCTACGTTTTTTATTTTTTTTTGGTTACCTGGCATTGTGTTGTAATTTTATATATAGGGATTTTAAATTTCCAATAAACAAGTGAGACAAGGAGGAACTCCAACATCCATTTAAAGTAAGTGTATTGCTATAAATATTACTTAGCTTTCACATAAAACAATAAAACATCCTTTTTAGTTTGTGGCAAAAAAAAAGAGATGTCGCAATGATAACTAATTCAGCTGGACATTAGTTTTTCCATCTTATTTCAGAATTATACAGCATGCATATTGTTCAAGACAAAACGGAATGAATATATATTTTTAACAGTTCGCAGTCCACTAAACATAATCCCCAAAATGTCCCCCCAATTCACACGCTCCAGTCCTTTATCTGAACTCTGTATACTAGAGCAGAATTGATGGTGTTTTGCTGGTTTTAATAACAGTACTTTAAAAAAGAGAGCAAATTGCACAATATTTTCATTTTTCTCGGCCTATATTGTAGCTCCTCCTCTAGTCCCACCGGCTGTAATAATCATCAAACAACACCATAGTGAATAGCTGGTCTCCGGTAGCTACGCAGTCTCCTGACAAAATAGAAAAAGTCTTGCGGACTGCGTGAAACGTGCCTTGGCTGAAATATACATAAAACATCAACGTCTTAATACCCAGTCACAGCACGTCACGTATGTGTTTGGTGCATTGATCTTTTGATACATACAGTACAGTAAGTTTGTCATCGTCATCATGCATAAAATGAAAAGGTCTCTCTCTCTCTCTGGTCAGTTCAGCAGCGTGCCATAGAGCTGGGCCTTGGTCAAACTGTCTTTTCTCGTCAATCCCGCGCTACCGAACTTTTGGTATCTCGGAGAGGACTTCTTTGGGAGCGCGGGGCCGACGCTGAGCGCGGAGCTGGAGCTCGGGCGAGGCCGGACGCTCGGCCTGGGGCTGGGGTAGTGTTGAAGGCTTGAAGCCTCCAGGGAGCTTTGGTGTAAGGACTCAGCGGAGCTGTCTGCACTCCGGCTCACGTAGTCCCTTTGGCCACCGCCTGCCGCGCCCCCACCGGTCTCCTTCTCTTTAGAACTATCCGAGAGAAACAAACTGCACTCGGAGTCCTGGCTGTCGTCCTTGGCTCTGTACAGCACCGACGTTTTCTCCGGCTTTCGATGCTCCGTTGGTTTGTGACAGCGGCTGGGCGACGGGGGGCCCGCGGCAAAACAGTGGTCCGGCCCACGGCGGAAGACGTCGTCTCCTTCTTGAAAGCTGCTGTAGAGAGGCCCCTTGTCCTTACTGGAAGGGCCGATGGCGTAGTGGCGTTCTGAGAAACTGTACGGAGAGACCCGCCCCGCGACGTCCCGGTAGGAAGACGAGAAGGCGTTGATGTCCTCTACACTGAGCTGTCTCCAGCGGTTGCTTAGGTCGTCCTCCTCGGGGACCTGGACGTCACCTCGCCTGTCCAGAGGTCCTCCGCGAGCCCGGCCCAGTCCAACTGTGGACCCCGCGGCGTGAGAGGATTCCAGGTGGGAGGTGCTGGAATGGTACGGCTCGCTGAAGCAGGACGCAGTCCTTTTGTACGCTGGCGAATGGGCCTTCTGTGGGCTCCTGGGCGTCACAATGTGCTGTACGCTGAGAGACTTTGGGAAGCCTGGACTACATTTATCGTAAGAGGACGTGCTTTTGCGATCGTAGTCCGCACCTCCCCCGTCTCGCCAGTCCATATAGAGGCCCTGGTGGGAAGACGATAAGGTGCCAATGGCAGTGCGCCCACAACCGCCACCTCCTCCCTTCTCATCCGACGCGAGGCTGAAGCTGGAGTAGGAACTAGAGGGGGGGAGGCTACCCGTGGCAAAGTCATCGCGATGGTGGAAAGACGATGATGGAGGCTCATGGTGGGAGAAGCTTCCAGATCGGTAGGCATCTTCGTCTGGGTTGCTGTCGGTGGAGTTCTGCGAGTGTAGCTGCAGCAGAGCGGTGTCGTGGAGGTCGACGCTCTGCCTGCGCTCCGTATCTTGCCATCGTTCAGGACAGTAGAGGGCCGTGTCGCTGCAGTACAGGTCAGACGTTTTGGAGGCGATGCGACGGTTCAGTTGGTCGGTGCTTCCTGTCGCTGGGTGATAGAGCCTGTCCCGTGGCTGCGGACTGGGTGAGCGTGTTGCAGGACAACTGCTTCCAGGTTCATGCTTTGCCAGGACTTTGGCAATTACGGTTGTGGGGACGGCGTCCGAGTAATTGGAGTGGGACATCGCGACGGTGGCTTCGCCACCCCACTTGTGTTTCTCCATGTGGGAGCTGATGCGTTCTTGGAAATCCAATGGCAGCTGCAACAGACGTAAAAAGAGGAAAAAGAAGCGCCATGAGAAATATATCCAGATGTTTCTGTGACAGTTGTTGAGCCAGTCTTTGAATCTAGCTAAAAAACAAAATGTAGTGCTTTTCAACTTGGATCTCCTGCATGCAGGGTATTCTTGAAGCCATTCCTCATGATTTTAATCCATAGTTCTGGTTTAGGACGTAACTAACTCTCGTATATCTCCATAGTGCAGAAAGGTTGGTGTATCTCAGAGGTTTAGCGCTACTTGGACCGCTCTAATCAACTCTGATGAAAAATGCCCAACACTAGCTTTTAATAGCTTTTGTTCTTTCATTTTCCCAAAATAAATCTTTCTTTTTCAACTTTTCAACTGTAATTTTAGTAGGGATATTCATTTTAAGAATTTCTTTTTGCACAGTATTTTTGTCTTTCCAAATAATGATGTTGTTCTCCGGTCCATCTGTTTCTCTGCCGCTCTCTTTTGCTTCCTCTCCTGTCTCCCTCTGGCACACACAGACTGATAGGTTTGGTTTGGCTAATGTTCGAGAAAAGTGTTCCTGTCAATTACAGCTTGGTTTCTTTGCGCCAATTAAAGATGGTCAGGATCAGTAGGAAATGTTCCTGCCACACAGATTTCCCTCTTTTCTCACGCCTTTGTTTATCCTTTCATCTTCCTCCTCCTGCCCCAATGCCTTCATTGACCGAGAAGCCACTATTTCTTCCCCCTCTTCTGCCCTCTTTCTTCTGTCTACCATCAAACACGTATCATTTCCACAGGGAACGGCTTAGATTCAAATTAAACTAGTGCTCTGGGTCCCCAGCTGGGAATAGAAAAACAAGGTGAAGTACTGACTTGGCTTTGTTAAGAAATAGAAACGTGCTTTGGCATAAAATAACCTGCATCTTTTAAGTGAGCTAAATATAGCAGCCACTCACTGCCTCCCCCAGAGGGAATGGAGATGGTAAGTAGGTGAGGGTATGTTGGGTTGGGGGGGGGTGTATTTACAGCGTGTGCTCCAAATGAGCTAGCTCAGCATCGGCTGCTATCCGTGGCAAATCTTAATTAACTGTCACGCAGTGTTAATCCACGTGACAGCCAACACATCTGCATGTCTTATTCCATCTACAAAAATTATTTAGGATTAAGGGTGTTGGAACTGGCACTTATTGTTTTAGTCAGTATAGAAATTCACTCACTCTGTAACGGCTCTTTCTTAAAAATACTTTAGCATTAGACTAGATTTGAGCTTTTCTAACAACTTCTGTAATTGCAGTGATTTTTTACAAAAATATATTTGCATGAGTTACAACAAACTAAGCTTATTTTCAGCCTTCATTGGGGAGTTTTGTCAGTTGGAAAGACAATGGTCCCTAGCGACTAGTGACAGAACTACGGGAGGATTTTTAAAAGCGCCTGAAGCTTTTTAATGTTTCCTCGTCACTTATTTTAATGTAGAAGGGTCTTAAATATGCCCAAGATGGCTGTAATGCTACAGACACGCCCCAACTCTCAGTAAAACATTAACATGTCCATCTATTTGTTCGATGTTTTTAAATGCTTTGAACTTACTTTAAAGTCCAAAGGTCGTCATTTTTATTGCAACACAGAGATGGAATTCACTGATGCAGTTGAACGGGGTGTGGGGGAGCTCACCTCAGACAGCTTGTGCGCTCTGTAGTGAGGTTTGGAGCACTGCAGCAGCTCGGCGGCCAGGTTGCAGTCTTTTCTGTAGACGTCCTGTAAGAGGCAGAAAGAGCATCTGTTACTAAACAGAATTTCATGAATTCATTCGTGTTCATTTCGGCAGCCAGCCCTCTATTTGGGGGGGAAATCATTTCAGGGTACAGTGTCCTGTATTGTTACTGTGATTCTACAGCAACAAAACAACAACAACAACAACAACAACAACAAAATACATCAATGAAATAACAGACATATTGTTAGAGATGTTGGTAGTTTGACTATATTGACTAAATTATTTAACTATGCTTTACATTAGAGGATTGCAGGATCTTTTTAATGTGTAAGACTGAGTATATCTGCCCGGTAGAGATTTTGTAAATTGTTAAATTATACATTCCTTCACCTCACAGCATTATGTTTCTCTTTCTCGGTCTTTAACAAATGATTTTGACTTTCTTTTCCTCTCCCTCCTCTATGAAATCCCTCCTCTTGTAAAGGTCAGGTCTTGCTGCACTGTATTCTCACTGTGCGTCTATCACCACCCTCACGATGCTTCACACAACATCAAAGCTTTCTCTTTGACAGTTCCAACTCCCCCACCAGTTAACGCTGACTGATTTTTGAATGAATTTTTTCAGGTTTCCTGTATCTTCTGTGGACTTTTCGTGGCACAGGGGTTAGAGACGGTGTGCTGGGAAGCACAAGGTTGGTGGTTTGATTCCAGGCTGCCCCATGTTCCATGTCGAAGTGTCCCTGAGCAAGACACCTAACCCCTAATTGCTCCCCGGGCAAAAATGTGAAAAAGCCATGGGTTTAAAGTGTAATGTAAGTCGCTTTGGATAAAAGCGTCTGCTAAATGACCTGTAATGTAATGTAAACCACCGGGGCTTTGACAATGTCTTAGTTAAAATTAGTTGTGTGATGGGATGAGGTCTTAAAATCATGTACACATTATGATTCTTTGAACAGAGTAACGCAAGTTTCTTGGGGCTTTGTTTAATGTCTGTGGAGTCACAGAGCCTTGCATCACAAATTAAGGGACTATCCCCACCAAATTTTTGAAAAGAGGATTCAGGATTCAGGACAGTAACCGTCCTAAAGCCCCAAATCTCCTTGGCCTTTAATGGCCCAGACCACTGCTTAATTTGTGTGCCTGAAGGTGGAATATGATTTGGGCAAACCTTCATCAGAACTTAGTAACTGAAAAGTTAGTTTACTTAGTTAGTTGACCCCCCCCCCGAGTACTCACGTTGTCCTCTGTGAGTTTATTTATTGTGATCTTCGCATCCATGAGGTGGTTGTTGAGGACAATGATTTCCCGGCCGAGGGCTCTCTTCTCCTCTTCATGGTGCTGGGACTGCAGTGTAGGAGAAGAATGGACAAGAGAAATTAAATAAAAAATAAAAACCTAGCAACATAAAACAAAAACAAAGGAAAGTTGCAGGTTGACCGAATAGATGGTGAGTAGTGAGCAGGAAGTTAAGAGGTCAGAGACAAGAGCCGAGATAACAACAGAAAGGTGAGGAAGTTGAAGCTACAGGAGAAAGCAACTGAAGAAAAATACGATGAGAGGAGAGGGCAAGAAAAATGAGCGGAAGGGAGCCGTAAATCAGTCTGAAGATGGTGCCAGCAGCAGGTCTTAATTAAAAGAAGATTACCCTAGCCAGCGCCTATATCATATCAATTACTCAGGGGGTGAGAGAAATAGAGGGGGTGAGAAGAGGGAAAGAGGAAAACAAAGAGGGAGACAATGAGAAAGACAAATGAAAGGCTAGTCCCATTTTCATTACTGTCGACGAAATGCAAAATGACTGTGCTGGAGTGACATTTTGGCTCCCGAAACACTGGAGTCTAATGACGGCGATGTCGTAGTTCGCTGCTTTGTCTTCCTGTCTGCCGCTTTAATCTCAACAACTGTCTACCACATTGTCCTGCCGTTCGGCGCTGACATCCGCGGCGCCCTCAGGATGATTCTTTACACTGAAACTAATGAGACGGATTGATTGAGAAAAAATGTGCTTGGTCAAAGAGGATGAACCATTTCTGTTTTTCTAGCACCACCCTCGGTTTGACGTTGAAAATATTTCCCGAATCAACTGAGCCCATCCCTATTCCCAAGGGTATAAAGCCGTATTTCAATCAAACGCGGGCTTTGGGCATGTCAAGAAGAGCCGTGACTTGAATACAGATGTTGTCATTAGTTTGTTAATTGTTCTGTGCCACAATTTACCTTTTAAACTGAAGTCAACATTGCAGCTTCCAGGGGTCAGCAGAGGGTTTTGTTGACTAAAAACAATTTTAAAACTATTAAAAAAAACTATTAATCTTATTCTCTCTGACACACACACACACACACACACACACACACACACACACACACACACACACACACACACACACACACACACACACAGACCATTAATCGCGAGAACTGTCACACAGCAGCAGCCGACAAATGATACAGCTGTGAGAAATCGCTTAGCCTGCTACCCTCCTCTCCTCTAATCTCTCAATGCCGGTGATTGTTTTGAAATGGTGTGCCAAGCAAATCTAATAGGTGGCAATTAATGTCAGTTTAAGCAATAGGCCAGCATTGATATTTAAATTTGGTAAGGATTTCATCAGTCGGCTGTCATAATGCTCGATTTCCATTCAAATGTTTTGTTGCTGATTGTGTGGATGATCACACACGGGCACTTTATAGCTCAGACATGCACTTTCTCCCTGTTTTTGTTAAGATAATGTTTTATCTGATCAATGATAATTTGCCCCACAGAGGTTTATACGTTTTTTTAATGTTATATATTAGTCTTGTGCTGTTTAAATACAAGGGTAATGTAAAAGAAAATGACTTGCATAAAACCCACTTCATTAAGCCAACTAGTTGCTTATGTTCAAATGTACACATTTACATCACTATCTATTTGCTGCAAGAGATCTTTTAGTTTGAAAAATAAATCATGAAACAAGTTGTACAAGTACAAATACTGCAATAGAATGAAAGGACCTGAATGATGTTGCTTTAAAAGAACCTCTAGTTGTTTCTTGCTTTGCCTTCCAAGATCTCAAGAATTATTAATCATAATGAACAATGGTAAGAGCAACAGAACAAATTCAATTTTTAATAGTTAGGCTTGTTTTTATGTTTCTGCTTTGAAGCCATGGTTGGTAACGTGAAAAAAAATCAATAAAGCTCAGCTTTTAAAGGCAAAAAACTATCAGGTTAATAATTCCCCCCAAAACACATCAAGCTTGTTCAGCCTTCATATGTTACCTGCCATCTCTAATATCCCTGTAGAAAACAAATCAGACTACATATAGAAAACAATTAAACATAGAACAATCATAATATATATATATATATATATATTAACATGATCTTGCACTGTACTCCGCAGAGAGGGAGAAAGTGATATTTTAATCACAGCGTCACGTCTAAAGCAAAAATCGAAGCCGTACACACAGATCTTCGCTATCTCCTTTTGTCACACTGAGTTGAATACACATGATATCACAAAGACGTTCTTATCAGTTGCTGCCAAACCTATAAGAGAAAAGCAACAAGGACAATTAACATGCAAATTTGTTCTTCTTATTTTAAGATTGACCCGCTGGAGGGTTTATGCTGACTCACCGTTGATCTGTTTTAGAACTTGTTCAAAAGGATTTGATAAATTGAAAGCACAGTGAATAAAAAGTAAAAAATGTCAATTAGATCTAAGTATTCTGCCGGAGATTTGACCTTTTCCACTGAACAAATGACACCTGAATCCCATGAGATGCAATTACTGCAGACCGTCTTATGGAGAAGAGCAGAAAACCTCATTCCAGTCAAACTCAGTCTTACTTTAAACTTTTTCAAACAAATCCCATTTTCCAACTAACCAGATTTTAGAATCCCGATCGCAAATGTAAGCGGCTTCCTGAATGAAGCAGGATCTAAATATTGTGGGTAAATTGAAATAGACCGAGAGAAAATCAAATGAATTAACAGTGGAAAAGAGATGCTTTGTGTTGTGTTGTCTTAAAATGGTCGCATGTGTACAGATTATAAAGCCCGTTGGCATTTGTGGTCATGGGCTTAATAATTGAATTGTATTGAACAGAACAGAACCATAATGATTGCTAAACTAATGGTGATCTATCCAATCTATATAGTCAGTGCAATATCTCCAATACATTTTGTTTCAAACATATTGTTCCTTAAGAATACATACAAACTTTTGGTAAATATAATGGACCAAGTTATTGATTAGTCCATAGTTATTTTGCTGCTGTGTTACTTCCCGGGATTCTCAAGAAAGAATAAAGAGTGTATTATTATGCACTGTTTCAGTATGATACTCTCCCATATGTATATTTGCACTTTTTCGTTGATGAGTTATGATGAACTACTGTCATGTTAAAGGGACCAATTAGTGCACTGCAGGCATCATTGAAGGTCAAAGAGCAACATATTTGTACACGTGCATAACCGGCTTGTATGTTCCTCCTTCAGCAATGATTCACCAAACATCGTTCACTTGGTGAACGTAGATGTAGAAGCCATTATTATTTGGCCATTCTGCTGTGCGAAGACACGAAAAACACAATTATCCTCTCTCCTATGTCCTCTTGTATTTTCTTATACTTCTCCTCTTTTCCTTGTACTTACATATATTTTATGTTTCCCTGTTTTAGATTTGGATGTCAGCTCTGCAAACATTACTATGATGCTAAAATGCATCGATGCTTAATCAAATTCCCATTGATTATCTTAATGTTCTTTTATATACTGTTTGGCCAAGAAAAAAATAGAGGCCCCAGAGAGTAGACTGAGTGTCTGTGTTTCATAAATAAACACATAAATAATTAGATTTAAGATGAATATGTCTGGGTAGAGATGTAATGTACACCAATAACAAAGGTTCAACATGCTACAACTTGTTCTGAGTAGCAGCTAACAATTCATTTTCATTATTGATTGAGTTAAGGAGCCATCTATGCTCAGATGCTCATCAAATACCCTGTTTTCTTCTTCCTGGAACATTTTCTAATTCAATAGAATCCACAGTATTTGATCCCTCCGAGCATGTTAATCAGCTTAAATGCCAATGTTTAATGTATTTATCTTTAGTTATTATTTATGTTAACTTTTAGTTTTTCAATATGTTGCTTACAAGTGATTTACAGCAGAACTGTGTGTAGCCTTATTAGGAAGACAGTCATTGAGTTTTATTCCCAGCACCACGGACAGCTCCGCAATCAACAAATCAACATTTTCTAAAATCTTTCAACGTTTTCGGTCTCATTTTGTCCTTAAAAACTGTTTCTCTAGAGATCAAAACTAATACTGTTAAGTTGACCTTGTCGGTTTGGGTCTTTTAATGACACGTCCGATTTGAGCTGCTTTTGTCACTGCCTTGCTTCCCGGACTGTCTTCTACAAAGGGACATATTTCCCCCTTGAAATGACACGGCATGACGTGACATCAAAAGAAATGACAATCCCAATGAGCTCTGCCTAACCAAACTGTCTCTTCCCCCAAAGACAATTTGACACACAAAGTCTCAGTTAGACAGACAATCCTTTTGAATGTCAAAATAAAATTCCCGTGAGCAGAATGTGATGTTCTGTGTGTAATTTATGAGAGGAATGATTCGTCTGAGGCTTCCAGTGTATCCATGATATTACAAAGTCTCATCGATTACATTGGAGCATCGTCAAACAGTTATGGCTACAAATACTGCAAGACTGATGCTTCTGACTATACAGTGCTATGTTTCATGTCTTGATTGCTTCATTACAAATGTTACGCCTTACTGATCCACCAGCATGCATTAGTAGACAGTGAAATCCACGCAGCAAATCGAACAAATCGAAATAAAGCTATTTACATTAGCTTATGCCAGTTTCCAATTAGTACCTACGGATTGTGAACATGCATGCGTATAGAGTAAAATGTGAATATACAGTAGACCCATAAGATGCTGGTTTACTCACTACTTCACACAGTCCTCCTATATTAGTGTGTATGGTGGACAGAAAAGCCCCATGGATCAAACTTCTGATGAGATCCGAATCCACTTCAATCATTATATTGTAAATCCTCATATCTCATATTGTGCTCTGATAACTGTCAAATAAATACTTGAGCAGAGGCTGTAGGAGGAGGACACATGGGGAACCTGCCTGATTTGCTGCTACTGAGGTGTGCAGCAGTTTGCTATAATGGTTATCTGACAGGGGTTGCATTGCAGGTAAGACCAATTACTTTGGATATTGATTGCGCTCTCTATCTTTGATCATGTAATTGCTTTGAGAAGCGTCTGCGGCTGTACAGTTAAAATCGATGGTACTAGTCATTGTCATCGTTAGAGGGGAAAGAGCAAAGAGATTAAAGAATTCCATCTCCAAGAGTTTTGTTTCTTATTGCGTTATTTATTCTGATCACTTTATTGGCGCATCTGAAGCTTGCTATGCATTTGTCCTTTAAGCCTCTCAATCATATAACGGCTCCGTAAATGGACCCTCGTGTCCTACTGTATCATAAAATAGTAAAAGAAAAGTGATATTGTAATCTGCCCATAGATGTAAATGTCAACACTTCTTTTAAATATGTAACAATAAATGTCACAATTGAAAATGAATAAAATCTTTCATAGCATTTACCAGGGTAAATATGATTAAATATGTAATAAGAAAAGGGTAGTATAAGATATTCATAGTAATTGTCGTAAAAATGAAAAAATAGTTTGCAATAGTATTTTTATAAAACGAATAAGGTCTTACGTCATAAAAAGGCCAGGAAAACATGCATATTATAGTAGGCTGTATGGTATGTCATTAGAATGTAATTAAAATGTTAAAGTAAACAGTGACTGTGTAATACAACAAAAATATTTTATGACATATAATATGTCAGAAAGATGTCCTTAGTATGGTATGGTATGTCAAAGAATAACAATAAAATAGTATAAAATACCAAAAAGGGAAAAACAATGCAGCATGTTGAAAAACGTTATGGAAGTCTAACAAATTAAAAATAATGAATTGAAAAAGTCGAAACAAGTCATAATATACGATAGGGCATGAAAAGCTTCGTATGTTAAAGTCACACAAGTTATATTCTGGTGTCACGGCATGATTTTGGTTGAGATCAGACAGATATTTGGTTAAAACTGATATCGTAGTTTGAGACAATGTGAGGTTTAAATCCCAAACTTACTGTCCTGTGCATCTTGTCCTCCAAATCCTGGTTGATCCTCTGAAGAGCTGCATAGCTGCTCTGGATCCTACAAGAACAGAGAAGAATCCGTATGGCCTCATTTAAACACATGAAACTAAATACACTATACTGTAAAATAAGCAGTAATAATCTGCCTATAATTGTAGACAAATAAATGATATGATTTCATTCGATAGGGTTCTTGCTAACTTTTTAAAAGATCAAAGAGAAACTTAGTAAACTACATGTTATATAAACTTATTATTCTATTCTGCTTCTATTAATTATAGTCACTATTGCTTTTTGGTTGCCCTCCAGTCCATTAGTGAACTTAATGGATCTGGAGCTCTACTCGATTTGTAATCTAGTTTACTGGTGTTTTTTCACGTTCTTATCACATTTTCAAATGGCCCCATTTACCAAACAGATGTGCAGAGTTGGCAGTGGCGTCAAGAAGAATAATAACACATAGACTTGTAAGAGATTTGAGTTGCCACAGAATAAAAGGGAAATGAAAAAGTCCCACTTGAAGGAAAGTGTTCACTCTTGGAAAACAAACCCAACCAGAAACTTGAGGATGTCATTCAGGGTGAGCCTAAAAAACTCAATTTGTCTTGCACTTTCCACTTTCTTCAACAAGCTTTGCCTGTTGTTCAGATGGTTAAAGTTAGGACAAGAGGGCTGTGATTAGGTCTCAGTCTGCTTTCCAAGCTTAAGTGATGAGTTTAAAGGTGCAAGACCCGAGATTGGAAGCGTTTTCGATTGCCTCTCAACGGCTGTCAACAGCTTCAGCCTCGTTTTAGCCGACAGTGCAAACTGCAGCAAAAGGGCTGACAGAACCAACAGTGTTTACCTGATGGGGAACTGGAGGGCCGGATGCTGCACTTCCGACCACCACAGAGCAGAGCCAGTCAAAGGTGTGCACTCTAATACACACTTAATTACCGTGTTGCTAATGAGCTGAGTGTGACTGTCATGGCCTTTAATGACATTTCACAGCAACGTTAAACCCATCTTTCAAACATCTTTCACCTCATTTCCTCCAGGACGCATAATACTGGGTTTCTTCCCGGTGGGGGAGTCACAGTTCTGCATTACATAGGGAGGCAAGGCCGCCCACTGTGGTCACACACCTGCGGAGTTTCTCCGTAAACTTCTCCAGTTCCTCCTGGGCGCGGCGCAGCTCCGTCTCCAGGTACTGCCGAGTGGAATCGAACTCCGTCTCCACCATATCTAGTTTGTGGGTGGTGTACGACAGGCGCTTGCGGAGGTCATCCTTGTGGTCGTGGAAAGAGCTGAGCATGCAGCAGAAAGAGAAAACAACAAGAGGGACACAGTCACAAAACTGCTGCACTTTCATTGCTGCGGACAAACACAGACGGAAAGAAAATCCATGAAAAAGAAAATAGAACGCGTGTTTGAACGGGGGAGGGACGTAGCGAGGCTGGAGTGCATTCGGTTTGAAACAGGAGAAGTCCCAGGCAGGGGGTAAGAAATGGGGAGGAGAGGATGGATGGAGAAGCAACACTAATCATTTCCCATTCACAAGGAGGGAGCAAAGCTGGGGAAGGAGCTCCCATGGGCGTACTGCTGAAATATATTACACAACCCACTATCGAACCTCTGAGAGAATAGGAAAAGACATTTTCCCCCCAGACACAGACCACGGGTGGCTCATAGAATAAGAAAACGTAGAATGGACCACAGTCTTGTGTGCTAGTGAGCTTTAAAAGAGGAGGAAAGAGACAGCGAGAGCATTCGAGAAAAGACACAATACCGATTCAACACCACCACCAACAGCAGCAACACAACAATCGGGGAGCAATAATTTTGTCATTTGATGCACGTTTGAGTTTGGGAGATGAGAACACACGGACTGGGACTGACGGATGGAAATATTGGAACGCAGCGATGGGGAGCAGGAGGGGGATTTAGCATTTTGCCAGAGGATACTTGGCTCACAGAGAAGTTTGACGTCTCAACGATGCCAACCAGCAGCCGCAAAGAAGTGTACCTCGAAATTGACCATACTGCAAGAATAGACCACCTTTTTCCTGGGTCGGTTAAAGATCTCCACAAATCAAGTGTTCACCAAGCGTTGAGAACTTTGAATACAAGTAGCCAAGCAATAATAAGCACGTTAACGTAGCCTTTGGAATAATAAATGCTCATTAGTCACCAATACCATTTCAGCGTTTGTTTTCAAGTGCCCTGACTCCCTTCTTTCACTTTCAATCAGCACCCACGTCCCTCTAGTGGTGTTCACGCCCATCTCCCCTGCAGCATATTCCCTCATTATTCCATCACTATTTCGCTCCACTCCCTTGCTCTTGTGCCCTTGCTGGATTAGCGTGTGCATTCCCGTGTTTTCTGCCAAGCACTCCAGCGTTATCCGGTCTCCTGCCTTCCCGATGACTATTTCGACCACCGCCTGCCTGTTCTGTGCCCTGCAGGGCCTCCGACTATGGACATAACGCATTTCTAAAGCCCCTGCGCCTTGTCCGTGTCCCTCCGACTACATCGACTGCAGCCCCCTGCGCCTTGTCTGCAGAATGGTTTGACAGACACGCGCTAGAGTCATTTAAGAGTCGCGAAAACCAATGAATAAGGTTTGCAGCTTCAGCCTCACGCTGCAACAAATGCAAAGATTCCTCAACATCTTCGCTGTTGTAAAATCACATGGCAAAGGGTCACAGAACTATTACAAACAGCTAACATGTGAAAATTGCCCTGGGCTTGCATCACTATGTAATGCCAGTTTAATTAAGTGATTCCACAACCATTGGTTATTTTTTGTATTTGTGTCCAGATGCGTGAGTGATGAAAGATGGGAAAGAAGCGATGCAGCATTATGCTTTTAATGGCTTTTAATGGCCAAGAACCTCCTGACGAAAAAACATTTCCATTAGTCAAAATGAATGAATGGGAATGATGTTTAGAGCTTAAAACATTCCCCCGACTGACTCATCTTACCTTCTTTTCTGATGTTTGCAACCATTTCTCTGTGTTTTGAGGGCAGTTTTGCCAATGTATATCTTTTTCATAATTTTCTCTGTGGCTCGGCTCTCATGTATGTATAGTCGCCTCGGCTGCTGCTGGTCTGCTGGATGTTGACGCCAAGTTTGAACTCTAACCACAAAGCAACAGTGAAAGCTCTAAGTGTGGCCTGGGGAGGCAGATAGGAGTTGGCTATCTGTGATGACCCTGCCAAGAGAGCAGAGAAAAACAGCTTTGAAGTCCCACAGATTTAGCAGCACATTTAGTTCTGTTGACTCCAGACAAAAAAAACAGATTTCCGGGTGCATTCAGAAAATGAGCCAGTTAGGTATAGCAAAGCCCAGCCGGGGGCTCAATTAGATGAGTTCAGTAAACAAACTTGAATAGCATGCAATTCTTTGAATTATTGCGCGTCCGGTCAAACTCTTGTTTCTGCTCTTCCCTTTGAAAGATGAATGCACACAGAGCTTTTTCCTAGAATTCTGCAATCCATTCAAGTATGTGTACACGTTTATACATCTATAAAAATGGAATAAAATAAAAACTAAGACATTGCAACAGGGTGAAAACCTCTAGTTACACTGCTGAAGTAAACTAACTGATGAAAGATATGTTAAAATAGCCTCATTTGTTCCTTATATTACTTCTCTCTCTTGTTGGGAGAACAATTGACTGCAGGACCGTATGGAATAATGAGTTATTGACCAGCGGACCAGAGATGTTATTCCTCGACAAACCTGTGTTATAATGAATGTGTGAATGTTTCCATTTTTCTCCTTCATCTCTCAGGCTAGTTGAACTAACTGGTCTTGTGCACTGTAAGAACTTAATCAATTAGCTCGCCACTAGCAAGCATTTGATGCCAGAATGATAATTATTCCTTTATGCAGGTGCATTTGAAGGGTCTTGTTGATATCAATGCCCATTAGCGATTGATGTTGTTACAAATCATAAAATGTCAAATAATTGCACCTGAAAATGTCAAATCGATTAAGAGAAAAACAAGTCTACTCGCCATTATGGCCTGCAAAGCTCTAGATTCCTCTGTATGTTTATGCAGCCAGTAGCGAGCAGTAGTAAGGGATATGGGATTTTTAGCCTTTCCAAAGCCAAAAATACAAATGAGAAAGTTAAGGAAGTGGATCGAATACTGTTCCTATCTGCTCCCTTGTAAGCTTCAAACACGAGCACGTTAGGCTGACTAATTCACTGCAGCGACCTAATCAGGCATTACTTCCAAAGAGGGATTCATAAGTCGATTGCATTTCGTTTAGTCAGGTTACATTGAAGGTCCATTCACAACTAGCACAACCACGGTGTAGTATTTTCTGTGCGTGGAAGCAGGTCCCAGATTATATCAGAGTAGGCTCAGGATCAACACTCTGAGGGGCCCTTTGTTAAATTTGTGCAAAAACCCTAAGGCTTTTTCTATAGCAACGTTTAAAGTGAATATTAATACAAATTAATGTGATTAATGTGAATGTTAATATTTTAAAATACAAACAATAAAGAATAATTCAGGGAGAAATGCTTGTCAAACTGTTTATCACCAAAAATATATAATAAGTATAAGTGCATATATTTTCAGCGCCTGTTCTTAAAAAGCTGGGTGAGCCAAAATGTATAAATAGAGACCATCAGCATATCTTGCTAGTCACTGTAGCAGTTCAACAACAAAGGAGAACAAATCTCTTGTTACATCCCACAATATCTAATGGAGCAGCCACTTATTATTTTTAATCTCCCTCTAACAGTGGCTCAGGAAACGATGGCAGCTTGTGGAAACAATGTTCATATGGTGGCAGCAGCCGTTGTGTAAGTCACATAGGGAAAGAGAAAGAAGTGTGGTTGCTCGCAGCCCATTCTCACTTGTACAGCCAAGGCCACACACCTTCTCTATATCTTATCACCTCCTCCGTAAACAGCAGATCTCAAGTTTAAGATAAACACAACATGAACAGAATAAATCTAAATCCTCAGAGAACCTCGCGTTAGCCTCACTGCTGCTTCTTCACTGTCAGAGACACTCAAAATAGCAACAAATATGTAAATCAAGCACACTGTCCTCTATGCAGTGTCCCCTCGTTGCTTTTACAGTGTGCATGTAAACACAAGTATACCATGTCTACTGGAAAAATGGCCTCATTGTGTTGCACCGTGTTATGAACATCAGACAATGCACAATGCAGGGATAACAACAACCTACACCAGGCGGTTTCCACCTGCTACTCTGTATGTATAGTTTTATTTTCTCATGGTCCCACTGTCTAGTAACTCCAGTTCAACAAAACAAAAGAAAACCTTATATGGAACCCGCTAAAGGTCACAACCAGCAAGCCTCCATCTGGGATCTACAATGTGGAGCCACTGATGGTGCCCGCGGGTTGATTTACCAGGAGTGAGCTGCAGGAGGAGAGCGAAGCATCCGCTGCCCACCACTTACACTGTTGACAATGACCAAGTGAGGACATTCAACTTTAATGGCTTCTGTGGCGTCCCCACTGAACTCTGCTGTTAAGTGAGCAGCTCACAGAGACACGGTCACCATGACAACTGTAAACGGTAAGAAGTCACTTTCCAGCTCAAAGTAGCGTTTCTCCAAACCTTTTTTTTGGGGGGGGATCCACTTTTTGAAGATAACTATTCATTAACCTTTTTATAATAGGCTTCATCTTTAAATCATAATGTAATGTAATTTCTGCATTGCTGACACTTCCCGACCATTTCACTCCCATTTCCGTGTCACCCAATATCATCTTCAATAGTTAAACCGCAGGCATTTCAAAGATAGATGTTACAAATTAACATGGTATCTCATTGATTTGTTTTTTTCTCTCCAGTTTAACAAAAGGTTTTTTGGGGCTTTTTAGCGGTTAAGACTAATCAAGGTGTGTGTTTGTTTCCTGTTTTATTTTGTAGTTTCCTGCCTCTTGTGTCCCTGGTTTAGCTTCACTTCCTGTCTTCCCCTGTGATTGTCTGCCGTGTCCCTGATTGTTTCCACCAGTGTCCAATCACCTGCACCTTCCCAGTGTATTTAAGCAATGTGTGTCTCTTGTCGCGTCATTGAATGTTGTCGCCCTGTTTGAGTTCTGGATCCCTGTCGGCTTTTGATTAAAGTACTTTTGTTTGGAAATCTGCGATTGAGTTCTGCTTTTGCCACCCTGCCGTGACACTAATCAGTTGACCATTGGGGGTGGAATTGTCAAACCGGCGAAATTTCTTAGCTTATTTTAGGCCACTTTATGCCATTAACTTCCCATAACAATCCCTTTTAAAATCAAATTAATGTAGTAATGAGGTAAGAATACTGCACAGATAAGATCAGAGCTTCAACAAACCTCAACATGCATCTGAAATGCTGCGTAAATCTCACACCGCCTCCAAGTCAAAAGAGACCTACCAAGTAGTAATAATTGGCAACATTATTTAACTTTTTCTTTTCCTTTGCATGATCTACCACAGTTGAGGCTTTACTTGAGTTGTGTACTCTTCCTGATGCAAGACTCCAGAAATACAACAGTCCCTTGTGTACGCTCCACTACCAGCAGCCAGAAAAACAGCTCCGTGGATTAAGTCACCAGAGCAATGAAGAAGACACGTCAACAGTTTACTGCCCGAAGACGAGCTGCAACTGAGGAGCAATCCCTGTGCAGTCTCTCCCTCCTGTAGCTTCTACCAACAGAGACTTAACGCACAGTGTGCAGATGGAAGAAGTTGTTGGCCTTGAAATTAATACAGATTTTAAAGTGTTCCAACTTCTTAAACTGCCTGAAGTATCAGGCATCACTTTTCATTTGCAGTTTTATCAAATCATCTGTTGTTGATTACATTTGCTTTGATTAACCACCGTTGTGACGAGGGTGTAAATGAGGTACAAAAACAGATGTGCAAGATGTGCAAAAACAGACCGCATCGGACCTGACCACGTTATACAGCACGGGTCAGAACCACACGGCAACTAAGTTGGACTTCACTCTATAGGGCAGTGTGCCCATAATCCTGTTTACCAACACAAAAATGCTCCTGGGGATAAATTAAATAATAAAGCGTGGTTTCCCGCGCTGCGCTGGGACTCCCTCCAGCTTCCCCGTGTGACTTTGGCCCTTTTAAAAGCACGTCAGTCCCTATGAAGTTTCATTCGCGTTGAGTAGAAGCGTCTGTGTGCGCACATGTAACGAGCTTCAGAGGAAACAGCGTTCAATCACATCTGACAATTCGTTGGCAATAATTTATAACATTCCCGATAAATATCTCACCCCATCAGGGGTCCGCAGCAGGGGGGGCTTTACCACGTCTTAATGCGGTGTGTCTGTTTTGCTGATCAAAACTAGTTTGACTGTTTGACAAATTGAGGACGTGGAAGCCGCACATCTTAGACTTTGTCCACCATCACTCACACATACTGTCATTTACCAGGAGGCTCAATGCACAATATATATAAACACCTTATTGTTTAATGTAACAACAAAATACACCATCCTCAAGATAAAAAAAATTGCAGGAGAAAATTAAATCTTCAGATTAGTATTTTCTATTTCAGTCCCCAATAATTGAGTGAATACCATTTTCATCAGTGTCTTTAGGCTGAGTGACATCAAATGTGCCAGTAAACTAAATTAGTAGATTCTATTCTATAATTGTCTTCCATTATGTCTAAGATTGACACAACCATAGACTTATAGATTTATCTTTTAAGTCACCTATCATACGAAATATGTATCCCTTATTGTCAAGGAAAACAACTTCCTATCAACACATTTGGCAGGAACAGAGTAACACTAATTCCAACGTGTTGCTCCTCGTCCAATATAGGCTGTACTTTTGGCTCTATTTTTAGTCTACAAATCACCCACAGAAATATGTGTGCCTTCAGCTGATAATGACTCCACTATGTTCACAAGCTGCCTGTATGTTGTTTGCGTCCTTGGGGGAGGAAATGTACAGTGTGTCTTCAGAGCGTTCGTCCACTGACGATGGGAGCGGCGAGACGGATCAAACAGACAAAAGCGAAGCAAAACAGTGAGCTGAAGGACACTAAAGATCTCTGAAGTGCTGTCGGGAGCGGCAGCAGGTCAGGCAGTGATCAGAGTTATTATTATTAATTATTATTACTACAAGCAACTCCTCTCGCATGTAAGTTATTATGTGATTGATTGTTCAGTGCTGCAAAACAGCAAATTAACTTACGTCATAGTCTTGTCTATCTGCAATGAGAAGCTTTTTACGGCAACAAAATGTTACAGAGGACGGAATAAACAACTAAACGCAACTTCTCAATGTAAATTCAGAGAGTGCAGTTTATAGGACCTTGCCACTCCACAGCTTACAGCACTGCAGAGCGCGGAGTACTCTGTGCTGTCTTCGCATTTTTTCCACCTTAAAGGCTTATTTTTTTTCTTCATCACAGCCCATTATGGACATCTGCAATTCCACCATGCACTGCAGGAGGCTGCCAGGGGACACATACAGCTGCATGCACAACCCTTCAGGGGCCAATCAAGTATCTATTGAGGTGTAGTGGTTGCGATAGTTTTTTCGCCGTGTAGCTTGTGAAAGTGCAATGTTTGGTCTTTTGCTTCGTTTAGAGAAACTGCATGTTTTATTGCATCCCAACTCACACAACAGAGGCCAAAGGAAAAATAAGATTGTTGGTGTAGGAGGAGCACTGTTTGAACCATGACCCTGAACGAGAGGGATCGGGACTGAAGCGAATGCATTAATGAGCTACGAGAACAAAGAAAGAAGAATTATTCAGAGCTAAAATAGCCTGTGTGGAGACAGCGAGGTTTAAACCCATCTATTAAAGAGCTCTATCCTTTGTGTGTTGTACATGACATTAAAACACAGATCTTCCTTTTGACTTTATGTTCACTGTATGGACGACCCAGAGGCTTTGCTGCGTTGCTCCACTGACCGTGTCCTGTTGGTTTTGACATAAATGCTCTAGGACAGACAGGCGTATCTCCAATAGGCCAGAGAGTGAGGAAGGTGGTGAGGTGGCGAAGCGTTAGAGAGAAAGGAGTCTCAGGCTAAGACTCAGGCACGTGACTGAATCAGAGGATACAGAGAATACCTTGGGGTACCGTTCAAGGCAGATCTCTCATCAACCATTTCCAGATGCTACCTTAGTCCACCTTCACAAATTACTCCAGCATAAATCTCTGATCTCATCGTCTCTGAAATAATTAGACAGAAGAATGAGGGAGTGGGGAGGTGGTAAATTACCCCGGGCAAACCTGGAGGGAGCCTTTCTGCATATGGATGATATGTATGTAGCTAAGGGGAAATACGAGAGGGATGAACAAATAAAAAACACTCTTTATATTCCTCAAAGTCTGAGAAAGGCCCAGTAGGCAAAAAGGATCATGGGTAGATACCTCTGATGAGGGTTGTTTGAAACATTTGTAGAGATCTAATTAAAACTCACAGCAAGTCAAGTGAATTCCTAACTTTTTTTTCCTCAATGCATTATAATGATCTGGCTGTTTTACATCTTTTAATCGCCTTTCTGTTCCCGGTTTATCCAACGCTGAACTCAGCAGCTATAGTCCGTGCTCCTGTATGTAAACAAAGAGACTTCCACTACCCTTCGGCTTTTAGAAGTGCAGCAAAATTCTTTGACACTTGAACAGAGATAATTATTTTGTCTTGCAAAGATAAACTTTAAGAGATGTGACTTTTTCCAGAAGCAGTTATCGAAGGGCGTTTTAAGTACTTTTTTATTGTCTGACTGTAACAAGATAAGAGAGCAACAAACCACCATGTTAGGAGAACACTGATCGCCTAAAGAAAGGAATAGTATACATTATAGTAATCTCCCAGGCAAGGCAGAAAGAAGTACCGCCGTCGTTGAAGTACTGCATTAATTTCATCCCATCATAGTGCAAAAATAAAAAACGTTATAAAACGCTAAGCACTCATTTTCCAATTTTCTTTTAGTTTTATTTTTGCACAAGATCATACGAGCTCTTCCTTTTGCAGAATAAGTCTGAACTGGTTTCAAACACCTGAAGTTTCCCTCAGTTTGCTTTAATTATGTAACAGGGAGCTGGGATAATCTCCACAAATCCCTGTTTCCGCACTTGCTGGAGGGGTAAGCAATTGACTTATGGATGTTGTGATCAAGCTATGCTAAGATGCAGATTATAAAGACACCTAAAGGCAACATGTGGAGGAAGACCTTATGATTCACTCCATGCAATATTTTGGAATCCAATTGATTTAGTAAAATATAACAGGATTCCCCTTCTCTTGATCTATACAGGGTGAGGAGTTTGGTTTAATGAGAACAACTTTTTCTCTCATGATGCTCTTGTTCAAGCATAATTGCCTCTCTATGGTATCATCATGACTGGTGAATGAATATGTTAATTGAGGGCTGTGAAAACATTTGGCGCCCCATTATTCTCACGCCAATACAATACAAATGACAGCTGAAACCACTGAGCAAAAACAAATACAGATTTACTTCAACCAAACCGTCTTCAGTAGCCTCAGTTCTAATGCTGCAGCGATTACTTTGACAAAAAGCTTCAGTTTACTCGAACACACTGCGCAACATGTACTCATATTCTCAAAAAACATGCTGCACTGTTGAAATCCCAGCAGTGAACCCATCCCTTCTGTGAAAGCCCTCAGACTATGAAACACATGGACAGAATGGCACAGCTACTTCTCACAACCATTATTTTCTACAAGTGTGACAAATCAACTGCACGTACATGTCTTAGAGCTGTAAAGAGAACCAGGCATGCGCTTCTGCTCCTCCTCACCTTACCGTCTACATGCTTTTTGCTTCATTTTCTTCAGATGAGATCACAATATTCATGTTCCTGTTCGTCCCCTCAGAACGGCATGCATTTAGAAAAAAGCCCCTCTAATTCTGACTGGAGACAGGCTGGTAGGCAGAGAGGCAGAGAGGGAGAGAGAGAGAGCGCTGAGCATTGAATGGAGCAGGAGGAGGTGTATGGGAAGAGGAGGGGTTTTGTAGTGATGGAAAGAACAAGAAGAAGGAGAAAGAGGTGTGGTGGTGGTGGTGGTGTCACTACTGGTAGGCGACGAGGTAAAAGTGAAAGTGGCTGACCTTGTATCATGCTGCATCTTTCCATCAAGTTCCTGGTAGGTAGAAAGAAGAGAGGGTACATGATTAGATTTATTTTTCAAGCAGATTTATCTGGCGTCACTGCTGCCATTACATGCTGAGGAGTCACTCTTATCTGGTCTATAACGAGCTCTCAGAGCTGCAAACAAATAGATCTTCTCACTCTCCTATATACACATATATTAGTACTGAGAGCATTAAGTGACAGAAGGAGGAGGGAGACATATAGACCAAGAAATGAAAGATTAACAGTGCAAAAGAAAAATGCTGTGTACTGCAGAAATGAAAGGAAAGTGCCTTAGGAATATAAGCAGTCTTACATACAGTGAGAAAAACATATAGATGATAGAAAATGGAAAGTTGTGGGAGGAAAAGTAGGAAGGCAAACCAGCCTGAATAACTGATGTAAGTCAATTTGAAAATAATGAGTTATCATTTTAGACCTCTCTCATCTTTTTACTTGATTATAAAGCTACCCCCGAAAAGCCTGTTAGCTTAGCATAAACAATAGAAAAGGAGAAACAGTTAGCCTGGATTCAGTCAACGGTCATCTCTTAACCCCAAATAAATGAAAAACACAAATATTTTGAAATGTGTACGGCAAAAACTCTTAATTTAAGACTTACAACATGTGAAATGTCAACTCCATTATCCTCCAAGTCCTCATAAGTGTATCCTCTTTTAGAGATAATTGTGAGAACAGCTCCTTGTTTGCACACATTTGTTTGTATACATGAATTATGCATGTCACGGATTTGACAAGAGCATTCACTATTCACACTTCCATTTCGGCTGAATTCCTTGGAGCAGAACCAATTACTCCATGCATCCCCTAGACCGGAGTTGACCTGTTGTAGCATGTATGAGCAGCCCAGAACAAAGAGAAAATATGTTATATTTGTACTCTACTGTTAAACCACACTGCTAAAATGTACTTGAGATCTCCGGATATCAGATACTGTGTGTTGTTGGGGCTCCAGAGCGTTTGTTTGTGTGCAGGTGGGTCGGCCAACCTGTGTGCAGTTTTTAGGATTCATAGCAGAGGATTCAGTGAGGTATTATCATTGTTACACATATTCAACATACGAGTTGTGAAAGTGCAGTGTGTGTATTTGTGAGCACATGTTTGCGATGTTGTGTAGGATGTTACAAACAGTGTGAGTTATACAGCAGGATGACTCATACAGCTATTGAATGAGACAACGCTCAGTAATCCCCTCTGTCCATCCCAGCATCCCTCCGTGCGGGGAGGGCAAGCCTGAGGGGAGAGAGAGAGAGAGAGAGAGAGAGAGAGAGAGGATCGAAATTCCTGGAAGGCGTCACTGAATGATAATCTGAAGCTGCAGCTATGGATGTAAATTCATTCAGGATTTTCTTTTACATGTGAGTCTTTACTTTGCTGTTGCAATGCATTACAGGTACCATACTAAAAAAGTGTGGCCACAATCACGAAAGGCTGGTGATTGTTATTTTACACCACTAATGGTTATGGACGCTCCAATAAGACAAGCGGACAGACACGTGTTGTCCAACACACACAGAATATCCAATTTTCTTTGTTTTGTTTACACGGCCAGGCTGTTTGTACGAGCTTGTTAGTGCATGCTGATTCCTGGGTGTATGTCCCTCTGTGTAGCTACTATCTAGCTATGAGCGCCACCCCCCACTGCTACTGCTGCTCATGGTGTTCCAACACATGGCTTTGACGCCAACATGTAGCGCAACCCCCCCCCGGTTGCAACCATTTGTATGACAGGAGCTACCATTAACATTCATGCTATTCACACACCGTAGTCTTAGTCAACTTGGCCTGGCTGAGCCGGGAATCGAACCGTTGATCTGCACTGAGCCACAGTTGCCTGTCTAAGAATGCAAATCGTGTACACTCTAATGTGATCACATACAAGGCAAACATATTTTTCAACCTCGCTTGCACATGCAAAATGAGATCAGAGAACAAACTCCTTTTTCCCCTCCTTCTCTGTCCAGGTCACTAACTGTGTGCAGCCGTTTTCTCTCTCTTGATGGCAAATATATTCCTTTCAATGCGTATACACCCACTCAGTGGCAGAACCGTTGCTAGGGAGCTGCCCTTCACAGAAAAAAAATGTAATCAGCAAGCTACATCCAAAACATGCACCTTTGTCCACCCAGTTAACAACAAAGTAATGGTACAGCAGTGTAGCAGGTCGTGAGAGGCCGTAGAACTGAGCGTTATTTCTGAGCCTGAGGCTCAAAATCACAATAAAAGAGGGAGGACAGGGTTTGAATTATTAATGTATTAGCTACCTTCACGCTATGCAGCCAGGCAGGATAGTAAAACATTTTTGAAACCTAACCCATCTTCTTTCTTTTCCTCTGGGCTCTGAGTAAATATGCAGTAAATAAGTGGATGTATTTTTAATGTTGAGTGCAAATTGACCGATACCTTCCCTTTGCTGTCTTTTTATTGGATGTTTGGAGGGGAGACAGATGCTAATGAATTGAGAATCAACATCACCAGAGCACTCCTCTGAATACGTTCCTGTGCATGAACATTATAAATGTAACTTTAAAGAATAATCGTGTTTGCAAATGTTGTTGCGTGTCAAGTCTGATGTGTCATACACAATTAAACATAACATCAAGCATTATCGACTCACTTGTAATAAGTCTCAACGATTAAACACTTCATCCATTCCATCAAGGGGGAATGTGATGCAATACACTTCATCAGAGTGAAATCATCAGAGGTTTGAGTAATCATATTCATTTTGCTTCCCGTTTCCATTAATATATATAATTATATTAATTGTATATGATTATCACAAAATGTATTGTTATATCTGCAGTCATCATCTTGACCATGTGTGTTGAAATTAAAAATGTAGTTCAAATGACATTTGATTTAGATGCTTAAACTTTCAAATTTCTAGCAGTTTTTTTGCTCTGAAAATCTGACAATACAATTTGTAGCTTTAAAAGCATCTGTTTTTTTACTGTATTCTTTAGTATGATGATACAATATATGTTAATCCAACTCAGGTGCTGGTTCACAGGACCAAAGAATCGGGTTTAAGACTTTATGTTCTTGGGCACAAACATCCTCTATCAAGCTAAATGCATCATTAGGCAGCTTAATGCACGCCAATAAGTGACGGTAGCAGATGCTTGTTTACATCCTTCTATTGCCAACTGAGGTGTTGAGAAAAATAAATTAGCGAACAGAAACGGTTGAGTTGGTTGAACAGAGACAGATATTCACAGTAAGCATTTCTACCAAGACCTTTTTAACAGGGTTTTCTGTAACCTTCTAACATCCAATACCAATATCTTAGAAGGTTTAACCAAACTTTCAAGTCACCATCTGCTTTTCAGTTTTGTTGAAGGAAAAAAACACGTTTTGCAATTATTACAATATAATGATAACTACTTGTTGATAACTACTCCGAATTGTATTGGAGTGTGAAGCATCCAATCAACATCGCATCAACATCTAATAGAGTTTTGTGAAAAAGTTGAAACAATCCCTTAAATGTACTGCTACTCACAGTGATATTAACAGGTCTGGGCAGTGAAGTAGATCTGTATGACATTCTGGGAAAGCCCTCTGGCCAGCTGAAGACAGGGCAGCGGTTATTCCGTCCACTCGAAGTTAATTGAGGAGGAGGCAGCTCATTGCCGGTAAATAGACTTTTCTTCTCCTTCTCCCTTCCTCTTTCCATCCACCTGCCTTTCTCCCAGCAAGGCCTCTCTCTACCTCCATCTTTCCCCTTCTCTTTCTCTATTCCTCCGTCTCTCTCCCAGGGGCTCTCTTTTCTCTTCTCCTTCCCTCGTTCCATCCCCGAGCACCCATTTATCTCCCAAGGAGTCCTGTTTTCCCTCCCCGTCCCTCTCTCCACATCCTTTTCCATTGCTTTTCCGTTCCTCTCTTTCCCCAGGAGGCCATTAGCGGCCAGTTCATCAAGTCGCCTCACACTGTCAATGTCTGTCTCCAGATAAAGTCTCCCGGTGGAGGCCGCCTGGATCTTTGTACATGGCTCCAGGTCGTGCTCTGGGTACACGGCCCTTTCCCTTTTCACTTTGCTCAGCACGTCCCCGGGTTCCAGGATCTTACAGCTGGGTAATGTCTGGCTCCATTGGTGGATGGAGCTGTTAATGTCTTTGGAATTATACTCCTTGATGGTCTGGAGGTTTGAGCTGGTTGGGCTGTACCACACGTTTGTTGGTGGTGTTGGTGGTGGTGGCGGTGGGATAGTTAGGGTCGAATGCAGCGTTGTTGTTAGTGATGGGTGAGATGGGGTTGAAGGCAGAGGGGACGAGTGGCAGTGTCGAGGTGTGGACTGTTGTTGAGAAAGGCCGCCGTTGGATTTCAACACCCTACATGTCACCTCGTTCAGAAATTGCGAGAACTTCCGCCTGTCATGCCGATGTGACGACAATGTGGGAGCATTCTCGCCCGGGCTGGCGGGGGACGCATTTTGGGTCCCCGCGTCTTTTCTTAGCTCCGTGGAAGTTCTCTCACCATCTCCTTTACTTTCAGTTTCGCCAGCAGAATGTGAGAAGATAAGATTTTGGTAAATGATCTCAGGCTCTCCCGTGGCACTAGCAGCCACATGCTCAGTGGTGTAAGACTTTCCCCCTGACGCCTCGGTGCTATCTTGCTTGACAGGAATCCGTTGCAGGCAGGTTGCACCTGAGCTCCAGCTATTAGTGTCCCAACTGCCGTCATCATCGCTGGAGCTGCCATTGCCACTATGTAGGCTGGGGCTTGAGTTGTCCAGGCTTCCAAGCGACCTCCTCGTCAAGCGAGACATCGATCCCCTCAGGCTGGATAAAGAGCCCCGGAAGCTGGCCAGAGATTCT